GCAAGGCTGTGCAGAGGACGTCCCGAAGACGCCCAAGAAGAGGACCAGGTATGAGGAAGCTCATCTACCAAGTTCTCGCCTCGTGCAGCAGGTGAGAAGTTTAGCGAGTTTCCCTCTCACCGGTGCTGATGCATGGCGGCAGACGTTTCCCGTGCAGCCTATCTTTTACCGCTCTTAGCAAGGCAAACACCAGCACGCGCACGCGCCGCGTCCCCGCGACCAAGCAGCCCTCCACTCTCCTGACTATCAGCAGTAGAATTAGACCGCACATCGCGACGGTCCGCCTCCATAGAGAGGAAGGGCAGTGTGGACTGTTTGGCCTCCTTCCGGCCGCCGCCCACATCGCATCCCTCTGCGTACTTGTTCCCCTCGTCGTCTAGCCTTGTCTCGCACCCGACCCAGAGGCCCTCCTTCATGTCGCACAGACAGGCAGTGTCGACGAAGGATTCGGGCTGTGAGGAGGATGGAGTGGCAGAGGCGAAGCCGCCTGCCCTGCCCCCAAAGCCAGTGCCGGTGGGCGTGCATGCGAACGGCAGCGCGGGGGAAGACGGCGCGGCGGGCGAGATGGCGCACCTCGAGGCTGAGGATGAGTGCGGGGAACGCAACGATCCGCAGGGCGGAGAAGCCTTTTCTTCGTTGATGCAGACGCTGCCATCGACGATGCTTCAAGCGCAGACGCAGACGCAGACACCCCCACTCGCGCGCTCCAAATCGATGCGCTCCGTCAAATCTGTAAAGTCGGCACGCTCGATGAGGTTCGGGTCCAAGATTCCTGTTCCCGTTCCCAGTCCTGCTTCGACCTCGACTACGGGTGCGAGTGCGAGCTCGGGTGGGGTGCCGGAGGTGCCTAGGATCCAGCGATGGCTCGGCGCGGGGGAGCAGGAGCGCGAGCACGAGACGACGACGTTCCCGCTCTCCCCGCCTCCCACCCCGCTCTCGCCTTCCTTCTCGTCCTACCCCCCGCCGTCTCCCCTCTCGCCAACCTCGCTTGCGTCGCCGACGCTGCCCTCATGGCCGCACCCCAAGCCGTCGCATGCGTATTCCTACCACGCGGAGTCGCCGAGGGCGAAGGAGCAGAGGCAGAAGCAGACGTCGGCGCTGGGGGGCTTTGCGCTGTCGATACTGAAGAAGCGGAGGAGGGGGCCTGTGGTCGTTGTTGGGGAGATGGGGGAGGGGGCGAGGGATGGGGGATGAAGAGAGGAATGGGGACGTACGGACGAGATGAGGTGAGACGAGACGAGACGCAATTTTGATCGAGAGAGCGACGACCGACCGACAGACTGACACCACCACCATCATCATCATCAACTTTATCGATATCGATATCTTTATTCATCTATCATTACCGCCAAATCTACACGCTCCTTTCAGCTCTCAGCTTTCTCAGCTTTTTACCCAAAACACGCTCGCTCTTTGATACTTTGATACTCTTCCCTTTCCTTGGGCATTCAACGCGCGATATACCCGCCACCCACCACCGTCGTGACACAGGACGCGAGAGTGCTGTGAAGCGTCGAGCGCTGCACGTTCCTTTTTTTTTTTTTGGTTTTTGATTCTTGGTCTTGTGGTGTCTGCGCGTTTGCGTTTCGTCGTCGTCGTCCGTTCGGCCTCTGGTCTGGTCTCCCGTCTGCTCACCCGCTCCCTTCGCCCTACTCGCCTCACTCCCAACCAGCCCGCACCGACTTGTACACTCAAATACCCCACAAAGCCATCCTCATCTCCCACCGACTCGTCCCATGTCCCATGTCTCGCGTCTTCCTTCCTTCTCACTTTCCTTGCGTGTACTGACCTCTCTTTGTCTCCATCTGATGTTTATTTACTATACGCCATCCTCACTCGTCATCACCCCACATCATATCGTTTTTCTACACCCACCACCACCACCACCAAAAGTTCCGTTTGCCCATTTTCCATTCTCTGCGTTGCCCGTTTCTGCGTTACCCGTTTCTCGATCTCATCACGTTCAAAGACCGCGGTCCACTTTTTCCTCCTCACAAAATCGACATCTTTATTCTGTAAGTTATGTATTCACTCTCGAGCCGCCCTCTCGCCTCGACGCGGAATTCGCTCTCCCTGGATAATAGTAGGAAATTATAGGAATGGCGTCGCCTTTTTCTTTCTTCTTTTCTTTCTTTCTTTCTTTCTTCTTTTCTTTTCTTTCTTTCTTTTCTTTCCTTACCTCTCACTTCTTTTCGGTTCTTGCTCTCATCCTCACTCTGGCTCTTTTTTCTTTTTGGGATTGGCGGGGGGGGTGCAAGGGAAGGGGGGAAGGGAAGATGGTTGTAGAATGGATTGTAATATATAGAGATATTTGTGCAATTAAAGAACGTGCTTCATGTTTTCCTATCTGCTTGGATTCGGCTTGAGACGAGATTCTTGAGTTGTGCGGCTCAGAAGTGGTTTTTGTTTTTGTTTTTGTTTTTTTCGTTATCTGCACCTTGAAGCATGCAGATGAGGTTGCGATTGCGATCGTTATCATGGTGCACGTGTGCCCCCTTGCAGTTGTGTTTTCCGAGTAAACGAGAGCGGGCACTGGCATGAAGAGCCGTACAGACTTACACGTCAAATCGGAAACTACCAAGTTCAAGGACAAACGATATCATTATCATCACCAGCGATCACACGATGACGATGACGATGACGATTACGATTTACAATCGACTCGAGCAGAGCGCGATTCGCGGGGGATACACATGTCTAGTGCGCCAAGTGCGAACTATGAAGCCTCCCGTCAAGCTCTGAGCGTTTCAAAAAGAGGATGGAGGGAGGGCATGCACCGAATTGCTCCCCCCTCCCCCAAACACGACGCCGCAAGTCGTGAAACAGACGCCGAATGGCGGGTCGGGACCTTTTTGCCTTGGACGGAAGAGGGCTTCTGGGACCATAAAACCATTAGCTGATCTTGAATCTATCTCGTTCACCAAACGTCCTCGCTGCTCGCATCGGTCCCCGCACACCGTGACATCGTCTCGGGCTGAAACTACCATCATGTCGGTCCTTGATAGTCGTTCAGTTTTCGTGCTGTGAATCGAGAGTCGAGGCCTGGACGTGACTGAGCGAGAAGGTGATTAGGGGCGCTGGGCTTTCTGTATCGAATGATAGGACATGATGATAGTAGCTTCAGGTGACCTCTGGAAGAGCGACTGTATCTGCTCGATCCGCACCAGTCCGGTTCTAGCTCCCTTTGCCTTTGCACGGGTGAAACCACCCAGCGATCATGATCATGATTCGAGCAAGCTCTTCATCACCCAAACGCTCGTAAATCGAGTCGATCGCGAGGAAACGCCTTTAGGTGCGTGTCACCCATTCGCCGAGAGGTCAGTCGCTGGCCCATCTCTAACACGTTGACGGATCAGACGACGCCGCAAGCCTGAAACAGACGGAGATCGCGATGGCGATTGCGACGATGATGGGGAGTTGCTCACCTCGGACCTACAGATATTAAGCCAACCAATCGGATCATTGACATCGTTCCGCCCCACGTTCGACGTAGTCCGAGGCTCCAGTAGCATCGAACAGATCTATACAGCTGAAATCAGCATCATCGAAAATGGTATCATCCGAACATCACATCATTTTAGCATCCCTCACGTCACTCGAACTTGAAACGAGACGTGCCAACGGGCGATATGCGATTTCCCAATGGCCTCGTATTCACCCCCTTATCGAGTGGCGAACGGAGAAAAGGTGATTCCTGAAGCGTTATCTCTCCTGATTTGCGGCTCATTGGTCAAAGACTGACCAACGCATCGCAAGTCAGCACAAATGTCACCATAGGTTGGCCTCCGAAAGTCGACCAGTCAGCACCGCTGAAACTGATAAGTGATAACCCTGGATATAAGCTCCAACGTCAATATAGCAGCCGCTACAATAATCCCCGTAGGCCTCGGCCGCTGTCAGCCCATCTGGAAAACCCAGCCACCAACGTCAAATCAAATCAGCGAGTAACACGGTTATGCAAGATCAGTGGATATGGGCATGCACCTTGATAGTTACTGCGCTGTATGATGTCGGGCTATGACATACGCAATCGTAATCATGATAGCCAACGTCGAGGCGTGGGAGGTTCCGGGGTGCACGGGACATCGCGTACGGTGGTATAAACCCGGTCTTCGAGCATATTCGTTCTCATTCACACGGAGTCGCCATTCTTCTTATTTGACGTTGGCGCTACCTTCAGCCGCTGTACAGCCTACTAGAACGCAGTAAGCTTCGGTGTGACAATGTTCTAGCCGCTCACTCCAAGGTTCTGTATCGTGGCGATGCTAGCGTTTAAGCAGAAGAAGTCTGGAGCGTCTAGCCTGGAGTACTGTAAACAACAATAGGTGATCAGGAAGATAGTTTACGTACGTAGATGGCGTCTACTCCAACTTCACCCAATTGGCGGATGATCATACTGGTCAGGGTAGACAAAGGTAAGACAGCGGCCAAAAGGTGATCGAAAAGGAAACGCTTTACGCTTGGACTGCGGTTCTAGTCCAGGGAGAGTTTTTCGAACGGCCTGGCATGGCGTTTGATGACGAGGGAGTTTATGGGGGGATGTATGTCACTCAACCGTCGATGGTACCTTGTCGAGCTAATGAACTCACGATTAACTCATCCGGGCATTTGCAAGTGCGAGACGCACCTTTTTCAGAATTAATGCGGTTCTCTGAATGTGCTGCTTGTAAAGGTAGTTTCATACCTGATAATACGCAGTCCTGATGGACAGCGATAACGGATGACAATAAGATAAATCACTGGGCGGGCAGAAGACAGGTCACTGTGCCTTGTTGAAAAGTGGTTATCGTCTGCCAAAAGGCATGAAGATAGAGCACATGATCGGGTCTTTGGTACTATGAAATTGTGCATTTAGTATCCTCGGTGCCCTGTCAAACAAGTTCTGAGGTAGCCTAAACTTTAGTTGCTATTAGAAACTTTACTTAGTGAAGGCCAAGGATAGAAGATACTCAAAGAGCGCGGCTCACAAAGTTTAAGTTCTTGCTACTTATAGATATCCAAGCCAAAGTCAAGTGCAGGATGTTTGACTGCGCGGGTGGAAGGAATGATACAGGTATACCACTGGTGGGAGATACGAAATGAAGTGTTCTGATATGCTTGGTATAACACTTGGCAATGAACCTTGCTGTACGAAGTTAAATTTTGAAGGCGCACCTATCCCCGAGCAGAAAAGAAAAGTGATGCGTTAGTATTATCACCATCCACGGTTGGCAAGTTATTACCCCAACACGCACGCTCAAATATGAGATTGGCTAGCCTCTAAGGTTGGTAACTGGAATGACTCCATGATCGGTGGGATAAGTCGCAGCTTTGCCTCATATATGCGACGAAGCGAATCATTAACTATAAGACCAATTGATATGTATATCTCTCGTTCGTTTGGCAGGGAATACAGTACTATCGTTGGACACCGGATGCAACCAGTAGTAGGGATGCTCTCGGCCCTCCACAGGCTCGACTATCGCAGTACAGGTAGCTAGAAATTTGTCAAAGGTATAATAGGGTGTAATCAATATGATTGTGAAAGAATTCTGTGAATGGCTCACCTGTAGCGACAATGGCAGACCTGACACTAAGCCTTCCACTCCAAAAGTGCGAGTTTTGAGGGAAAGATGACCAGATCTAGCCAGATCCTGTTCTATGAATATTGCGAGTTTGTCCTAGAAAACATCAATGGGCACTCCCCTACAATGCCAGACAACTATCAAGTTGATTAGGGTCTCAAGGGGCCTGCAGAAGGGAGAACAATGATGAAGTCGTGACCAGACGACCGAAACACAACACCAATCAAGGCCCTAGCTCCGCTTCGGTACGTACCGCACCTTAGTGGAAAAAACAAATGCAGATTTACATTTTGTTCCCGCACGGACTCTAAAACATCCAGAGCCTTCCTCTATAGACCCTACCATAAAGCTAGAAAATCACAATAGTGAGTGAACCTTGATGGTGAGCCAAGGCAACCAGCAGCGACCGTATCATCAAGCAGCTCGCAACGATCCTGAATATCGCGTTGATGTCGCGTTTCAGTGTCGACGCGTTGACGGTTCACACTGTGACTGTTTTGCAGTGGTAAAATATCTCCATGACGATTGGTCGTCTCTGCTGAACGAATGACACGCAATCACTCTATGATAATGTACAGTAAGTACTTATCACGCCTACGTTCTGGTGACCTAGCTCATACGCTTCAAAGGATCTATAAGTAATTTCAAATTATTATTCCCCCATCGCAACCTTGAATGGTATGAAGAAGTCTCGATATACAATTAATATTGGCTTTGACAATCTACGTAAGGAGGTGCGGGTGTCACCACCATTCACAACTATTGGGAACATGCACAAGGCCTTGAGGGGGTAATAGTAAGTCGTGCTCTAACAATTTGTCCTCGGGGAGCCCGGATGGCCCCTGTACATGTTGACTATGTTTCACTCATTCATTTCAATCCAGACTGAGTTTTTCTGAGTTCATGCGCGTATTTCTTGCATTGAGTTATAGGCGAATGGTTTCATTTTGGATCGGACTGACCCCTCCTGCATCTTCCGCGTATAGATTTGTCTGCAGCCCCAATACAGTTTTCTAGTCGCCAAAGCACCAATCTTTTCTATGCTCACTCAATCACACAAGTCTCGAGACTTCGTCCTATACGATAGCGGATGTCTCGGCAATTTAGCCGATACAATGGCGGATAGATCTTACAGACACTTGCACGACATCCGTAGTGTCTGAACAGTATAAAGTCCTTACTTTTTTGTGAGTTTTTTTTTGTTTTCACAAGTCCCTCGTTAACCATGCTCTCATCCACTATCATCTCACTCGTTCTATGTATTTCCAACTCGCTTCTGGAAAGCGATGCCTTGGTTGTCCCAAGCGTTTCTGAGGATGAGCCTTCCTTCAAGGGCTTCGCCTTCACTGCTCATGTAAAACCAAAGTCTAATGATCAGAGCACAAGCAACAATTCTTCTGTAACCCTTACCAATGAAGGTGATATAGAGGTACTTTTATAACTCTGCTTTTTCTCTAATATCGATAACTTACATGTTATCTAGTACCTGGGACAAGTGAACGTTGGAGGACAAGAATTTACTCTCGTCCTCGACACTGGGTCGAGCGACTTGTGGGTTCACAGTACTACCACCAAAATAAACATCACCTCCACTACCGACGAATACATCAACCTGACCTATGGTATTGGTTCTGCAGCGGGAAATGTATCGTACGCACCCGTTACATTTGGGGGATATTCGATTGACAGTCAAGGTAAGGCTTACATGCTGCCTCGTTGTAATCATCGCGTACTTACTATCTACGATAGTCTTGTTGAATGTCAATAAGACTGACCAGCAGGACATCCAGGGTATCTTTGGACTTGGCTTCAATGGCCTGTCAGCTATCTTCACCACAGTCAACGACCTAAAAGCTCGCACACCTGTCGACAGTATCTTTGCTCAGAACCCCTCCACCTCTAAATTTATCGGCCTCTCCCTCGAGCGCACGGCAAATCAGGAAGATACAGCCGGGGGTGTGCTGTCCGTTGGCGAGTACGATCCGCAGTACTCGAACATATCTACGAGCGAGAAGCACCCTATCTTGCCTGCTAACTCGACCCGCTGGACGATCGCTCTGGACGGGCTGAACGTTAATGGGAATAACCTGCAGATAAAATCGAATGTTTCTAGTCAAGGAAATGGCTCTCCGATTGCTCTCATCGACAGTGGCACTAGCTTGGCATATATTCCCACTGATGCTGTGAATGCCATCTACAGTAGCATTAATGGGTCTGTGCATGTCCAAACAACCTCCGGACAAGACTCATGGTTCGTGCCTTGTTTCGGTCAGGCAAACTTGACCTTTGTCTTTGGGTGGGTTTCACCATCGATCCAACTTAAAGATACAAACTGATCTCCTTCCTCAGTCAAGAAACGTTTGCTATAAACCCTCTCGAGTTGACTTATCCACTCACTATCGGTGAGGGAGGCAAACAATATACTGTCTGTATGAGTACTTTCAGACCGCCTCTGTTCACCGACGGGATAGTCGAAATAGAATTTCTGCTGGGAGATATTTTCATGCGCAACGTATACTCGGTGTATGTCCTTATTCTCGTCCTTCTTAAATTGCTCCATACTTATAGACTCTTGTTATAGCTTCAATTTTGGTAATTCCTCATCTGGGGATGACGGCAAAGGCGCATCCATCCAATTCTTGTCGCGTACAAATAGAGATCAAGTCGCTAGCGATTTTACCGAGCAGCGCAAGGAGAATCTACAGTCAATGCCACCTTTATTCGACATTAGCAAGCTCCACTCGAATGGAAGCATCGGTGATGGTGGTCAGATCATGTCGCAATTATCTGGTGACGAAGAACGCGACATCTGAGAGAACAGTGAGATGCATGCGTTTCTGTAAATTGTAGAGAAACGTCACACTGGATATTACCCAAACTATTATGGATTGGAGAGGTGATACAATCAGATTGCATTGGATGTTGTACATACTATCATTCATGACGAAATAAAATATACCCTTTCTTTCCATTGGATTATACCCACATCATAATTTGCTGGTCTTCAAAAGATGACTGTTCTGTTCGTTGAGTGCTTTCCACATTGCTAAGGCTAATTCGAATGGTTTTTCTTGTACGACCTGCATAAAATCAATACTTTCAAAACCTTTCCCGATATTTTATTCGACACATGCTGACCAGATGACCTGCACCTTGAATCCTTGTGTTAGATGCTACACGGCGGCCCTTACTCTCGTCATACGCACATCGATTGGCCTCTTCAGGTCTAAAGATCAAATCCAACTCCCTCGAATTCCAAATAAAGTCCAATAGTTGATTCGGGACGTACACTGCATCAACCTCAGTACCCAATATGCAGTGAACAGGAATAATAGGACAGAGTTCGCTCAGTCTATCAAGACAGTCAGAACCGTGCTGCTGGTAATCATACGAAGCTGTGTCTTGCTCTCGAGTCAACTTAAGCGTAAATCCATTACTTTGATCGGGGTAGCTTAATGTTGGGAGCTCACGAAGACCTTCATCCTGGAGAATATTATGCTATTAGCACTTATGGCAGAACTACTAAAAATGCTCACCACGAGGAGCTGTAGGACTTGAGTATCCCATCGCTTCCACGGCAGTCGTAGGGAAAACCACTGTCGAGCAGCATCTCGCGAAGGCCATATATCTTTGCGTTTCATAGTAGCGGCCTTGATCTTTTTAAACATGGTTGGATTTTGCAAAGCTGTTTCATACATTTCACGAGTCATCATCCCAGCTTCAATGAGGATAATGGCTATGTAAGGAAGTTGATGCAGGGGATAGCCAACAGTAGCTAGCGTTCTTTTATGGGCGACAATAAAGCACGAGAGTGGCCGGGTCAGTTCCATAGACAATCGAAGTCATGTAAGAACGACTTACATGGCCCAAGAACCCCCAGAGTGTCCGACACCTATGACTTTGGCACCACGAAGGTGCTCTGATTCGAAGAGCACGTGAAAGGCGCGAGCCCAGTCATAGGAAGCTATCAATATTTTGAGATTCAATATACCATCTCAAATGGACCCACTTACATACGCCTTGAGGCCGATCGAGGAGCGCGTGCTCGTTCACAACAGCAGCCTGGCCGTGATTTGGAGCATCGACTACCCAAGCTTCTTTCACAACATTCCTATTGACGGAACGAGTTTGGATGTCGAGAAAGTGCTCTATAGTGGGCTCCCATGTTTCCTTGTCTGACATAATTCCAGGGTGGCCATAAGTAAAGAAATGAACCGGCCATGATAACAACCAAAAGCTCACGAGTGCTAACACAGTGCGCGAATAAAAGCACGACCTCCTCCGAGTCATTTCCTTGTCTGCCACAGTAGTTTCGTGCGATGATGGTACCACTGGCAGGTCGATAGCGTTTGTAGCAAAACTTCAGGTCGCTATCCTGACCCTTCCCTGGGAGCTCGAAATCTTGGGCGTCTAACTTCATGAGCCCGAACTTGAATAGTGGGCTGGCGTGGCAATGGGCGTTTGATGGTCCTGATATTTATACATCTTAATGGGTCTTACTAGAAGGTACCACCGTGTCGGACTGGCCACGAATTGACTTGAAGTGGGAAATGCAATGATGGCTATGCTCCATCTATAGACTGATTTGAGTCGTAACGTAAAGGGGCGAGAAAACAAGGTACTGATGCATCATGATGAGCCGCAAACGTATTCCCTTTCCCCACTTTCCAGCTGGTGCCGAACCCCCCCCCTCCCTTGTTTGCTTCGCTGTCCTGCTCAAAGGAACTCAATGATGACCTTGTTGCTTTGGCACTGCGTGCTTATGTCAGCACTTGGTGGTTGAAAATCTCTCGTTACGACAGAGGTACTTCCACAAATAACGCACATCCTCACCTTCGTCTTGCGCGAACTGGAAACACGTATCTTGGCTGCAGATTTGTCAGCAGTAGTTTTTTTTTACGCTCCGTGTCTCATAACGCAGCACTATAGTGATTATCGGAATGCAAAATGCAAACTATCCACTTCATATGCGACAGGAGGCGCCGCCCCACTTTCTACCATATTTTCACCATCTTCAGCCACATATAGCCATCTCGGAGGACGGACAAATAAATGAAGAATATTATCGCCAGCTGTTCAATCATGTATTAAGATTCAGTCTACCTTCTGAGGACTATGCTCCTGAGCGTTTTATCATACGCGAGATCATTCTGAAGGTCTTGCTGAAAGACACCATTCCCAAGATTTCGCAGCATTGGTTCATCCAGAAAACAATTCTGGATTTCTTGGACACACCTCCAGACATAAAAAGTGTATGTTTTCCTTATGTTCATAATAATGCGAACCTCAGTGCTAATTCGCTATTTCTATCATATAGATTCCAAGCATATCACAAAAGACCTCGTCACCATCACCGTCTTTTTCCTTTCATGTTCTACTTATCACGTTTCTTTCTGCTGTTCAATCCATATCAGGACTCTGTCTGACGCTCACCCATGCTTACAAACAAGCATTAGACACAATTAAACGCGTTAATGAAACCTCGTACCTCCCCGTCAATGCTCGTGCACAGCCCGCCCCCCATTCACCACCTAAAAAACCTACATCATCTTCAGAAGATACAGAGCCGCCGACACCTTCCTCATTATCTTCGTTATCAAATCCTACTCACGAATTCGGTCATGAATCAGACCTATCTGAAGAATCCCAGCCGCACTTAGCAGACCAATCGCTTACTATAGTCTTTGAAAATTTCTCTGTGCGGTGTCGATTGCCTCTAGCGTTCTTACGCCTTATATTCCCTTGCTCTCTTTCATATTCGCGTCCTTTCTTAACCGGTAAGCTATACACTTCCAGAATCTGTGCAGTTTACTCAACTTCTGAGCGTTGTGTCAGCCTCCTACCTTACCTTCTCTACACGCAAGTGCTGTCTTCCTCGTCAATACTCTCAAACGCACACTCTTTCCTTATGGCTATCCAGGACCTCCACCTGTTGATCCCACGCCCGAAGAGCAAATTGTCATCCGTCAGCGTTTGCTCGAGCACCTTGGAGGGCGTATGCCTCCTCTTATATTTCGACTAGTTCTTGGACCCTCACCTCTTGACACGATTAGTGATGCCATTGATCCTCTCGGGGACGCCACATGTAACACTCACCTTGCGGTGCTTATGTTAGATGTGGTTCTACTGGCAATTTTTCCTGAAATGGGGGTTGATTATATCACTACTGATCCATGTAGATGCGTCTGTAACATCTAATTGGGAAAAGGCGGGTGATTCTCCTGACAATAAATCAGGTAGAAGTAGTTCAGTATCATTTATACCTCCTGATTCGATACCGTAGAGGACTATTTTATGTCTCGTTTGTGACGTGAAAGTACTTTTCCTTTCTTTTGGTGGGTTTTTCTGTCGACCAGTTTCAGATCGGACGCTAGGTGTTGTTCAGCATTCCAGCGCTATGCTATGTGTCTCCAGACACCCGACAACAATTTTTGGCAGCCAAACAGGTTGGTTCAACAAATTCAACATTTTCAAATTTGTTCGAGTGACGGTGCAAAATTGACTTGAGTTGCTGAACTTGATCGATTAGCTACGGAGTTCAGTTGTTGGTGCAAAAAATCAAACCAGTCGTGTTATAATTAAAGTAACGGAAGGTTGTTGGCACAGCACTTTAGTTCAGAGCTGATCTATATATTGATATTGACCTTCATATCAATGATATGGTTGGCTAAAAAAGATTAATCCTTACTAGCTTTGAAGGGCATTCTGCTTTGAAATCACCACAATTTCATTTCTACAATAATGTGAATAATTTCTAAAATAGGAAATAACCTATAGTGGTCGGTTGGTTACGGTTGAAAACTCTATTCAATCCGGACTTCGGCATCGCCATTTTGTTTCTCCGAAAGTAGAGAGTTAGTGATAGACTCAAATATCAAAATTAATTTTAAAATATAAGTCTTGCGTGGGGGAATTGAAAATGGAAAGCGAGAGTTTGGGTACTGCAAGACCCATTTATTCCAAGAAAAACCAGGGCACCGTGCTACTACACATGATTTGCAAGAAAATAAAGCCCCACAATGAGTGGCCATGTATCACTGCAAAATTTCCACCTCACCATTGTCAATCGCAAGCCACATGCCGGCTATCCTGGCCTCTACAGATGAGATGCGAGTGTAAGTCGCGCGGCTCACCCCAGTGACATAGGGAGAGGTGGTCTGCCTTCAAACACAGAGTGAGAAGACATCATTTGGTAAAGAAAGGATGAGCATACCAGGCCGCAAAAATACCAATGTGACGACCCCTAGTCACTAGATAATATTGCCCCTGCACCCCAGGCTCCGGCACATTGAATGCCCAGCCTTGATAGGTCTGGATTAAGACGGGAGCAGGAGCAGCCCCAACCGCAGCTGTGGGCGATGGGGCGGGCGGGGTGGGAGGGGGCAAAGGGGAGGGCGGGGTGGAGACTAGCGTGGAGGATGTGGCCGTTGCTGGGCTGGGCACTTGCGCCAAAGGGGTGGTGGCTGTTGGAGGGGCAGATCTCCTAGTTGCAGCAGAGGTTGCACCAACATTGGTGCGATCCAGCACTGCGGACACCAACCTCATGGCACTGGTGCTGGAGAGATCGAGGTTGGCCAGTAAGGCCAGCACAATATCTGAATAATTTCAGTTAAATAATACATTAAAACAAATTAGTACGTACCTAGCGTTTCCTGGTTCACGTTCTCGTTGTTCTCTTGCACAGACTGTGCGCGTGACTTGCCAGAAGAGCCACTCGGACAGTCGGGGAAAGAGTGTTGAGTCATTGCAGGGAGGGAATGGATGGACTCAACAATGGATTGGGAGGGTACAATAGCTGCTTGGAAGTGCTTTACAAACACGCACCTTTATACCACGTACCTTAATACCATACACCTTGATATAGAGGAAATGTTGCCCCCATGGTTGTAGTGCTGGGGTCCTTGAGGACGACAACAAGGAGGAACAGTAAAAATTTTCGATCGATCAACAAGCGATCACTTCTGTCATTCATGTCATGTGACCACAACCTAAAATGGTGTCCTCAGTCTATCAAATCCAGAGTCGCGCTTTGGAATCCTTGTCTGAATGCATCAATGCATCAGACAAAGCTCTTCTCGGAGAGATAATCAGAAGACAGGTGAGGCTTAAAATGTGCCTTCTTGATATACTAACACACCATTTTCTTTGGCGACGAGACAAATGCCAAGTAGTACCTGTTCTTAGATTTACCGCCCGGACTATCTGAGTCTCCAGATGCAAACTCTATCGGACTTAAAGACATGGACAACAAGGGATTTGCAGCTTAAGTGGTTGTGGTGGAGTTTGGAGGTAACCAACGGTGAAGTGGGGGTAGTGGGTTACTGTAGATGAGGGGGGGGGCGAGAAAGGGCTATAGTGTAACCGAAGTTAATATCATGTGTTTTGCAATGGTAAATCTGATTCAGATAGTCTGGATGATAAGGACCACAAAAAGGGTTGAATATGGAAGAATAACCGCTCGGCGTTGAATAAGAGCCACCATTCGCACTGCCTTGGCTAGTTGAGAAGCATCAGCCGCATGTGGGCTGTGTGGTAGAACCGGGAGTGAGGATTAGTGAGGGTTTCTATCATAGGGCGCTCAGCTACTGGCTTGCAGGAGTTTCAGACTTGGTCAGGCATGTCCGGTATCACGAGTCCTGATTATAACATTGCGCTGCAGAATGGTAATGCCAAGTACATAGAACTTCTAATAGATCACGCTTGGGCCCCATTGTCCACATCTGCCTGCCCAGATCCATTGCTATCTGAATCAGTCCATTCATGCATGTAGTCACTTTCGTCGTCATCAGAGGAGAATTCGTTTGCGCTTGAACTGCCCCTTGTGTACGTTGGCAGCGGCTTGTAGACTGGAAGGTCCATGAGAGGCATGAACTCAGACCCCACAAATCCTTCATCTGGCAACGCTGGTTGGTCCATAACAGCCTGTTGAAGTTCGTTGTTCTGTATTTCAGTTAGATGTGCAAGTAAGTTGAGATACACATCCCACGCATTATCTTGTGTGACTATGGGCGAGCCAATACTAGAGATAAAAGCTGAAGCTTGCTGCGCAAAAGCGGGGGGAACAAGTTCAAAGACAGGGTGATCAGGAGGAGCATACGTATTTCTGACTTTGTCAAGTGATGGTAAATGTACTTTGACCTGTTTGATACAATTAGTAATAGACTTGGATATTGCCCCATGAAAAACATACAGAGAAATCTTGAGATTCGAAGTTTTCTGGCTGTTCAAAAATGTCGGCAGGGCGTTCATGGGGCAAGATCTTGTTGCGGTTGTGCCTAGGAAGGGTATGGTTGAATCTGTCCACAAAAAGGTGGAGTTCATCTTGCAGCCAAGGGATGAAAACGTAGTGAAATGTCAGCCTAATGAGCAAATGCCATTAGATGCTATCAAGTCCGTTTTTATAATAACTCACCTTTGCAAAGGGTTGTCTGGATTGTATAAACCTTCATTCAGCCCATAGTCGAGAAGGCGTTCAAAACCAGGAGACCATCGCCTACGCAACTGGTTCCAGAAAATTTCGGGTTTGATATTGCGGTGCGACCCTTTAAACTTATGTTGTAGAGTTCGTTCCAGACTAGGGTCTTGAAGGTGGCGCAGAAGAGTGTGACCATTCGCGATGCCATTGTTTTCGGATCCGGGGTCACTTTGGGTCACCAATGGCATGCCTAGGATGTCATTAGAGTTGTTAGTTTCAGTAGTGTGAAGTGCTGAGAAACGCTTACCGCCAAGTTTTGGGACAGTGTCACAGTACCAACCGCATATCAAGCGGGGATTGCGGTTGGTCCACCAGACCTTGAGCCATAAAACCTGCCCCGAGAATGGCTCCAGACCAACGTGTAGGAACAATTGGAACCGTTGCCATTTGTTATGTTGGTCAAATGACCACAGATTGTTGACACCCGCAGTCCAGTAGTAGCTCCGTTTGAGCCGTCGACTTCTCCGTGCAATGACCTCTTGACGATGGTGGGTATTCATGTATTCCAAAATTAGCTGGCTATATCACAAGGTGAGTGGATTAAAGTGTCATTCACAAAATCAACTTACCGTGGTACCATGATTTTCTCTTCTTGTAATAGAGTCTTTTTCATGTCATGGGAACCTTGCACAGGGAAGCGGGTGCGGATACGTTCGATGGCGGGACCTATGCTCTCCAGAGTGTGGGCCTGCCCACGTGCACTCTTCAAGCCCCACTGCATGCATTTCTTTTTCAGGAGTGCCAGTCTATACGATAACACCGGTATGAGCTTTAAAATACCTAGCTACAGTGTTAACTTGGACACGTACGAGAGTTGGAATTGGTCTGTATCATAGTGTTTCTTCAGTCTGTTGACTATTTCTTGGTTTGAATACCTAGCGCTGACATACTGTTCAATCAGCGGACGCACTGTCCCATCAGGAGCTGATCAAGCATTATGTAAAGACCCTAGCTGTTATGCTGGTAACCCAAGCAGCGTAGGACTTAAATCAGACAACAAGTAGTGACAAGCAAGTATAAGAGTAAATCTACAACTAGGGTATGTACATGGATATCGTGCTAGTTATATAGAAGAAGGCATGAGGCTACGGTGAGGTATGACGTAGCGTATTTGTAAGTAACATGTGTATCTCGTGAGGCTGATTGGTAATGAGTATTACTAATAGGTCACGTGATTACTAGATAAGATAAGATCAAAGAGAGATTAGATTAGGTGAAATAATAGTCTCTATCTTGCGATTAGATAAGAAAGATGGGTCAGATGGGTACGATCGTGACATTACCCCCTCCTTAGGACTTTCGTCCCGAAAGTGAGAGTCTAGTTTTCCAGTTTCCCAGTTATATAAGGATTTTCGAATATGAGTTGGAATGGTGAAGTTTTCGAATGGTTGGTAGTTCAGGGTAAATTCTATCCTTCGGGGTGCACTGGGGTTTTTATCGTGAAACTGTTTTACGAGTTTTGGTGAGTGTGTTAGGTTTGATTCGGGTTCCCACGTGCGATCCTCTTTTGGAAAGTCTTTCCAATGTACCAGATATTCTAATTTCCCACGTTTCAGTCGTGAGTCTAGAACCTCTTCTACTTCGTATTCTTTGATTCCTTCCACTATCACCGGTGGTGCGGTTTTTGGTTTCTTTTGAGTTTCAAACTCTGGTTCTTTGAAGGGTGTTAGCAACTTTTCGTTAAAGACTGGGTGTATATTTTTCCATCGTCCAGGAAGTTTTAGTTTATAGGCTCCTTCGCCTATTTTCTTTTCGATGGGGAAAGGTCCATGTCTTTTGTCGTCGAGTTTCTTTGCAGGTCTGTCGGTGGTTATATGTTCCGCTTCAACATATACCTTGTCTCCTTCTTTGTAAGCGACAGCTTCTCTTTTTCCTTTGTCATATTGTTTTTTCATATTTTCTGCTGCTTTTACCAGCGATTTTTCTGCTTCTTTCCTCGTTTCTTCCATCCTCTTTACGAACTCTTCCGCACTCTCTGTCTTTACCGTACTTCTAATTCCTTTTGCGACTTTCGGATGTTGTCCTGAATTCAGGAAGAAAGGGCTATAACCAGTTGCGGAGTGTGATTTGTTGTTATATGAAAATTCCGCTAATGGTAACCATTCGGCCCAATCCGTTTGTTTGTGATTGACGAATATTCTGAGATACTGTTCTATCTCTTGGTTTATTCGTTCTGTCTGTCCGTCTGTCTGAGGATGATAAGGGGTCGATGGATTTCCTTTTATCCCTAGGAGTTTGTAAAGATCTTTCATAAAGTTAAAGACATATTGTGGTCCTCTATCTGAAATGATCTTTTCTGGTATGCCGTGATTTCTAAAGACGTTGTCTCTAAATAATCTGGCTACTCCTTCTGACGTTACCTTATCGTAAGTCGGCATGACTTTGATCATCTTTGAGAAACGATCTACTACTACGAGTATCATGTTGTAACCGAGAGATTCCGGTAATGGTCCGATTAGGTCTGTGGTAATGATTTCCCATGGTCTAGTTGGGATTTCATTAGGGTGTAACGGTGCCGCTTTCTTTTGATGATTAATCTTTGTGCGTTGACACGTTTCACAGCCTTCTACGTATTTTCGGATGTCTCTGTCCATGTACGGCCACCAATACCATATAGTTACCAATTCTTTGGTTTTATACTGTCCGGGGTGTCCTGCTACAGTGGAGTCATGGTTTTCTTTTATGATATGTTCTCATAATTTCCCGTCTTTGGGAATATAGATCCTTCCTTTGAATATCAACATCTCATCTTCCATCCATATGCCTTTTTCTCTGTCTTCTCCTTTCTCTATCATCTTTCGTGCTACTTCGTCTACGTTCATCATTCTTTTACAGATCCATTTGTATAATTCCACTGCATCAGCTGATTGCTCTGCCATGCGTTGTCTTTCTTTGTGTGAAATCATCATTCTGAAATGTTCTGCTTTTAGAACGATTACGTTTTCGTTGTCATCCACCCCCCTTTCATGATCTGCTCGTCTCGAGAGAAGGTCAGCTTTGATGTGTTTGGTACCTGGAATATGATGGAGCGTAAAATGATAATTGCTCAGTTCCATGACCCATCTAGCTTGTCGTCTGTTGAGCTTTTGAGGTTGTTTGTAGTAGAGAAGATTCTGGTGGTCTGTCCAGATCTCAAACACCTCTTTTGCATCAACGAGATAATGCCTCTATTCTTCTAAAGCAGTCATTATGGCGAGAAGTTCTTTATCGTAGATCTCATAATTGCGCTCTGTAGGATTTAACGCTTTTGAGAGATATGCAATTGGTTTCCATTTCCCATCTTGCATTTGTGATAGAACTGCTCCCATCGCATAGTCGCTGCTATCAGCTTCTATTTTGAATTGTCCGTCATCGGTTGGTAAGGCGAGTACAGGAGTTGATCCGACACGGGTTTTTAATCCGTTAAAAGCGTCGATCTGTTCCTGTTCCCACACAAACTCTACTTTCCCGGTCAATTTTGTTAATGGCTTGGCGATCAACCCAAAGCCTTCTATGAATCTTCTGTAGAAGTTCACGAAACCTAAGAATGCTTGTACTTCCTTCTTTGTTTTGCATTCTGGCCATTCCATGATTCCTTTTACTTTTACCGGATCCATGCGGATTTCATTTTCTGAAATGATAAGACCTAAGTATTCTGTTGAGGTCTCTTCGAAATCGCATTTTTCTGGTTTTAGGTAAAGGTTGTTCTTCCGTAAGATATCTAACACTCTACGCGTCATTGCGCGGTGTTCTTCAACTGTTTTTGTGAAAATCATGATGTCATCGAGGTATATTACGACTTTTCCGTCATCAATCAGATCTTTGAATAGCGCATTCATCATGGTTTGAAATGTCGCTGGCGAATTGGTGAGTCCGAAGAACATCACTAGTGGTTCAAAGAGCCCTCTATTTGTTCTGAAGGCTGCTTTGTGTTCGTCTCCATCTTTGATTCGGATATTGTTGTATCCCCATCTGATATCTAACTTTGTGAAGTACTTCGCGCCCCTGAGCTTGTCTACAAGTTCATTTATCAAGGGTAGCGGGTATCTATTTTTGATGGTGATATCGTTTAATCTCCGATAATCTTGGACGGGTCTAAGTTTTCCATCTTTCTTTTTTATGAAGAAGAACGGGGATGCGAATTGAGATTTGGAAGGTCTGATTCTTCCTGATTCGAGATTCTCTTTTATGAATGCATCTAATTGTTCTTGTTCTCCTAAAGCTAGTGGATAACATTTGCAGTCCAGAGTATGGTCGCCTGAAATGAGTTCTATGGCATGATCCCATTGGCGTCTTTCTGGCAGTGCATCAAATGATTCCTTATTGAATACGTCTTTGTAATCGTGAAGGTATCTTGGAACTATCTTTTCGAATCCTCCTTCTTTCTGATCTTTACCGGCGGCTTCGGCAAGCTTCTGAGCTGTTGTGCCTTGTGCCCTGATATGGTAATAATGATCATCAATAGAAGTATCTTCGTAGTTCATTAGATTCACTTGGATCAGCTGATCCCCATCTGAGCGATCTACTTCCGAAAAGTATGTGTCAGGGTCTTCTTCCGGATCAAGGAAGTCAACCTGTCGTTTGCATTCTTTCGGGCATCTATCAAAGTTTAACTCCGACTTCTTCCAATCTATAGTAGGATTGTGCTTTGTCAACCACTCATGTCCGAGGAACATGCGACCACTCCCTAAGCTTGTTACGGCAAAGTGAATGTTCTCTTTGTGGTCTTCTATGCTCATCCGTAATTCTATAAATTCTTTGATAGCACCGTCTTTGTTAAGCGTGCCATCAGCATTATAAACTGGAATGGGTCTCGGTATTGTCTTTGTTTCGTAACCTTGTTCTTTTACAAACATTGAGTCTATACAGCTTCCTGTGCATCCACTGTCTAAGAGAGCTTCGATCGTCGTTGATCGGTTTGTGTCAAGAGTTGTGAGTTTGCAAGTAATGTTCATTTGATTTCCTTGCGTTCCCCTAATATATTTCTTTGGGGTATGTAACTCTAATAGAGCGAGTTCAGCATCGTGCAGTGTTAATGCATTCAACTCTTTTATTGTCTCTATTGTGACTTCTTTGCTTCTCTTTTGGTGCGTCCAGATGTTGAGAATACCAATGGATCTGTCTTCCTTTTGGTCTCGTAATCTTTCAGCAACCCAAAGTGGCGTCCATGCCGCTGTCAGTTTCTTTCTTTCTTTGTGGTCTAGGTTTTTATTAGAGGTGTTCCTGACCTCTTTGGAACTGGTCGAACCATCAGTTACATCAGTGCTTCCCAATTGAGTCACTGCTTTCTGTGGTTCTGTTGTTTCCAATGAAGTGCTACCCGATTGAGTCACTTCCTTCACAAATTCTTTTTTAATTACTGCGCTTTTCTCTTTTGAGTGCGCCGCAATCTCTGGGATCTTTCTAACCCGTTCCCTATTCAGGTTCACATCTTTTTTAGTTTCCTTTTAATCTTAGATCTGCTGCGTCTTTGTTTAATGTGATGTCATTTTCATGATCGGTAGTAATACAACACATGGTAGACGGCAAACAGGAATCTTCGATCGACAAAGAAGAGAAACTATTACGAAAACTATTGTCTCTAGGCACAGCCGGTTGATGTGTTACCGCTGGCCTCTTCAAAAACCCTGAAGGATCTTTGTTCTTTCTTCTGCACTCATGTTTTGCAAAAACTCCCTAACATTGAATTGGGGTTTTGCGTGCGCCTCTTTCTTGCATTCGAAGGATCGGTGTCCTTTTTCTCCGCACCGGTAGCAGAGTCCTTTCTGTCGGTACTCCGCTTTATCGACCTTCATTGGGTCACCGGCTTGGGTATAAAGGTACCCGGTTCCGTCCTTCTTTCTTTCGACCTTTGGTTCGGTCTTTCCTCCTCCGTCTTGCTTCTTTTTCTCTGGGCTTCTGAAGCTCTCCTTTTCTGCCTCTCTGTGGCGCCATAAGTAGTCAATTCTGATTAACTCCTTTTTCCACTCTTCGTAGTTGGCTGGCTCTCGGCCGCCGTATATCACCTGATTGACCAGGGGTTCGTTCATGTTTCTACGTAAGAGCGAAATGAGGAAATCCTCATTGGCTACTTGGAGGTAGTTAGCCTCCCTTCTCAGTTCTTCGAAGTGTTCGAAGTGCTTCTCTGCCGTGTTTTTCCCTTGGCGCAAGATCATAATGTCATTGCGGGCGGCGAGTTGCTCGTGAACACTTTTGAACCGAGTCTCCATCTTGTGGGCGAACCACTCGAAGCTTTCGTAAGTGGATTTGAGGTTTTCTCCTCGCATCCTCTTTTCGATCTTCGTCTCCATCCACTCCGTTCTGAAGGCAGCTGCTGCTCCTCCTGTCATAAAAGAAAGTACATAGGCAATCTTTCTTTTATCATCCGCAAAGTACTCCTCATTATCTTCGTAATTAAGCATCAAGGCCTCGCGGAAAGCCTTATACTTCTTTCTATCTCCATCGAAGTTCTCAGGCTTCTGGAGTGCCGTTCTCGTTCTATCTACGCGTCTCGGCTGTGTATTGGGCGGCGGTGGTGCGGATGTAGTTGGAGCGGACGTAGAAGTATTGGATGTAGCTAACCTCAGCTTGGCTAGCAATTCTTCTACTTCTTCTTTCACCTCCTTCAACTGTGTTTCGTAAAGGTCGTGGAGTCGTCGCTGCTCCTGCTCTATTCTGGACTGAACGTACTGTTCCAGTCCAGCTTCCTTCGATGTTGGTGCTTGGGGTTCTAGGGGTGGGAGTGAATTTAATAATTCTCCCATTCCTGACGTCTCTGGTGTGTCCGGCTCGTCGCGCGGACCTCGCCAATCTCCGTACGCTTCTGTCGTCATCTGGGATAGGGGTGTTGTATCTTATTCTGATTGGTTCTATAGGTGGGAATGTGAAGTCGGTTTCCCAGTATAATCTGTTTTGTGTGTAGAACCGTTCTTCTGCTAGCCACTCTTCAAATTCACCAGGTTGCATACAAAAGAGTTTCCCGATGATAAGTCGGATCAACACTTTCTAATGTAAGATCAACCGGTCTATCTGTTTCCTTCTTTAGTCAAGCGGTTCCTCTTCTGTCCCGCACTGACTGTGTACGTAACTAATTCTATCTGATATATCGGTGTTCTAAAAGTATAGTAACTGAGGTCCGAACGGTTGTCTCAGTGATACCCAGCGAATAACCGCGTGCAGGTCTTTTCCAACTGGCGGACTCAAGTGAGCGGCCTGGTCAGAAGCGTATGGAAGTTTATCTAAACTAAGTAATACCTATCGGGCTCCACGCCGTCAAGGGTTCTAGCTAAAGGGTTGGAAGGGGGTGTGAGGGGGATATCGACAAACGACTCGGTGGGTGAGACGTTGGCAGGGAAAAATGAGATAATGGTTGATGGTCGGGTGATAGGTGTGATGATAGTGGGTTTTGTGATAAAGATGTAGAGTTTGGCAATGCCAAAGAGTATGATTGCGATGAGAGGGAATAGGATGATGATTAGGATGGCTGTGCTTTTGCTCATCAACAGGTGTCGTTCGAGTTGTAGATTATGTAAAGACCCTAGCTGTTATGCTGGTAACCCAAGCAGCGTAGGACTTAAATCAGACAACAAGTAGTGACAAGCAAGTATAAGAGTAAATCTACAACTAGGGTATGTACATGGATATCGTGCTAGTTATATAGAAGAAGGCATGAGGCTACGGTGAGGTATGACGTAGCGTATTTGTAAGTAACATGTGTATCTCGTGAGGCTGATTGGTAATGAGTATTACTAATAGGTCACGTGATTACTAGATAAGATAAGATCAAAGAGAGATTAGATTAGGTGAAATAATAGTCTCTATCTTGCGATTAGATAAGAAAGATGGGTCAGATGGGTACGATCGTGACACATTAGCAGCCAGCTGTGAGCATAAAAAGGGACTTACGAGGAGGAAACCTAGTGCCATTTCGTCCTCTTGGGTTAGGCATGGGTTACTAGGAGAGAGACAAGATGGAAGTATGGAGTGTAACTAGTGGACTACCACATGTAAACTGACCATCGCATACTAGTCCTCCAAGTTGTGTGAATCAGCATGACTGCCATGCGTTAATCATGTGTTATACCATGTGTTTGGACTGTCGTTCTAGGTTTCAGCCACCTTGTTCTCAAACTGGGCTTGGAGGTGAGCACTGGTAAGCTCTGATTACTTTGCGAACTGAGAACGTTTGCGAATGACGTCCGACTCACGAGTTGCCAGTGAATTTCTAGATGGCCGCCACCTTGTTCTCAAACTGGGCTTGGAGGTGAGCTCGGATCACTTTCCGAACTCTTAATATTTGCAAACAATATCGGATTCTGTGGATATAGGTGAGCATTATCATATTATATATAACTCACTAGCAGGTTGAATACTCAACACAACCTCCCATGGCTGACTTCACTCCTTCGAACCAAGTGGCCCCTAAAAAATGCGATCGATGTAGTGTCCTCTTCCACCACAGCACCACTTTTCACTACATCAAAGGGTCCAATGGATCAGGTAGGAAGTGCTGCATAGATTGCCATGAGCATTACCTTCGTAAGTGTGCAGCTAGTCAACAACAGACTGAGGGAAACACAGGCCCACTCACAGTCGGTGAGTGATCAGTTTCTTCTATTTGTATGATATCACTGATGCGGGACTTTTTCATTTAGAGTTTTCAGCCGTTATGGGTCAGGTTCTTGATGGCAATGCCAGAAAAGAACTCATCCGAGCTTCTTCTGCGGCACAATGTGGCAGTAGGAAATTTTCATTCTTTCCCATACACCATGAGCTGGGCTGACTGGTTATTTTACCTATCAGAGGATTTATTGCCTACTCAGCATTTAGGCTCGAGTTTGATGCCCCCTCCACCTTCTACCAGTCGTTCTTTGTCGGTTACATACTCTCGCCCTTTAACTGGCTATACATCAAGTCATGCAAACTATACTCACCACCGCAACAAGATGATGGCCTCGACAAATTCACCTCAGCGTCAAGTAACAATCCGTGGGGCGTTGCATCATTTGAAGGTCGAGGGTAAGTCTGGAACGGAGTTAGTAGGAGTACGTGTCATGTTTTTTTAACCTCCAATTTCCCTAATCTGATGGTTTCTTTTTTATGCTGGTTACAGAACATTGAACGGGATATATCTGTCCCTTTGTCCATCACTGCATGCCAGTTACGTTTGACTATTATTGACAACCTACAGCTTCTATGGTCGGATTGGTCGGTCGGTTATGATTTATCACTGGAACCTCTCGAAATGCACAAAGCGCCAAAATTACTGATTTATGACCCTCGCCTGCCTTTCAATGGCGTAGAAAAACTCGTCCTCCACGACTTTTTCTTCCGTATATCAGGTAAAGATCCCACCCCAAGGTTTGCCCCAAATTTGAAGGTATCATTTATCTTGGTGATGACAAATGCCCAATTTGAGGACATTTTGTCATGGAAATTGGAGTGTAAGCGGGGCCCAGGTGCCCATGGGCAACAAGTGTCTGATGAAGCAGACACAGACTTGGAAGAAGCGGAACAGTCAGGTGTTTATAATCCGATGGATGAGGTACATTTGTTTTATCTTATTTTTTCACTATTTTTTCCATGTTCTATTCTATAGGTATTTCGTGCCGCTACAACATTTGGCCAGAAACGTTGCGTTGCCCAGGCTCATGGAGGCCCAAGTGCTTGTGGAGAATCTAGCTCAAACTCATTGTCCAGCAAAGTAGGTCGTCCAGCATCCTGCTCTCAGGTTCGTAACATTTTTTTTTTTTTTGTTTTTATTACCATGCCTAATTAATATTTAAATAAACTCTACTGTAAGGCCTCAACAAGTATTCCGTCCAGTTCATCAAGAGATCATGAAATCAACAACACTTATGTATCCGTGGTAAATGAAAATTGATGCCAATTGTACAAACTAATCTTAACCACTTTGTAGCGTCGCTCGGCTTCGCCACGGACATGTTCAGCACTGGCCCCACTCTTTTCAAGTGTAAGCCCTGTAAAGACAGGAAGCCCAAGTCCAAGGAAAGTAGCCGGCAGCCCTGTGACCATCAGGTCACTCTATACTATGACTGATGAACCTGTCCTCGAGCAAGACTGCATTGATCCCATTAGCTTCGACATACCAGACAGTAGCACCCTCAAGCGCGTTATGAAAGCACAAGAAGATGTACGCAAACAAGCAAAGTCTATTCGTAAGTTTCCTACAATTGTTCCAGCTTACCTACTAATAAAATTACAAGTTAACAATGATGCTAGGGCCGCTATCATATTCACAGTTCCTTGTGTCTCCTTTGCTCAGCTTTTAGAAAGGCTTCGCTCTTTTGACTTTAAGGACAAGGCTAACCAGCCTGTTGTAACTCTTGCTGTGGACCGTACCACAAAATCAATGGTAGCGCCGGCTGGTAGCTTCAAAACTTGTCACCCAGCATCATTCATCAATCTCGGAAAATTATCTCAAACGCAAGTCACGGCGGCGCCAATCCTAGGGCTCGATGGCATTGTGGCAAAGCGCATCTACTGGAGGGCCTCAGGCCCCACATCAAGTCGAAAGCGCTTAGCGATCAACGACAAACTCGCAAAGACACTTGATGAAGCTAACTGCCTGTATTGGGCTACCAGCTTAATGGATCTACTTTACAGTTTTTGTAGACAACACACTAGCCTGCAGATCCCCAAATGCACCACCCATCACCATCCCTCGTCTTCGTCTTGTACAAGCTGCAGTAGCTATCCCTCAAGACCCATGTGAAGCTAATGCCGCTGTCTACCTGTTGGAAGAGAAGATAACTGGTAAATTTGTGAAATACATAAATAATAACAGTGCAGTGCCAAGGAAGAATCTGGAGGGTTCGGGGTTAAACATAGCAGAATTCCTGTGCTTTGCACAGCATGCACAATACAACATGACTGAAGGCCTGGTGTTTCTCTCTGACTTTCAAGGTCGGTCCTTTTCCCCGCTGTCATACACCAAAGTTGATTGGTAGCATGGACAGGTGTCAATAACGAAGCAAATATTCAAAAAGACTCGCCTTTGCGCCACACAGGCACAGTGCCACGTGGAATAGTAATTAATATTGCCTTTTTCGAACTTGTGGCTGATCAGCACCACCTCTATTAGGCAATCCAGTCACACTCACCTTTGCTTTTTCATTTGGTACTTTCCGCATTTCGGCATTTCGGCAAATTTTCGCGTCACCATTGGCTACACATTGCATTGCGCCCTCGCTTTTGTCGTTTCCCTCACTCCCCTTCCTTTGCCTAGCCCCACCATGGGCCCCTTCCTCTCCTTTTTATTCTCACCCGACGGTCGTTTCTGGATCCCCATTCTAATCCACTTTTTCGTCACCTCCACCCTCCTCCTCCTCATCTTATTTGCACCCCCACCATTTCTGTTGCCCTCAGGAATGTGTAAACTTGGGTAGGCCAAATCACGTTGTCGATGATGAGAACTGCTGTTAGAAAACCACACACAAAAACAAACTAACACACAATCCTCCCAGATTCCACGGAACTTGTTTATGGGCTTTGCCTCCTAGAACAGTGGGTGCTCTGGTTGTTCGTGGGGTGGTATGTATAAGGATCCTTCAAAGTAAAACCCAGAGATGTATGGGTGTAGGTTTTGAGGAGGAGGGATAGTTGGAATATAGAAAGATAGGGGCTTTGTGGCGAGTATAGACGAGCACTACCTTGCTAATTGTAGCACATGGTAGGTTTGAGAACGACAATATGATGAGGTTCCCAGTGATAGCAGGCTCCTGACGCACAAACTGTAGTGCTCAGAAGGACTCTAATCGAAAGGGATGACAATGACTTCAAAAGTGGGAAGTGACGATGACAGCAGTTGACAGTGGTAGCAGTGGGAAGTGTTGTGACCACACTGGATCACAAGCAGCGGAGTAGTGAACTTGAATTTAGAGAAGAAGTCTGGAACAGAGTTCTTGTTGTTTTTTTTACAAGGTAAAATACAGGGGTTTATATAGTAAAAGAAAAGTAGGCTATGCACAGTATAGCTGTGCAAAAAGAATGAGAAAGAACATGAAGGAAGGAATGTACGCTGACGAATCCTGTGTAGGTAGTACAGGATAAGATTGTCAAAAAAAAGGAAAAGAAAGGGATAGAACAATGAATGCTCTGAGTAATGTCACAGGTTTGTACAGCCATAAAGTAAAGTCCAATAGCAAAAAGAGAGCAGGAAAATCATGATGTCATGGGAAGATGCAGTAAAAAAAAGGGCAAGGCAAAACACTATCAGTATCAACACAGTTCCTTTATTGTCAGTCAGACATTCTAAAAAAAATATGTGTCCATAAAAATGATTCAAAAATCAAAAATAATCGCACTGTAAATGAATGTACTGCTGAAAAAAAGAAAGTGGAGCCACCAGTCCACCACCTAGTCCAAATCCGACAGTTCCATGGCCTTACCAATGGACTGGTTGTGTTGGACCACCAGATCAAACGAGGGAGGGAGAGGAGTAGTTCCAATTTGGAACAAGTGAGTCCCAGGCAGCGTGTGGTAGGTGTAGCTGTAGTGAAGACGATGGACAAAAGATAAGTGTACCCAAGTGAATGGGACAGCGATGAACATGGGCGACGCAAGGGGATGAACCTTCTCCAGCTCAAAAACTACCCACCCACACTCCAACCAGGCAAGACGAGCGACCGATGTTTTGATAGTATATGATGGTAGATCGACATCATAAAGATGGACCTGTTGCCCTATTTGAACCGGCCGCCGGGGCTTTGCTGATATCAGCAGTGGCACGTGGTAGTCTACAGATCGGCGACGGAAGCGGATAGGAAGTGGTGACATCAGAAATGGTGGGGGTGCAAATAAGATGAGGAGGAGGAGGGTGGAGGTGATGAAAAAGTGGATTAGAATGGGGATCCAGAAACGACCGTCGGGTGAGAATAAAAAGGAGAGGAAGGGGCCCATGGTGGGGCTAGGCAAAGGAAGGGGAGTGAGGGAAACGACAAAAGCGAGGGCGCAATGCAATGTGTAGCCAGTGGCGATGCGAAAATTTGCCGAAATGCCGAAATGCGGAAAGTACCAAATGGAAAAGCAAAGGTGAGCGTGACTGGATTGCCTAATAGAGGTGGTGCTGATCAGCCACAAGTTCGAAAAAGGCAATATTAATTACTATTCCACGTGGCACTGTGCCTGTGTGGCGCAAAGGCGAGTCTTTTTGAATATTTGCTTCGTTATTGACACCTGTCCATGCTACCAATCAACTTTGGTGCATGACAACGTCCGCCACAATGAGCATCTTGAAAAGATAAACACTGGTCACGTTTATGAGCTCAGATCTCTAGAAAAGATTGATGATGACGATGACGAGGTAAAACCCGAGGAAGAGATTAAGAGGCTGGTACCTCCCGAGTACCATGACTTCTGGAAAGTCTTTTCAAAACATAAATCAGAACGTTTCCCAGAGGCTAAGCCTTGGGACCATGCTATAGATTTGAAGGACACCTTCAAACCGAGAAAAGGACACATGATACCACTCTCTGCTCTAGAAAGAGATGAGGTTTCAAGTTTCATAGACAAACAGCTTAGGAAGGGTTACATCAGACCTTCCAAAAGCCCTATGACGTCCCTGGTGTTCTTCATTCCTAAAAAGGATGGTAAGAAGCACATGATTATGGACTATTGTTACGTGAATGAGCACACGGTTAAAAATGCATATCCGCTGCCTCTGATCAGTCAGCTAGTAGACAAATTGGCTGGCGCCAAAATCTTAACAAAGATGAATCTCAGATGGGGGTACAATAATGTACGGATCAAAGAAAAAGATGCTTGGAAGGCCGCGTTCACGTGCCACCGAGGATCCTTCGAACCCCTTGTTATGTTCTTTGGGTTGACCAATTCACCGGCGACCTTCCAGAGCATGATGAATGAGATCTTTGCGGATATGGAAGACTGTGTCGTCATTTACATTGACAATTTGTTGATATTTACGAAGTTGGATGATGAGGCTGAGCATGACAGGATCGTGCAAGAAGTCCTTCGACGCTTACAGGAACGGGACCTATTCGTCAAACCCGAAAAATGTAATTTTAAAGTGAAGGAAGTAGACTTCCTCGGTATGATAATAGGCCAGAATGGAATCAGGATGGATCCTGAGAAAGTTCAAGCTATTTTGGAATGGCCAGAACCTACTGGTGTCAAAGGAGTTAGGGCCTTCCTTGGCTTAGGCAACTTCTACCGAAGATTTATTGAAAACTTTGCAAAAATCATGAGACCATTGAACGATCTCACTAAAAAGGACATTGTTTGGCACTGGGGCGCCAAGGAACAAGAAGCTTTTGATAAGCTTAAACAGGTGTTTACAACGGCGCCCATATGAGCATTTCCAGAATTAGACAAAGAGTTCCGGCTAGAAACTGACTCTTCTGATTTTGCTACTGGGGCTGTTTTGTCAATTAAATGCCCTGACAATCTTTGGAGGCCTTGTGCCTATTTATCGCATAGTCTGTCGCCGACAGAGCACAACTATCAAATTTACGATAAGGAGATGCTGGCCATCATTAGAGCTTTAGAGCACTGGCGGCACTACTTAGAGGGTGCTAGACACCAATTTGAAATTTGGACCGATCATAAGAATCTGGAGTATTTTATGACGGCCCAAGACTTGAACCGAAGACAGGCCCACTATGTGGTATACTTGTCAAGGTTTAATTATAAATTAATCCATAAGCCTGGAAGCTCTATGGGGAAAGCGGACACTTTGTCCAGAAGAGAGGATCATGCCAACAGCATCGAAGACCAATCAAGGGTTGCCAATGTTAGAATCGGGCAGGATTCCGATCTTCTGGAAGTCTTCAAGAAAGACATCTCCTCAGAAGAGAAGGCGCGCCTTGATGGCAATTTACATTATTTATGGGAAGATGGGCTCTTCCATTACAAGGACAAAATCTATGTGCCTGAGTCAGCAAGGATCAAGGCAATAGATAGACATCACGGCACTCCAGTGGCTGGGCACCCTGGGTGGCAACAAACAATGGAGTTGATCTCCAGAAACCATATGTGGCCTGGCATGGTCAAAGACGTACAGGAATACGTAAAATCCTGTCTGAGGTGTGCCATGGCTAAGAATTCTCACCAACCGCCAGCCGGTAAACTTATGCCGAATCCGATACCAGCTGGTCCCTGGCAGGACATATCAGTTGACTTTACGACGGATCTGCCCGAGTCAAATGGGTATGATTCAGTAATGGTGGTAGTAGATCGCTTCTCCAAAGAAGTGGTATTCATACCCACCAATAAAACCATTACCGCCGCTGGTACGGCAGATTTATTTAAAGATTTTGTGTGGTCTATCCATGGGTTACCAGAAACGGTTATCTCCAATAGAGGGCCACAATTCGCTAGCGAATTTACAAAAGAGTTATGCCGGATGCTGGGCATCAAACCTAAGTTATCAACGGTGTTCCATCTGCAGACCGATGGACAAACGGAGAGACTCAACCAGGAGTTGAAACCATATCTCCGGATATTTATTAATGACAGACAGACGGATTGGGCCAAGTGGCTAAAGATAGCCCAGTTCTCTTATAATATCAAACAGTCGTTGGCTACAGGAAAGGCACCATTCGAGGTTACTAGATTGTACCTCCCCAGAATGGGTGTAGAACCTGGCAAAAGCAAGAACAAGGCTGCTGGGAACATGGCCAAGGACATGAAGTCTGTCTTGGACAAAACGTGCAAGGCGCTATTCAAAACTGCAGAGCAGATGAAAGACAGGGCAGAGCGTAGATGCTCTAAAGCTCCTGACTACAAAGTCGGCGACCTGGTCTGGTTAGATACTGACCACTTGAAGTTAAAAGATCGGCAGTCTAGAAAACTGACCGAAAAGTGGATTGGTCCTTACCGGATTAAGGAAGTCAAACCTAATGCGGTGGAGCTGGAACTCCCAAAACAAATGAGGGTAGTACCCACGGTCAATATTAGCTGTGTGAAACCTTACACAGGGCCGCTACCGGGACAGCGTGTAGACCGGCCCGGACCGGTTATAGTCACCCAGGAAGGTGAAGAAGAGTTCAAAGTTGAACAGGTGGTGGATGCACGCTTGAAGCGTGGTAAATTGGAATTCCTAGTCCTATGGAAAGGCTATGGAGACGAGGACAGAACGTGGGAGCCAGAAGCCCATCTGGATAACTCCCGCGATGCTGTTCACGAATTTTATTCTAAGAACCCCTCAGCTCCTAGGAAGCTTAGAGGCATGGATTCAAAACTTTTTAATTCCCTTTTTCAAACTATGCCCAAAAATTTAACTACCACCTCCGGTATTTGGTCTCACCTGGAAGTCGAGCCTTAGAAGGGGGGTAGTGTTACGATAACACAATTTTCGGACCTTTCCTTCATTTTCATTCTCCGCTTTAACCTTGTATACTTTAGCTTTCACACATGGTGCCACGCGGCACTTCCCCTTTTGTTCAAGGCTCCTCTTTCTCGCGCCGTGTTGCCTTCTTCTTATTTTTAGATACAACTCTCTCACACAGTGGAGCTGGTCATGCGGGCTAGGCCCCATGACATCATCAGCCACTGACTTTACCAACTGTACAGTACATAAGTACAAACACTCTGTATTAGTATATATACCCCAATAGATCCAGGAGACTCCTCAGCAAGTCCTCCTGTTGTATACCAACAAACTCTCTGCAGCTTAAGGGGTAACCACTCCCTCACCACTACCTTTATAGTGTGTTCTTGTGTGCGCCAGAGTAACTAACTCTTGGTTGTTACACATTCCTTCCTTCATATTCTTTCTTATTCTCTTTGCACAGCTATACTGTGCATAGCCTACCTTTCTTTTACTATATAAACCCCTGTATTTTACCTTGTAAAAAAAAAATCCAATCCAGACTTCTTCTCTAATCTCAAGTCCACTTCTTACTGCTACTTGTGATCCAGTGTGGTCACAACACTTCCCACTGCCACCACTGTTAACTGCTGCCATTGTCACCCGTCACTTTTGAAAGTTATTGTCATCCCTTTTGATTAGAGTCCTTCTGAGCACTACAGTCTGCGCATCAGGAGCCTGCAACCACTGGGAACCTCATCACCTTATCACCTCATTGTTCTCAAATCTACCTTACGCTACAATTAGCAAGGTAGTGCTCGTCTATACTCTTTATAAAACACCTACCTTCTACATCCCAACTATCCCTTCTCCTCAAAACCCACACCCATACATCTCTGGGTTTGACTTTGAAGGATCGTCATATATACCACCCCACAAATAACCAGAGCACCCACTGTTCTAGGAGGCAAAGCCTATAAACAAGTTCCATGGAATCTGGGAGGATTGTGTGTTAGTTTGTTTTGTGTGTGGTTTTCTAACTACAGTTCTCATCATCAACAGCGCCAAAATTGTTGCACCCTCTAAATGGTGCGGCTACCGCTTGCTTAACCAATGGATTGCCACAATCAATTCAGCTTTCATAACATGATTCTTCCCAGCCGAACAACTTTGACCTCTTTCCTAACCTACTCCACTTCATTCTATCGCTCTACAAACAATTCTTCTTACAGCTACTCGGCTATGCACTTTTTCTTCCCTCCCTCCCTCGCAGCTCTTCATCCTTGTTTGTTGATGCCAGAAAGGCAAAAATCCTTTCACTCATAATTATTAAATAAACAAATACAAATATTCTTCATTTATATTGATTTTACAAATATCAATTCGGTGAACCCACAGTCTTCAATAAATATTACACGGAAGTGACACTCAAAGATTGACTGTTTGGGCTCCCACCTCCGGCAATATCCGAATCCCTCGTAAACATATATTTTTCCTGGCACTGATGTTCAAATGCTGGTATGGTTGACTCCAGTTGCACGAGTCTTTCCCCTTTTTCCCCAACGAAAGGGAGATATATCGAAGGGAAAGTGATATCGCAGACATGCAGGTAAAAGAGCAGTTACGAAGTGTAAGCTTGGATGTTGTGTTATTTTTCTGGCGGTTTGAGGCCCGGACATTCCTCGTGCAAATGGAACTGCGGTGATCCTCCACTTGCCCTCGATTCCTGTTATGCCCGCCTGGGCCCCATGCCTTGTGTTCCCTCGCGCGTCTCTTTGCTATCTCCACCATGTGCCTTGCTAACACCCAAACTTCACATCTATACTGATGTCATCTTCCTAAATGTGTTGACTGACTCACGCTGTTCGTTTTGGGAAACACTGAGAGCATGGTGAGGCTGAGGCCAAGGGTTCTTTGGACGAGTTGAGAATAGGCCGACGTCATACTGGGGCGTCTTATTTCCATAACTCTAGACGTCATCGAGCCCAAAACATTGCTTATAAGCCCCAGTGAAGGACGAAGATAAGTACATATCTTCATAAAGCACACATCCCCATATACAATATAAACAAAGTCTACACTCATCTCACTCATATAAAGCTTCTAAACTTTTAACTACATCATGGTCTGTGATATGCCTGCGTTATTCTGAATCATCGTGCTTACACTTTATGTGTTACAGGGTTCAATTATCTCTGCTATCGGCCATGGTATTGAGGTCGTCATAATGGCTGTTGCTGGCCTAATCATGGCCATCGTCGGTGCTGTTACGACAGTCAGTATAGTCACCAATAAATCATCGTATTAAACTAAAATAAAATTCCATTCTCAGATTATCGTCACGATATTTGATGTTATTCTCGACATTTTGTGCTGCAGATGCTTCGGATCTCGCAGATCAGGCATGCGCACAGGCAGAAGAGGGAGAAGAGGAGGGGGACTCGGAAGTAGCGGAATATACTGAGCCAGTTCTCGTCATGACTTTTTCGATATACCCTCATGACCTAGAGACGACCCACCAATGCTGTGAAAGCATACAAGAATTGATATGTACATGATAGACTTTTACTTTTACATTTACTGTACCTGGGCCACATGCCTCTTGCTAATATCTCAATTCATTGATTTATCTGACTATAAGTTTCATACATTTCTCGAGGAAGCTGAAGTGCCTGAGCAACAAACTTTACAATACTCAACGTCCCAATCATATAAACTATTCCGAAAAGGTAGACCGGGACGATTTTGGCATTTTCTCCCGAACTACCGTGACCTGCACCTCGATCCTCGAGGTATACTATATAAAACCACATTCTCTTCCCAGACAACCTATCTCTTATATCAGCTGAGGAGAAACTTTCCTATACAGTCCCTTCCAGAATTACGATGATCGAAACGATCTACATTGCGAGACATGGTTAGCCGCTTTCTCGGGTCTACCTCCTCACATTGATCTTGAGGAACGGTTCCGACAGGCTTTAGATTAAATTGGGTGACTACAAACTGGTAAAGACTTCGTACATTGTTTATTCTTGCCTTCAGTGACTGACGGCAGTGAAGGAAAAGTGTAACAGGCCTTCCTAGAGATCCACCTTTGGCTGCCTATGGCGAAGTACAGTTTCAGCAACTTCATGATCATTTTATCGTAATATTGACTATCTCCTTCAGACGCAAGCTCAAGAACTCGCCGCATATTTTTCCTCGTTACCAGCAGAGAAACGTCCGACTGCAATATTCTCCTCCCCTTACTGTCAGTCAATTATTCTCACCGATTGACTGTTCGCTTTAACAGATCCCATCCACAGACCGCTGCCTACAGACATCGAAGCCTACCTCTCAGTCCCTTGATGTCCCAATCTACGTCGAGCACGGTTTGTCATCCATCCTCCATCAGAGATTGACACATCCTCATAAATGAGCTGTAGGTCTTTCCGAGTGGTATTCTCCCGTAGCTGCAGGCACCGGCTTGCACCCACGTCCATCCTCCGCTTCGACTCTCAAGACTCACTTCCCCGAAATCGATCCATCGTGGTCTTCCATATGGTATCCCTCTCGCAGAGGAGAAGACGTGGATGAAATCCATGATCGCGTCGATGGCCTGTTAAAGCTTCTCGTTTCCGAGGTAGAAGAACGTTTTCAGAACAAACATACCCACATTCTACTCGTCAGTCATGCAGCGACATGCATCGCACTCACCAGGGAACTGATCGGCGATCGGGAGCTTGCACTGAGAATAGGGTGCTGTTCTCTGACAGAGATGGTACGGAAAGAAGGTGCCGGTGGGGTTCTGGGAGGTTGGGAAGCTAAGAGCCTTGCTGATGGAAGTCATTTGCGTGAAGGTGCTTCGAGGGACTGGGGTTTCGAGGATATTCAAATCACGAATGGCAAGGTGAGGAGTATTTCGACAAATAATCAAATCTAGAAAGCAGACTTACCACTACTATTCAGGTCATTGACGATGTGGGGGTACCGGGGACAGAAAGCGAAACAGATGATAACTCTGGGCCCCAGCCACAGCGTAGCAGCCTATAGATTATACTACTAAGAATGACCTGCACTATAGATTTGTTTGATTGCAATCAAATTCATTTCAATTAAACATTGTGTCATTTTTAGTAGTTCTCTCCTATTATAGAAATATAGAGAGGATATTACTTACCTTGAGCAATCGCATCGTGTGACTTCGTACGCTTGATTTTGCAGAGAGCTTATTGCCACTGCAGTACAGTTCAGACTTGACGGAGAAGCAAAGCACACGCTTAACTATATGAACACCACAGCTGATGTTTACAAAACTAAGGTCAATGAGCGAAAATTTTCATATATATGGGCTGGCTTGGAAGTAATACTCCAGACAACGATTGCGATCATTAATTACTTCTCGAGTCGCGTAAAGGGGTTAATTCGAATAAGACCAATAGTAAGGTGATTGATACCTGTATTATTCTCGTCTGTACCCACTGGACCCTTGTGCTGAGGACTAACATCGACTCGCACCTAATCTCTGATGACCCCGTACCAACGTTGTTCGGGCTCTGGCATTGTTTGATATTTTTCGTCTAAGAAAGAAATATTGAATCAGAGCTATAGAATGCTTATGACTACATTGATGACGAATCTGTCACATATGGAATATAGTACATACCTACTGAATGTGACCGCCAATCTTTGGATGTACGATATCAATCCAGTTTTGCTGAACTTAGCAGTGTCTGGAGCATGTTCATCACTGCATGAAACTCCTCTCTCTCGCCATCACTCAGCCCCGACAAGGTATCACCCCCAGACGATTGCAACGCAAGACCAACGATGACATTACGCCGATAGAACTTCAACGGTAGCTGATCTTCGAAATTCCATATGATAGTAGCTGCCTGGGCTGCATAGATCGAATGTAAAGCTTGCATGTGTTCTGAGGGGCCGCTGCCTAAGAGCGGGGTGAGTTGGACGGCAGGCGGAGGAGGAGGAAGTGGGTTGGGGTTTGATGCATCTGGAGGAGGAGCAGGTATTAAAGGTGTTGTTGAGGGTATCGATGTTTGAATCTTGATTGTGATGGTTTTGTCAATATACAGGTCCCAGAACGCGAAATCGGTCGAACTTTACCAAATTGCCAACTTTGCCCTTCTGGCTAATAAGCAGGAGGATACGATCCGCAAACTCTTGCAGTACAATCTCGGTACGAAGTCCATTCAGTTCCTTAGCGGTTTGTAAAACGTTCAGCATTTGGCCCGAGCAAACAGATTAGTATTGTGGTAGCAAGTGTAGTAGGGAATTTAGCCCAGTCCTTTCTGTAGAAGCGTGGGAATATTCCACCATATCTGCGCAAAGAAAAAGCAAAAAACAATGATCTGACCCTGGCTCGAACAGGAGACCTTCTGTGTGTTAGACAGATGCGATAACCAACTACGCCATCAGACCTTATATATATTAGAGAACCCATGCGAATCGAGGAGACTGAATCGACCACGATTTAATAAAACGAATGTCCATCGTATCCTTGAGCATGTTTAGTATCATATCACTGTACAGAATAGTTCTCCGATTTTCTTATCTCCCGCCAGTTTCGAGTGAGTACATGTCTTACCACATCCTCTTCGTTACAACCACCAACGGCTTCCTTGCCATCAATGCCTCTGGCGGCATCATCTCCTAGATTCAATTCATTGGGTCTCCTTTCGCCGTACTCCCGGGGCCCGGCTGACGTATAGTAAGCGTTACTTGCTTGAGCGATTGTATCGGCTCCTCGACAGTCGGTTGGTATAAATGGCTGATTGAGCGGAGTGTATATATACGACAGTGTCATTGGGGCAGGATGCTGTTAAAGGTCGTGGTCCTTATCAAGGGAAAATAATCATCACACAGACATAGATGATTTGACTTACAGCAGTGATCTCGTGCAGATCTCTTTGTATCGTGAGGCAGAAATCATCAATGTCTGGAAAGCATAAAGAGTTGAAGGGTGTTATCCGGCCACTTTTGCTTAGAACATACCAAGGTCATTAGGATCATAGTCAAAAGGGTTTTCTCTGGCCGCCGGAAATTATATTAGTTCGAGGCCATGTTAAACAATGGGGAAACGTACATTTCCTGCCCTATCTCCAGAAAACCGAGGAATAAAAACGAGGCAAATGTGGTGGCACTGGCGAGATATGAGTTTAAATCTCGTCCCAACTTTAACAGTGGAAATGAGTCGAACATACGGGATAGATAAGTATCCGAAGGTGCTATATAACTGAAACTAGTAACGAGATGCCCCTCAGACTTATGTCATGCGTCACGAAATTTAAGAAGTGGAACGTACTGGAAGGAAGAATAAATATAGCCTGTATAGGGTGGAAAATAGCATAAGTTCATTACTTAGAGGCGGTTATTCGTAAGGATATTGCTCACCAAGTTGATATCCTCAGATGGACCTGATAGGCGAAAGGAAGAGGGCTTGTTCGAACTCTCTCCAGATTTGCAAGTGAGTCCTGAAGCATACAGATGTTATTTGCGAACATCGTCGCAGCCGCCGGTTGGAGAAGTCCTTGAGCAAGAAGATGCGCAAAATACGATGAGAGATGGAGGATGAGCTCGAGTGGGACGTTTCCATGTTCTTCAGGAGGTGAACATACAGGTGATACACCAGTGAGATCAGCAGCGGAAGTACCAGTAGGAGAAGAATGGCAAAAATTAGCGGATTTGAAAAATGGGGACTTGGAAAGGAAAGAACGAAATTTTCCCTTGGGCGGATTCCGTGCAGATTCAAGTGGGTGGGTGCAAGGAATGGTCTGGTACCCTTTCTCGACATCAGACGTGTTCGTCCGCCTCGAATGTATTTCAGTGGTGTTTAGTATTGGGGCACCTGCTTCAACGTATCGTGAATCCTGTAAAGTCGAGGATCTACCCACAGACGGTAACATAGTTCGTTCCGAGGAGTGATCAAGATTAGCAGCATTGCGTTTATACGTTTTAGCGGATGTAGATGAAGAACGACGCCTTGAAGGTAGCACATCAACATGGGAAGCGTGCTGTGAAGCGTATTTCGGCAAGAAACATATGAGTGGGAAAAGGTCTTCATAATATATCCCAAGCTCTCTACGAAGAGAATGCTACATCAAGGAAAGTCATCAGAACGAAGAGTTTATTTTAGAGGTAGCATAAGATGGTATCATGGTTTTAATGTTACCTTGACTGCAATTGAGAATGCTTGTAACTGTGTAAGACGAAGTTTAGATGCAGTTCCGTGATAACACATGCAACAGACCTACCAGATTAATCATGGTCTTTTTCTCGATTGCTGCTTCCGTAAAAGACAACGCAGCACCGTTTATCTTATCCTCCCGATGAAAAGGAACATGAATCCAGATCTATCGATCCACAAATGACTCTGTCAGATACAATGCTGTATATTATCATGCATAGGTTGAGCTCACCACTTGCGCAAGGTTCCGCGAAGCAATAAATATGCTCGTCCATAACCTTCGTCCTTCCTGATATCTTTTTCCCCTCGGGTGGTTAACAACGGACGGATCTGAAAACCACTCCAGGACGAATACCTTTCATACGCGGACGATGTCCGAAAGGACAGGACTAGGGCAAGAGCAGTTCCCAATACTGTCAACATTCCGTTGGGAATTTCTAGAGAATGGCTTGTTTTTGCTGATACTAACGACACCACTACAGTTCGGCCATGCTCAGTACCACTGAATTCACACCTCAACTTGGGATAAATAAAACTCACTCGTGGCAATGGATGTGAAGCAGACTACACTTAGCCATATATCCTTGATGACGGTTGCTCTGAACCTAAGAATAGTCCATTTCGTCCAATTGAAGAAACCAAAAGAGCCTGAAAGCTTGGAAACCATCTCAAAAAGGAGAAGAAAGTGAGACGCCGTAGGACTGTCATAGACCTCGGACCTTATGATATAAGAGTAGAAAGTAAGGAAAACACACGGCAGGTGTTTTACATGCAAGAGACGGCGAATTGTGTGGAGTTGGTTTTCTTGGCTTCAGGGGAAATTAAATAAAACCCTCGCTAAGTGAACAACGTGTTTGCAGCATGTTGAACTATTGCCACAACGTTTACCATAAGCATCGTAGAATCCATGTCATGGAGTACACTTACAAAGTTGAATGAGGTGCAACAAGGCAGCTACTGGATAATCTTACATTGAGGAACAGGATAGCAGTCATATACTTGATAATAGTTCTTGATTCACGTAAAAATACAGAAGCTTTTACACGAAAGCTTGGATATCACCATGAGCGCATGTTTTCAATATAACTCATTATCAAGGCAATCCTCTTCCCGAATTGATTGCGTTGGCGACCTGACTTGTGTTTGGTCGGTTGAAAGCGTACCTAGCCAAGCCATCTTTATCAGCACTATTCCCATGGGTGCGACGGGAGCTCACCTTTCGTAACTGTCAAAATATAGCTGCTCAGTACTGCATGTTTTCTTGAAACTCGGATGCTCAAATAGCCTGTGCAACCATGAGTGGAACTTATCACCAGGAGGAAATTCAAATCCTCTATAATGTTTCAGGACGTTAGAAGCTCTGAATACCCCTAAAGACGTCGACTTCAGCAGAAAGAAGACATATCGTTGAAAGATCACGGACAAGGGCTGGCCATAACATCCGCCCATCCTAGATCGCGGCCCTCTGTCCATAGCCCAGTGCCTCCGACCTCTTTCTCAGAACGCTCGAACAAAGCAGTGAGGTGTTCTAAAGCAGATTGAAATTCTTTGCCCGCTTCAATTTGAGCTGTATTGTCCTGAGCCTGGAGATAGCGATAGAACGCAGGAATCAAAGTACGATTGATGTGGTCTGATTGCAAACGGACTAAGGCGCGCGCATCTGTGAGAATATTATAAATATAGCAGATTATCCACAATACGAGAACGATGCATCACATGGATCAGAGGATGGGGGAAACAGGTGTTTGGACGAAGATGAAGCAAGGCTAAAAATGAATCTGTCAAGGCATCATTCAAGGGACGAGGCGCTCTCATGCCCACTCTTCGATATATTCCATGATAACAGTACTTTCGTTCAAAGCCCGAGGAGGAGAGTAATCATGTAGTTTCAGAGCCGGAACTAAGCCTTTGGGCGAGACATCAAGGAGCTCTTTTGGTTTCTTGTAAGGGTCCACTTCATCTACGGTGATATGCGGTCAATAAGACAGTAAAGATCATATGGTCAATATTTTGCTAACGATACTGCGTTTTCAGAACAGTCAGTATAAGTCGTTCAAGTTATAGATACGATTATTAAGCTCACTTTGTAAGGAACTTCGAGGAACTCCAATGCAACCCATACTCTTTGGACAAACGGACAAAAGCAGCTTCCAAAGAGAGTTATACTCTGATCCTTCGCCCGCACCTGCGCTGTCTCGAGAGCGAGCCCAGTACATTCATTGTGATAGTGTTTCCCAGAATCTGTGTTTGCAGACATGATGGTAGATTTGAAGAAGCTCAGCGTGAGTACTGTCTGAGCGCTTTTAGGAACATCTACAGAACAAATGGCGTCATTGCTTCAGTGTAAACTAAACCATACGCAGGATAAATATGCTGTAAACCAAGCCTACCATAATGCGACGAGTGTGTTACTGTGTGTGTTGGGTCACTAGGACGAGAATCCGACAGATCTAAAGAAATTCTAAGAAACCACCAGACGAAACCCCATACAAACCAAAAGTACGCGTTGTGATAGTCTATAATTACTAGCAGCAAAAGCAGGTCCAAGATCAGGCAGCTAGGTCATTGGAAGAGCCACGACGTAAATCCTATGTATTCGGATTAAGTTGAATGGACATGAAGTCGTCATGTGAAGTGATATGCAAAGGATTGTAGCCAAGACTCAGATGAACGCATATAATTGAGTCCAGGCAAAAAACTAGGGTGATTTGCTAGTAGATTCTATGTTTGAAAACACCGCATACGCCGTAGTGACTGCGCATGAGGATTAAATGAGGACAGCCAAGAGGGTCGCAGGGCAGAAGGGTATGATGACTGATACTCCGGAGCAGATCCTCGTGTAAGATGTACTGCGGCTTATTCCTCCTCTTAATATAAAAGTATGAGTGGACGATGGAGTCAACAGCAAGACAACAAAAGGACGAGCTAGAAGGCAGCTCACAGCTTCAGCAACACAGCAACGCACAGCAAAATAAATGGTGATGGTGACGCGCAGCCAACCTGTTTCGAATTTTGTGTGGCGCTCACAAGGGCGTCCTGCCAAAACAAATCACTCCAAGCTACCCTCACTTGTCTCTGAGCCACCTTCACATTCTCCAATGCAAGCTATACGACTACAAAGGAAATATCCTGAGGTATCTCAGGAAGAGATGTTCGATCTCATCAATCGCTTCAAGTTAGTTTCCGTAGAATCCTGGACGCTTTAGTAACTGAATACATGATTTATAGTGCGATTGATACTGAAACTCCCGGGCGTATAGACAAATCAGCCGTACTTCAGTCTCTCCAAAGTAGTGGGGAGTCTTACGACCGTGCCCGTGAAACCCTTAAGCATGTTAGCGTCGACGCTAGTGGTAAAGTTGAGCTGGAGGATTGGGTAGAAGTGAGCGCTTTATGCTCATGATGTCATTCAAATCTAACATCAGGCTATCCAGCTGAATGTTAAGATGCGTACTCAGAGTCACACCACTACTTCAAAGGCAGGAAAGGTCACTGTACAAGGCTCTAATGCCAATGTCAGTCACACAATCAACGATGATGAACGCTCGGAGTTCACGAATCACATCAATGGAGTGCGTCGTTCGAGCTCACTTCCAACTACTGGTTTATATCATTTTACAGGTCTTAGAAGGCGATCCCGATATAGGATCTCGATTTCCAATACCTACTGACACAATGCAGCTCTTCGATGAATGTCGTGATGGTCTCATCCTTTGTAAGCTCATTAACGACTCCGTTCCCGATACAATCGATTTGCGTGTTCTCAACAAACCCAATGCGCGCAAACCGCTTAATGCCTTCCAAATGACGGAAAACAACAACATTGTCGTTACTTCAGCCAAGGCTATTGGCTGTTCTGTTGTCAACATTGGTTCCACTGATATTGCTGAGGGTCGAGAACATTTAATTCTGGGTTTGATCTGGCAAATCATACGCAGAGGTTTGCTTGCCCAGGTCGATATCAAAATCCACCCCGAGCTATACAGACTTTGTGAAGATGGTGAAACCATTGACGACCTGCTTCGCTTGACTCCAGACCAGATCCTATTGCGTTGGTTCAACTACCATCTCAAGGCTGCTGGTTGGAAGAGAAGGTATGTTTTTTGTTTCCAATTTGAGTACTACTTGCAGCAACTTACGATGCTTGCACTCTACTAGAGTAAACAACTTTAGCCGCGACGTATCTGATGGAGAGAACTACACTGTCCTTTTAAACCAGTTAAAGCCTGATGAATGTCCTCTTGCTCCACTGCAAACGAAAGACATCCGAACGCGAGCTGAGCAGGTAAAGCCCCTTTGTATAGATAACTCGAAAATATCCTTACCAAACGCAGGTTCTCCAAAATGCTGCCAACATTGGCTGCCGCAAATATCTTACGCCTTCTTCGCTCGTCTCTGGAAACCCCCGTCTTAACCTTGCCTTCGTGGCAAACCTATTCAACACCTGGCCTGGCCTTGCACCTCTTGACGAACAAGAAGCCAAGGATTACGGTGCTGTCGAGGACTTCGATGCTGAAGGAGAGCGTGAGGCGCGTGTATTCATGCTTTGGCTCAATTCTCTTGGAGTTGAGCCAGGGGTGTTCAACTTGTTTGAGAACCTCAAAGATGGTTTGGTCATCCTTCAAGCTTTCGACAAGATTCTTCCTGGATCTGTTATTTGGCGCCGGGTGTCAAAGCCGAAGCTCGCTCCTGGACAGTCACAGGCGCCGCCGTCCATGATGGACGGTGAGGAAGAAGAAGATATTGGTGTCACACCTAACCAGTCAAAGCTTTCCCGATTCAAGCAGGTGGAAAACACGAACTACTCAGTGGAACTTGGAAAGCAGAACGGAATGCACCTAGTTGGTATTCAAGGTGCTGATATCGTTGATGGATCCAAGACGCTAGTCCTCGGTCTCGTGTGGCAATTAATGAGGTGCGTGAGCGTTAGGCCCTGATAGGCCATCATTGCTTACTGCCTGCTGTTTGAATAGATTGAATATCACGAAGACTCTCACTTCCCTCTCAAAATCCGGACAAGGGCGCCCAATCAGCGACACAGAAATGTTGAAATGGGCAAACACCACCGCACAGAAAGCCAAGCCCACCGTTAGAACCATTAGGTCGTTCAAAGACCCCTCTATCACCACTGGATTGTTCTTCTTGGATCTTCTAGAGGCTATCAGGCCTGGTATTGTTGACCCTGCGTTGGTGATTAACGTCAATGAGAGTGGAGACTACGAGGAACGACGTCAAAATGGTACGTCTTTTTGGTAATACCCTGAAAGCTACCCCACTAAATACTGCTTTTTCATAGCGAAATTGGCTATATCCATCGCAAGAAAGTTAAACGCGTTGATTTTCCTAGTACCTGAAGATATTGTTGACGTTCGCTCACGCTTAGTATGTTTTCCCGTTATTGCCCTGAACATCGGTTAAGTATTAATTTTGACTATCATAGATCTTAACGTTTGTGGGCAGCTTGATGAGCATTGCACAACAGTAATTATGGCTCATAATGGTATGTGTAAAGGGACTTGTTTTGTTGTACGAGCGGTGTACTCTACTCTGTATCCCTCATTTTCTTTGCCATGCTGATGATTATCTCATTGTGCGGACTGGATGTAGTAATGCTAAGAACAAAAAGGTGTTTTGATTGCTGTAATGACATGAATTTATCCGTTTGATGTCCTTCTAGAAAGCTGAAGATAAACATGTTAATCCTAGATAAGCAGATTTCCGTTGCCATAAGTTCCCCGGCCTGTCATTGGGCTGATACTAACAGGGATATATCTTACGGAGACCGCCACTGTCGCCCAGCAGATAATATTTTACGCAAAGAAAAATTAGTTTCTGTACGCCAGGTACACGACGCATTACTATATACTGACTATACACGTAAATTCACTTCATTAAAATTATAATACAGGAGGATGATCCCTTACACATATTTATTGTGCTGCGACTGCCAATGTGTGAGCAGCACGTTACGGTGCCCCATATCTTAGCTGTGAAAAGTTGTTGTTTGACGATCACCAACGTGAACGGAATGAGAGACTCACCGGGGGCCAGGTCTGTAAGGATCGGGAGTGGTCACAAATTTGAGGTCCTTGAAGAATTCAAGTTCGCCCTCCATACAAGGAGTGCTTAATGAATTTCACGCGGTAGTCCTCGGCAAATTTCTTGCGAGTGTAGGGTGTTCTTTTGTTGCGATGTTGACTCGTAACAAATAATATCATGTCATGATTTTTGTATCGAACGGCTAAGGTTCATGGAACAAATCTTTATTGAGACGTTTAAGAGTTGTCTCAGCAAGCGAGCTTTGATTTCCAAAGGTGAAGTGGGGAGGTTTTTTTCTGGGTCCAGGATGTAGTCCCAGCTATGTAAACCATTACCCTGCAAAGAAAATACAGCTGTAAGTAGAAATCACTGTATGATTTAGCGGATGAACTCACTAATTATTGAGCAACAGCTAATATAATGATTATATTAACCTACTGTTGTTGGTTGGGACCCATAATCGTGGCTTCGTTTACATAGGACAATTATGGTTTATTTGGTTATCAGTGTTCTTGTGAGACCATACATATGACCTTACGGGAATCTCACTAGTTCGCTGCCTCTGATGTTACCCCCCTCAGTTGAAATTCGCAATTCCTCAGTATCTGGGAGGGGGATATGGGCGAAGGAGAAAAAAGAAGCAGGTGAGCCCCTACGGCGCATTGGAGGGACTACTTTTTTGAAGTGGCTGCGAAGGCTCTATTTTGATATCTGTTAAACCGCATATATCGGTGCTTTCGAATCAGTCCTTGCATACCCACTGTTCATCGTGTTGTGGTCCTGCTCCGCCGTCAGGCTTGAAAAGATGCGTTAGGTGCCGTATGGTGTGGTATTGTGACGTCGTACGCCTTCATCTTACGCTATGTTCTGTGGAGCTCTGTCATGATAATGTCATGTCGTAATAGAACTGCTCAAGTAATGATTGGACCTTGCACAAACTCGAGTGTTCTGCATTGAAAAAATGGTCTAGTTCAGCACCTTCCCCTGACGTCGCGATCCCTAGCGATGCTGTCCGGTGCCTAGGTCGGATATTATGGAAAAGACGAGCAGAAGGTCCTGAAAGCATATGGGTATCATCATTATCCGTTTCTTTCTGTTTTTCTTTACTCATCTGAACTTAAGGCGAAGGAAATTGACAGCATGCAGTCACGTATGCTGTCAGTTTTTATTGTTATACATGTTGATTAGCTCATTTTTTTAAAGATAGAGGATCATTGCAGCCGTCTGCCTTCGAAAGTCATACGCACCTTGCGCATTTTTTAGTTCGTTTTCTTGATCTCTCCTCTCCCGCGGAGTTATCTGAGTATGGCCTGTCAACCGCGGGAGACCTCGTGGATATTATATCCAAGGTATGTTCTTGACATCTCGCCTATTCATGGAGTTTAAGATCCCGTCGCTCTAGTTCATCACCAATACTTTTACACTTACGTCCTCGTCCTTGAGCGCCCTGGGCGTATCTGTGTCTCCACTTGTCGCTCTCATCAATCATTCATGCGATCCCAATGCCGTTATTGTTTATCCTCGATGCTCCAACGAACCTTCGACGGAAGAACCGCTCATGCAGGTTGTTGCTATCCGAGACATCGAGGTTGATGAAGAGGTGTGCTCTTGCAGCAACGTGTAGCACGCTTCTCAAATTGATATCTCCACTTCAGATTTTGACAGCTTATATTGATACTACGCTCCCGCGGTTCTCCAGACAGAAGTTTCTAAAAGAGACCTATAATTTTGATTGCCAATGCCCCAGTTGTACAAAATATTCCGGCGTGGACCCTCGAGAGTCTATGTGGTGTCCGAAATCATGCGGAGGCAAATGTGCAGTACCTACGGAAGGTAAGTAATATGTAACTTTGCAGCTTCGCCTCTAAGTTTATTTTTCTCACAGAAAACAGCCTCACTCGATGTGAAAAATGTCAGACCCCTGTAACGTCACCGGATGCTGTTCTTGATGTACTCCGTGTAGGACAAGAGGCACTTGACAAAGCAGTAGCACTCCGATCTAGAGGTTTGTTGTAAAATTTACCCTGATACCTAAATTTAACTCACTTTGTTCATTTATCAGACTTTAACAAGGCCAAGCAGCTGACGACCAACATGATTCCAATTCTAACATCCGCGGGCTTGACACCTGCCTGTCACCCGCTATTGGCTCTGAACGAGCTTCATCAATCCCTCTTAGTGTCTGCCTTCTCCTCCAATCTCACTCAAAGTGTCCTTGATGATAGTGTTAGAGCAGCTGCGAAGTATTCAGCAGGGTTGTCATATGTTCTCCGCGAAGGGCACCCCGTTCGTGGAGTAGCTCTCGCCGATTTGGGCAAGTTGTTGGCTGTCGATGAACCTGAGCCTTCCACCTCAAATTCTTCCGGCAGAGACGCCGTATTCCCACCATCAGGTCCCCGTCGCCTGAAGTTAGCGCTGGAGACCCTAAAACAAGCGAGGACGGAGTTATACATAGGTTTTGGTCGTAAAAATGAGGGCGGTGAAGTTGGGAAATCTATCAGAGAGACTGTTGTTTCTCTTGAAAGGGAATTGGGAGTATGGAGTCAAGGTGTACGTAATGTCCTCGAGGATATGCCAAAACCTCTGAAGAGTTAAGCTTGAACGTGTTGATTTTTGTATGGACCGCCCTATGTCCAACTTTAGGACAAAGAGAGCTGGGCTCTCGTTGAGACTGATCTGTACCTCTCTTTCTACAGTTGCAGTAGTTCATTCAAACAAATGAGCTCACTAGTGAAGACATAACACCACGACATGGTCATGATCATGATGTCACCAGGCGCTCGACACGGCTGTTCTGTTTCCAGGTGGGACTCATCTGAATCATTCAATGATGTATGCCATAACTCACTTCAGGTAACTCACTTTCAAGGCACGATTGAATAATTAAATTCAGCTAGTCATTGGTATAACCCCTCTGTGCATTTCCCAGATCGAACAGACCCACAGATAGAACATTTTTGGTTCGTACTTGCTATATACAGATATATCAAGCAATCAGCTCATACCAAGCTTTTAGCACCTTCGTTTAAAAATCATGAGGTGTGCAAGCGATTACTCCACCGTTCTGCTCATGGTTCTGGCAAGACCAAAACTCATGTTCAGTTTCTTCCCACAAAGTGACATGTCCAGAGCGGATCGCTCCCCTGTCAATCACGGACTTATTAATCACGTATTAGAAGTAGTGTTGTTCAGTCCGATGAAAATCAACATCTCTGGCAGCGGTGTTTACATTCACCTATTGTTGAGTGCACAGGCCAGCCGGGTATAAAATCTGGTCGAATATTCACAGTTTTATCAGTTAAGCAACCTAGCTCAGCTTTCCATCCCAAACTATCCCGACTATCGATATCAGCATGTTCTCTCGTGTCCCTCTCGTTCTCCTCTATGTCTTGTTCGCGCTCACCGCCCTTGTAGCCTCCACTCCTACTACTACAGTAACAGTGGTATGGCCAAAGAAAATTGCATCTGTGTCGCTATTTTGACTAACCGCGTGAAATAGACTGCTCCAGCCACGACCGCCACCCAGCCCGCCAGTCAATGCAATACTGGTCCAGTTCAATGCTGCGACTCCGTTCAAGCGGTAGGGTTGTGTGTCATTGACAAGGATGTTGCTGCTGATGATAAATCATTAAATAGGCCAGCGCTCCCGCAGTCACCACCCTCCTTGGCTTGTTGGGCATCGTGCTCTCTAGCGTCGACGTTCTCGTCGGTTTGACCTGCAGTCCTCTCAGTGTGGTCGGCGTCGGCTCTGGCGCTACTTGCAGCGCTGAGCCCGTCTGCTGCGAGGACAACAGCTTCGTATGTCACCTAGAGTAAGGTGTAATTTGCATATCCCTGACTATTATGTTTTACAGAACGGTTTGATCTCCCTTGGTTGTTCGCCCGTCAACTTGAACCTCTGAAGGCCAAACAGTCTGACGGGTACAGTATCACGGGTGCCGTCAAAAAAATTGGGCGGACTTTCTTTCTGATGATGATGTATCTCTGCGTTCCTCGTGAATAATTATAACGCGATTCGTTCCAAGCTGCTTCCGTTCCCACTTCGTCCTCTCACGAACCTCAATATTTGGGTATGCCCCTTTGTATAGATCACAATGATGATCATAAACCAGGATCAGAACTGGAACTGGAACTTCTGTTCGATTGCAGGTAATACATTAAGTAGTCAAAAACTGGATATTCCATGCCTTCATCTTTAATTCCACGAGGAAAGTGGTGACCATTTATAAGCTAATAGCCAATTCAAAAACATCTACTTTACAACGTAAACACGGGATAAGCCAACCCGTCTTGCATCAATAACTTCTCCACTATTTTCATCGCTTCCAATACCTTTTCTTCGTCAAGTCGTTTCCCTACAACCTGTACACCCACAGGCAAGCCATGCATGGCTTTCGCATCGTACAGCTCATATACTCCAGCCTCCACTGTGTTTCTAGCTTTGAAGGAAGCTGGTAGCACATCTTTTGCGGAGTCTACACGTGTGACTGGAAGTACGCCTGCGGAGTAATCAAGCTACAGCCAGCGGCGTCATAATTGATATATTTTTCTTTTCTGTATCCAGCTTTTAGACGCACCATATTGAACAAAAATGTATAACCACATGCAATGAAACCTTGCTTCATCCCTCCGTGCGGGACCGCAGGTGTCGGGTTCGGTACAGTGAGGACGAAATCAATATCAGTCTCTCTCCACATGTCGAACCATGCCTTTCGATACTCCTCCCGTCTCGCTACAAGGGCCCAACACTCCGACACGGTCTTCTCGTGCCATGTTTCCATCAGCCCAGCAAAGACCTCATCACCACGAATGTATCTGAGGTACCAAGCGTACACGCGTTTGACCCATCGCGGGAGCGAGGCCATAAATTGCGCTTGAATGACCCCGGCATCCTGTTGATCACCGGTGCGTATAGGGTGGACTGATGTTTTGGCTGTCAAGATTATTACGATGAAACTTGAGCACAACCCATCAGCCTATACTTAGGACCTACAAGCATCTGCAAATAGCAACTGGGAGCCTGTCACGAACCCTTCGTATGGGCTGGGAGGTTTTCTATGAAGTGATATCAGCATATCAGCCAGATGGATGAGTCAAAATTACGAAGGTTTACATTGTAACAACATTGTGACCGTGAGCTTTCAAGGTACGTGCAACGATATCCAGGGCACGGTGACAAGCCGGAGAAGGTATTACGACACCATCGTCCCACATAATGCCCCACTTCATCGGTTTATCCGCCTCCAGACGAACGCTTCGCCAAGGCATATGCAGAGCCTGATACCCCATTGCCCAAAGGTTTGACCAATGCTAGCACAAGAAAAAGTAAAACAGCACCCACAGAATGATCATATTCCCAAGGCTTCATTTCTATCACAGCCCTGAAGAAAGTCTCTAAGTCCTCTAAGGTTCTCGCCATGGGACTGTGTACAGCTGGTACAAATTCTTGCCCTGGAACGCTCGTCGGACTGCCTGTCTTCGGGAAACGCCCTACACTGGCTCGAATGGCATACATCCCTGACCAGTGCGCAGGCACACGTATGGACCCTGCAACATCGGTACCCACACCAATTCTCGAGCCGCCACACGCAATCAATGCGCCCTCCCCTCCGGAAGAACCACCTGCAGTGTGTGCTTTGCTGAACGGATTCGTCGTGCGCCCGAATACATCGTTCCCACTCTCGAAGGACATGAGGGTGACAGGGACATTGGTCTTCACGAACGGTACTGCCCCAGCATCGCGTAGCAATCTAACCATAGCTGAGTCATCCTGGCGTGGTCGACCTACCCATGCAGAGTATCCAATACATGCATCCCACCCTTTCACGCCAATCTCATCTTTCAAGCTCACTGGCACACCCGCCAGTGGCCCATCCTTATTGCATCCATTTGCCCAATGTTCAGCATCACTTATCATGATCTCAGTGAGACAATTTGTCTCACGATGGGCTTTAAGTGCTTGTTTGCCGTATGCAAGTAGGATTTCCGTTGGGCTGAGCGAGTCGGAATGGACGGAAGATATGAGAGCAGAGATGGGGAGGGAAATCATGTGTGATTCCTGTGCTGTCAGGGGCTCGTGGTATACGGGGTTGAGGTCGTCGATGCGGTTTTGACGCTCTTGTTGCTTGGCCATACTAAGGAGGATGTTAAAAACTATGGACTCAGAAAGGTTCAAGTGTACTGACCAAGCGCGACGATGAGCTAAATAAGAGAATAGCATGGTGCTTTGGTCGATGTCTTCGAGGGTCGGGAAGCTTGCTACTACTACGTTGCACCTCACAAACACTCAACTACCGTCCGTCACGACAAATGAAGGACTAGAGTTCGAAGGGCGGCGAAAATAATCATGGTTGGTTATGTTCCATTGTCACTCCGTTCCCCTCGCAGCTTATCTACTTCCCATGGCCTTTAAACGAACAGAAGCACGGTGTTTGTGACGCAAAGATATGAGATTTGTCTTTTCCTGAGAATTGCGGAGGAAATCCCACCCCGGGCGAGGGTGAGTTCACACTATTTGACATCGTTGCTTGGGCGCCTGTGACATAGAATTAGATTGAACTCGATCTAAATCTGGAGAACCTTTGCTTTATGGGCTTAGCTATAGAATCACAGATAAGATATACATACGCCCTGATCAAGCCTGATAATACATACAACCAAAAAGACCCTTTTCCTCTCGTATTCAAGCATTCAAAAGTTGATATTCCATCCCCGCCTCTTTCATGAGCTTCTGCACGATTTTCATGCCTTCCATCACTTTCTCCTCTTCCAATCGCTTCCCGATGACCTGTACGCCGACTGGAAGCCCATGCATGGAGTAAGCATCATACATTTTGTAGTTCGAGCGCTCGATCCCGTTACGCGCTCTGAATGTATGCGCAGGAAGGGCATCTAGAGCCTTGTCGACGTGAGTGATAGGGAGGACGCCAGCTGTGTAGTCCAACTAGAGAATGTCACAGTTCAGAGACGGTGTTAGCCATTGCAAAACTAAGAGTACAACGCAAACAAAATAGAAGGGAACTGGGAAAGACTCACCAGATTGAACATAAAGGTATATCCACACGCTTTCCACCCATCTTTCATCCCTCCGTGAGGAAGCGCTGGAAGAGCGTTAGGGACCGTGAGAATGAAGTCGGGGCCACTATCAAAGCGTCCTCCTAGTTTCTTGTCTCGGCCCTCTGGTTGACTCGATTGCCAGCCCTGGACCCCAAAGCCAGTCCTCCATGCTTCGAACCATCGGGCCCTATAAGCTTCCCTCTGGGATATGAGGGCCCAGTACTCAGGTATGGTTTTGTGAGTAAGTGACGTTAAAAGTGTAGCACTTGTCTATGGGAAACGTTGACAAACAAAAGGAAGTCAGTCAAAATGAATGAAGAGAAAGTATACATGAGAGTAATTGCGAGATACACAAGTTCACGGACAGAGAAACACTCGAAAGATAAAATAATCAAAGAACCCTTACCTCATCTCCCCAAATCCTGAGCCAGAGTGCGTAAGTGTACTTCACGAATCGAGGTAATGCGAAGAGGAAGAAACCCTGTATCATCCCGGGATCGTTTACAGTGATCTTTGTCCACACGTCGGTTGTGCCGCCATCAATCCTAACGGTAGATTTAAGACCCAATAACCTCATGAGGGAGTTGGTGCCTGAGACTTTCAAGAGGATAGAAGCAATTGTTCCGAATCCTCTTGCAATTCCACCTAAAAGACCGTCGTCAAGCCACGATAGCAATCCACTCCAAAGTAACCAGTATCCCCTTGTTTTGAGGTGACGGCTGGCGGTTTCGCCACCATCTGCGATGAGGAGCTGGGAAGCGAGGTGTAGTGCTTGAAAGGGAGAGGGCGGGGAGCTAATAGGACAAAGAAGGGAAGTAAGATGATTAGTGTCTGGGCTTTGAAAGGCAGAAGGAAGGAGAACTAGAGACAGGTGAAAGAATAGTACGAAGTTTTGATGCTTCTCGCCGTATAAAGATATATATGATTGAGGAGGATAGATAAAATAATGAGGAGATAAACGCAGAAAGGAATAAGATTCATGGGGGAAAATAAAGAAAAGGCGTACATATCGACTACCTCGTGCCCATTCTTGGTTAGTACATCAGTGACCATTTTGAGTGCACGGCGACATGCGGGAGAGGGAGCAACTACACCTGTTTATCGGAGTTCCAGCAGATTAGTATTATGTAGCTAATGAAAAGGATACATAGAATAAAGGAGATGTATAGTTTTGAAGAGAATCATTCTTTGAACCAAACGAACCATAGATAATGAGGGACTGCCAAAGGTAGGCGATAAAAGAAAGGGTATATATAGTGCAAAACGATGCGAACTGTGGTATAGAACAAAACAAAACCAGGAGGGTAGAGAAATACGAACCGTCATCCCATATAACGCCCCATCTAATTGGTCGATTCTCTGGTAGCGTGACCTCTCGCCAGGGGATGTGGAGTACCTTGTCAGAAGTGTCAGCTGAGTTCAACAGGATGTAGCTAGCTTTTCGTGGCCAGTGAGGAATTATGGCCTGTGATCCTCGAAAATCAACTCTGTCGTTATATAACTACTGGACGAGAGATCATTCGCCATGGCCCAGGGCACTGACTAGTACAACCCGTACGTGACACGTGGGAAAGCGACTCACAGAGTGATCATACTCCCATGGCTTCATCTCCATTACTGCCTTCCAGAAGTACTCCAAGTCTTCTAATGTTCTAGCCATTGGACTGTGTGTTGCAGGTACGCCTTCCTGGCCGGGCATACTGCTTGCGCTACCTGTTTTCGGGAAACGAAACATGGATGATTTGATGGAGTATACACCTGAGCGCTTAGAACTAAGATAAAATCATAAATATGAGGTAAAGAAGAGTATCATACCGGAATTATGAGCTGGAGCCCTCACTGAGCCCGCTACATCTGTACCCACCCCAATTCTGGATCCACCGTACGCTAGCAAGGCACCTTCTCCTCCACTTGACCCACCAGGACCATACCCAACCTTCCATGGGTTGGTTGATCTGCCCCACACCTCGTTCGCACATTCAAGGGACAACATTGTAGTTGGAATATTCGTTTTAACGTATGGTACTGCGCCAGCGTCAAGAAGCAGCTGAACAAGACCACCGTGGAAGGGCATAGGATGGTTAACGAGAGGCGAATAGCCCATACAAGCATCGTATCCTGCTACTGCAACCATGTCTTTCAAGCTGACTGGTACACCAGCGAGAGGTCGACGGAGCTTGTTTGTGGAGGTGGATACTTGTTGAGCCCATGACTCGGCGTCTGATATGAGGATTTCTGTGAGGCAGTTTGTGTATTTGTGGGCTAGAAGAGCCTTTTTAGTATACGCTGTCAGGATGGAGGAAGGGAGGAGCGACGACGACTGGACGCCTTGCACTAGAGATGAGATGGGAAGAGAAAGAATACTGGCGTCTGTCGACGATAACGGTTCGTGGTAGATAGCTGGTAGCGAGCGAATGCGCTGGTCACGCTCAGACTGCTTTTGACGACTAAATATGGGCGTCACCGTTGTAATTCCAGAGTGTTCCATACCATTAAATTGTACTCACCATGCACGACGATGAGCAAGATACGAGAGCAACATGGCTATCGTAGCGCCAGGTGTGGGAGTGAGACGTTGCGCCTATGCAATTCCATTATATAGTGGATTGAATGGTCCCGTTACGGTATCATTGTACTCCCAGGTTTATCTTTGCCTGGTACTTATCAAAGGTGCACCAGCTGACCAGTAAACGCGAAGGAGAAATAAAAGTCCCAGTTAGGAAATCAACGTTTCCAACAATATGCGGATGTTTCCGCATGTTGACTGCGACATCTTGGACGCATTCACGTTCAAGTTGAAGGTTCGTGTATCCCAGACCTCCACGGTGTCTCTGCTACACACAAAATATTCATCGCGACAGCTATAGCGGTAAGTATGTAGTGTGCGAACATGATTAGGTGCGTTCTTTGAATCGAGTTCACGCTTGTCACTTGTGGTAATAATCTTATGCTGAAGATTCCAGGAAGGCATATCGTTCAAGCAGTCTTGCTTTTAGACTTGTGGCCCACGTAGAGAATAGAAATAAGTATGAATATCATGCTTGTGGCTGCTGATTCTACCATTGACATTAGGAGAATTAAGTGTAGTATGTGCTACTTAACTGCAGTATCGTATCGCCTATAACATAGATGCACAACTGAATAGAGAAGACATCAAGAACGGATCGCGACCAGAAGGTTGAAGAGACTCGGAATCAAAATGGAAGTTCCAGTACGATCTGTCACCACGGTGTATCAGTTGGGGGTCTGCAATAGAAGATTGAAGACTGGCTGACTTACCTCTGAAATTATTCTCTCAAGCTCTCTCTCCATCAAATTGAGCAATTTTGGAACGATATAAGACGATTCCATTCGGCAGACCGTACAAGATGCGGCTTTCTGCATGGCTGTGGGCACCTTTTCCTTCAGCGTTTCCACGCGTGGTCTTTCCTTCAGAACGGCGGCCGTGTCGCAGATATACTCCGTTAGCCAGCGTGGGCAGATTAAGGAGCCCAGCTGGGTGAAATCGCAGGTACACTTTCCTAATCGCGGCATCGTTGGGTATCCCGAGAGTAATCCGTCTAGCAGCCAATCCAAATTCTCCTGTATCCCAAGAACTGCCTCCTTGCACTTCGCGCTGTACTTCATCAACCCCACAAAAGTTCTCGCTGTAATCAGCTCCAGTCCTTCTTCGTCAGGCGGCTGTAACTGGCGCAAGGTGTGTTTTGCTGCCAGTCTAGTTTCTTTCTCCAGTTTGTAGTGGTACGCTATAGCGAATACAGCGACGGGTTGGCTTTCGAGGAAATGGGGGCCTATGAGCATTTTTGTTGCCACCTTTTCAACGCCATGCATGCCATACTTGGTCCCAGCTTCCAGTAGGCTTGTCACCTGTTTCAAGTTCTCCATTTGTGGCACATCCACCGTACCAGTCGGATAGCAATATCTCAGCACAAGGTCTAAAACCTGGCTATTCTCGCTCATCTGTATGACAGGAAGACCGTCCTTTGTTTCGTAGGTTCCGCTATCAGCTGGCTGAGGCAGATCGAACATTGCGTTGAAGAACGAGGACGAGAGCGAGAGTAGAAATTGGAAAGCGGGAAACTCGACATAGTCCGATGAGCGAAGAATTATATCTCCTTTCATGTCTTTGAAAGGATGCAGAGGAAATGTTCCAGGTTTGCGCGATATATAGTCGTTGGAGATGCTCATGATTACGGTCATGGTGTTCAATTGCTACAAGCTGTATAAGTAGTACGGAGGGTGTTTCGTTCCCTCCCAAAAAAGGAAATTTAGTTATCTTACCCATTGTGTGATTTGACTTCGCTGCGCTTCTGTTCTTTACCACGCTCTTCTTCCATGTCCACCAGGTTCGCAGTATAAGCAAGTAAGCTGCCACCGGCACCAGACACTTTTGTTGGGAATAAGTAACTGGTCTCAGATTCATTTCCATCCTCACAGTAACCTTGTTGAGACTACTGTGGCCAAGTTCACTCCCCAAACTGGAATATTGTACGAGAACTAACACTGTGGCCCCAGTCATCTTCAAGAAACCATCGCTTGTGTAAACATCTGGCGAGACCGTTTCTTTGGCCGTAGTTGTTCATTCGTCTTCACCTCTTCGCGCAGTATACGGGACTCGCCAACTTGCCAACGACAGAGCCAGCACTCACAAATTGATGCTGATTTCATCGTCATGCGAAAGGTGCCAACGATCGGTTTGAGTAAAAGGCATCCCCAGCCTGATCAAATTTATACCAGGCCCTGAAAATATCATCTCAATCCTCGACCTGAACGTCAGCACCAACCCTCTTGCTCGCTCCTTCACTTGTTTCGTTACGCACACCTCACATCCCCCGCTACAAGAAATCATTTCAGGTCTCAACCAATTTAAAAAAGATACTATTTCGAAGCTGGACAACTACTGCAGTTTGTTGTCATACTTGCACGAGTTGCCTGGATCACTTGAGTTGCTACACAATCCACTAGCACGGTATGTTCTCCGCTGCGTAACGCGATAGCGCAGGAGCGTGGCCTCACCGAAATATTCTACTTCCTTGGAATCCCTACATGTTTTTATTGCTACGGGAAGGCAACACAGGCGGGCGAATGAGAAGTAGTATCTGAGATCGTTATGTTAAATTGGGACACATTTTGAAGTTTCTTTCACCGATATCCGGTTATGCGTCCCACTTCTTTGCGTCTTGCCACTTGTAATTTATTCTTCTGCATTTTTTATACTCGCTCTACAAAACAATACACCATTAGAGTACTATTAATATTATCGTAGTTTATTTCAGCAGGTGTATCATATTACAGGCATGGCGTCGAGTGATTGATCATGGTGCTCCAGAAGGTATCGGTGGTTGATTTGTGTGTAAGTTGCTTTGATTCCATGGAGTATACTTTGCGGTTGGGGTCAATCGAAAATGATATCAGTGGTAAAGAATGGGCAGCAAAGACCCCTATGTGATTATCCACTATATAAACCATGTTGTGCTGCAAGGTTGCTATACTGTTTAGCTATTCATACACGTGATCTTTACAACTGTTTCGTTCGGTTTTCTTGATTCCAATCAATCATCTGAAGGGTATGTTCTCTTTCGTTTCTTGTCACTATTGCGCTACTTACTATATATTTGTTCTAGTGCTGATAGAACCTAGGTCCAATACTTTCGCCCAAATTTGTCGCAATTATGTCTGGCTCACGTACAGCTCAATACCCTTTCGATCACACCAAAGCAGAAGTTATTCTGCGCTCTTCCGACAATGTCGACTTTTACGTTTTTAAAACATTCCTCTCTCTCTCATCCACCGTGTTCAGCGATATGTTCGACATGCCACAACCAGAGGACAATGATTTCGAGACGCATGACGGTCTCCCTGTCATCCAAGTCAGCGAGGACAGTACGGTGATGGACAGATTGTTAAGATATTGTTATCCACAGATCCTGGTAGGAAACCCAAAGTTAGAGACCATCGAAGAAGCTACAAACCTCCTGGAGGCAGGGATCAAGTACGGTATGGATGAGATACAAAAAGCCATGAAGAAGGCACTCATCTCATCTCCTATAATCGACAACAATCCTACCGCCGTATATACCATAGCATGCCACTATAAATGGGACGACGGGGCTTTGGAAGCCGCAAAATACCGTCTACGACAGCCAAATTTACCCATTGATAGTGCCGATGTGGATGGTCTCACAGGTGTAGAGGTATTGAAGCTCTTGGACCACCATATCCGGTGCGCGGATGCTGCTCTCAAGCTGACAGAACCTACCTACTGGGCTGAGGTCCTTTCACGCATAAATTTTTGGTCATCTGTGATGCAGAAGATATGCGATTGTCTCCAACATCAACCCTATGAGGCAACGTCAATAATCAGGGGGATGAAGCCGTGGTGGGTAGTGTACATCCAGTCGACCTCCCTGGAATTAAAGGAGAAACCAAGTGGAGAAACATTGAGGAGAGGAAGAGAAAAAGCTATAGACAAATCGAATGAAATCGCTTGTCGTCCATGTCGGAAAACACTTACGACATTTATGGTGGAGTTCATAAATTTTTATGCGGACGAAGTGGACAGGGTGACCTCGATGGTGAGTTGGAGCATTTGTATTCTCTAGTGAAGCACTAAAGAAATAAATCGGATAGATAAGTCTGAATGCAAATGACAATGAAAATGATAGCAAAGTGGTTGGCGTCTGATTCTAAAGGAAATTTGCAGCTTTACACGGCTAGTCGTGAAGGAGTCGGTGCCCTTGCTTCCAGAGCTAGAATATCTTTCAATACTTATCATTACATGCGGTTAAACTACGTACTAGCGCCTACTTCATGAAAAAGGCTGAACGCCTGCACATTTTACTTTATTGAAATATATGAATATCAGTCAAATACACAATTCAAATTGGCACACGCACTGACTAAAATAGTTTCACCCTAAAAGATAGAACTTCAGATGACCGTTGGTGATCAATGAGTTGATTTCGCGCAACAAAAATTTAGAATGCTTCGAGAACGGCGAAGTCGCATGTTCTAAGCAACACCAAGTTACACCCACAACCATACACAACCACATGTGATGGCCGTACCAAGGGGAGGTCGGCAAAATCTACCGTCTTTCGCTAGCGTGACGCGGCAGGAAACGAACAAACCTTCGATGACTGGGCGGAAGCGTGGCGGCAAAAGTCTAGTTGTATGCATGTGCATTAATGACCAAATGGGACAGGAGAATTCGGTGCATACCGGGAACTCCCCATATATTACAGTAAAGGAAATGAGTGACTGTGATGCGGACGAGTTGATTGCAGTCAGTGACATTCTCCGCTGGTTACCTTCGTCGCATATTACAGTAGTTGAACATACAATTTGACTAGTCTTCCTTGTCGAGTGAATGTATACTTTCCCCAACAAAGTTATGAGCAACCAGTTTCTTATAATTTACGACACACCTATACCAACGCCCAAGTCAGACATATCTCTGCAAGCCCTGCAAGGTCATATGATAGTTGCAGACCATCCTGTTGGCGAACACGGCCCGGGTTGCAACTTGATAGTGGGAGGTGAAAACGTTGTAAGCTAAGGACTGCCAATGATGGTCGTGGAACGTAACACACCTATTTCACCGGTGGCATAAATAAATACGTAAATATTCCACAGGTCACTTTGGTGATTCTTTCTTTCTTAAACCGCGGACTTGTTAGGACACCATAGTCGACATATCTGGTCAAGAGTGGACGTGTCCTATTGTCCTATAGGGTAATCTAGATCAAGCCCTGACGGGGTGAGCGAGGCGCCGGCGCCGTGGCCTCATGTGGGATGAGAATTGAAAAGTGAGACAACTCGAGTAATGAAGTGTGTATGAGGCTGGCTGATAATCGTTACGGCGAATAATAGCGGGTGGGTGTGATAATAGTTACTTTGAGATCAGGGAAGACAGCATGAAATCGGAGAGAATCATATAATTAAATGGGTAATAGACATATCGCCGAGTGAATAAGCCGCCAAAAATTATGGTTGAGGCGTCGATACCGAGGACCATTGGGGACGGTGTTTAGAATCTCCGGAGAGGTTTAGATAAAGTAGTGTTCTAGGGAAGACCATGTTCGATGGGAGAGACTCGTGTAGTGAACTGTAAATGGATATATTGTGATTTGGAAGATTCGGGTACGAAAGGCCACCTACAGGAACTCGGGATCATTACCACTAGGCATTGACATTGCTGCTCGTTGAATCGGCGAGAGAAACCGCGGCGATGTACCGCGGAATGAGCCTAAGTTAAGCGTCAGCATTTTAGTTTGCTCAGTGGTTTAATTCGAGATTGCTACTGAACCGAGAGTTAATAAGCGATGAGACGGAATGGACAGGCAATACGAGATGGCGAGAGATTTAAGACCAGAGACGACGTGAAACCGAACCTGTCAACGTATAGGGATTTGACGCTGAGATACTTCGAAAATGCGGTATTATGTATACGGGTTGCTTGTTCATGCGAAACTTAGCATTCGAAAGCAGACTATATTAGATAAGTATCTAGATGCTAATGAAACCACAAGGTCCCCAATCAATGTAAAGAGCGTAAAAAAAATACTAAAAAACACCGCTACTCACACTACCGTACTGTCACGCTCTGCCTCCATAACATCCAATTCTTGTACTGTACCGCTGGTAGCTGAGGTCCGCACTAAGAGTTCCCCATCAACACCACCCATGCGCTCACAAATTCGAAGTGCCTTAAGATGAAAGTCCTCAGGTACTCCCTCTGCTCTTCCCGGAAGAAGGATATGAGGAAGCACGCGAGTATGGAAAACTTTATGTGCCACAGAGCCACCCTATAGACGACCATCAGTCATCAGGACGACGCAACGGAGGCGCTTAGAAAATCCAAGTAACAACTCACAAACTGATGATATATCCCTCCCATTACGGCCTGTACCGCATCTCCCATAACCTTATATAACCCTACGCTCTTCATGATTTTGGGATTTACTGCCAGCGCAACATCTAATTCTGCATCTGATACTTCCTTCGCCTTCGATTTTATTGATGCACGCAAAGTATCAGATGACACAGTAGGTGCCCAGCGTAAAGTACGACCCAGTGACCATCTTGGTGCTATATGCTCTCCAAGAAGATACGTATTGAGGGCGCGAGAAGTGATGCGTTCATAGTCGTGATGAGGTTTAGCACGGGATACGGAATGGAGAAAAAGGAGGAAGTATGTCTCCAGTACGCGACGACCTTTTCCAGAAAGCAATATGATTATAATTATAATAAATGACTAACTTTTCCAGTTAGAAGAAATGATTACACACCAACGAATCCGAAACGACCATTGTGGCCATGAACAGCATCTTTATGGCTGCCATGAGTCAATAACCGTTGGGCCAGTTCTGGAGGAAAGTTGAGAGAAGGAAATATGCTATCCAAATGTTCAGCAAGACGATTGCTCTCGTCCTGAGAATATCGTCCAGTTTCTTGTGAGGGAACGGGTGACGACTCGAATGTGATGTTTTCCGACGAGAGAGAGCGCGAGAATCTTGGGCACATACCGGCATGAGATTTTGGTGACCTCAGCTTTGATAGCACATGAATATCACGTCGCTGGGCTGATTTTGTAAAACGAGATAGCCCTCGAGAAATTAGCCAAGCTAAAGAGCGTAAGATGTAATGTTTCTGACCTGATACAGTCCGAGCGGGTGCGAGAGCAGACCCAGAAGGGAGAGACTTTATATTCCATAGAGGCCCATTGAAACAACGAGAAACGCGAGACATGGATACGCAGAAAGGTTGCAGTTTAAGTTATTTTCTTGTGGTATACTGACTTTCGCGTTCGAACATGAATGGGACTTTGGTGGAAAGCACAAAAAAGTAGGTAGATCACGTGAGGGTCAGAAAGCCTGCCCTCATGTCCAGACTTGCCGCGGTGACCTTTCCTGTTACTGGCATTCTTACAACGCTAGTGCTTTTCTGTAGATATCTCAAATCACAAACCACGGGGACGTGTTGTTCGGGCGTGAACCAAGACTCCTCGTTGACCTTGCCACAATCGGGAGCCGTATTTCCTTTCCCTACTATTTCATGAGCACTGCATATCAACTATAGCTTATTGGTCTACGCGGTTGCATGGTGGTGCAGGCGTGCGCTTTCCTGCAAACTCTCATCGTGTCGTAACACTGGCCTGACAAATTCTGGACCGTATTCCGATGGGAGTTTGCAGGCCTCGGGGGCATCACTCTGACATTCTGAGGGCGCATGAGAATTTGGATTAATCATTTCCTATCAGTTCGCACTGAAATCTACAGCCGATTAGCAGGTGATCACACATGCTGCTGTGCTGCTGAACGCCAGAATCGCATTGCAAAATGCAAGCGGCGATCACGGAGACATTTGGGACGGAGAAATGATAACTCACAGGCAAGTACATGTTTAACTAGTAGCCTAGATTCTTCATATGCTGATAACGCAACAACATACTATCTTACTGCGTTACATGGGATGCCACGCGAGGTTTGTCCAGGCTAGGACTCGTTACTTCAGCAATTGAAAGGCATCCTGCAACGCGGCCTTGCAATATGTGGATAATTTCCTAGGGGCCGGGTTAATGTTGTAAGTCTGTACATTCTAGTGAGAACAGTTTACCAAGTTTGTGCGAGGTGCATGAAGTCAAAAGAAGTTACCCTGAACGTGTAAGGTTTCGAATTTGTATCGGGAAAGACCAGATTGCGAGTTCTTGAAGAACAATGGGGGAAGGTGACTCTTTTGACTGTTTAGAGAACCAATTATTGACTTCTTATCAACTGCTTATGAAGTTTGTCTCTATCTGATCGATTATGCTAAGGTATATGTACAGGCTGAGTTGAGCTGAGTATAGAGTTTGTCTCCGAAAAGGCAAGTGTAGTATTTATCACCTTTCGGGCGACGGAAGCAAGTACCGAGGCCAGTGACACGAGGCCGCAGATGCAATATTTCCAAATTCCCGAGGTGATCAATTCATGTCTAGTGACTGCCGCTGGCCAATTTCGTAAAATGGCTATCGTATCCCAAGAGAACGGTAACGACGTATTAACATGCTGCCGCATCTACCCATAGTACAGGTACACAAACCAAAAAATTCGGCGTTTTGGTGGCTTCCGCTCGCATATCAACACATGCTGCCAGTGCTTCCCTTATTCTGAAGTGCGTTTTAGGGGACTGGCTATTGAGGATTAGACCAACATTCCAGAAGCACTACAGGTCTGATGATCCAGGCCATTCGGCGTTCACGAGCAGGTATATATACTCTATGGTAAGTCATGCAAGATACTGCAAATTGCTTTCACCCCATCATCCACACCACAACTGTATTTCACGTACGACTTTTTCTCTGGGTTTATCATTCAACATCATGAACTTCATGTCGACCAAGCTGTCTCCATCAATCACTTTATCTCCATCAGATGCTAGTTTTTCCTTCCATACGAAAAGCATATCCCTACCTCCAAATACCAGAGTTCTTCTGAGCCCAGAGTTAAATGCTTCCGAAAAATCTAGTACGGCGAACGGATGGTTTCCCGCGTCCAGTGGCTCGGTTTCGCTTAGCGCGCCACATGCAGAGATATGGGCGCAGGCTGGCCAGGTTGGTACACCGTATTTCTTGAATCCCTTGACCGATAACCAACGTCTATTCAGGTGCTAATACGCGACCACCGCTCATTATATGGGACCTACGTGAACGGCATTAAAATTGAACAGCAGACGCTGCTACAATCAGGAGACATTGTAGTGAGTTGACGCACAAATTGATGGGAAATGAGCTGATGTCTGAATTTGCTTTGACCAGACGCTTGGCGTGCAGCTGCGTCGCTCTAAAGACATTCCAAATTACATCACAGATCAGCAACTTAAACCTATCATAGCAACGGTCACTCTCAAAGGCATCTAATTTTTCCCGTTTGTTCCCAGAAGGTGGCAGCCTTCAACGTCGTCAATACATACCCCTAGACTCGCGGTGCCGATACATTATTTGCCGCTGGCTGTAGCATGAACACGACTTGTATATTAGGTATATTAGATGGACTCTAGAGTTCTAACCTACCCGTGTACATGCCCCCTTGGCGCTAGACTCTTGCCGTTGTTATCTTCGATTCCGCCTCCGAGTACCCCCTGTATCACATTTTTGCATTGCAAGTAATACATTTATACTAGCTGCGCAAAGGAGCGGGATAATTCAAACATAACAAGGTAGCTATGCTTTCCAGTTGTACCTAGCTTTCACTTTCATATCAGATTATCTGCCAGTTGCTGTCTATTTTGATAGGCATTCAGAAGTTTTCGTTTGCTCCATGGAGATAGTCACGGATATGTAATTATCCGCGCGAGTCTAAAATGTGCTCAATTTTTACAAGTGCTCATTATGCTCATCTAACATTGCCTCGACTGAGGTGCATGATACCACTAAACACCATCATATTCAATGAAATATCCAAAATTAGTTACTGCGTGCTAGATGGTGGTCTCTGCAGTGACGTTCGCCTGCATCCAAAACTCACACCTTTCGATATGCTCAGGTGTCAATGCCTCCATAGTACTATTCGACGTTCCTGGCGTACTGCTCTCCGTCAACACAATGCTCATTTGGGAGGACTGGCCCGGCGTTGCAAAGGGCATCCACTCAGGAGAGTATGATAATCGTCCAGTAGAAGGATTAGCGGATTCTACAAAGGACGTCCAGTAGGCGATTGCTTCAGCCGACAGGGATGCTTCAGTCTGTTAGAAATGGAGATCAATAAGGGATAGAGTGGTCAGAAACCTGGTACGCACTGAATTGAAGGGTGTGAATGTGAATCCAGCGTTAATAGCAGAGCTATTACGCATGTCAGTTAATACATACATACACAGGAGAAGGGCAATGGGTTACTTTGTTCCTGTACCCCGATAAGTAAGGGCCTGTTCGTTTATGAAACAAAGATGGCTTACCTTCAAACAAGAAATACAAATCAGAGGTATGCATCACGCCCTCATAAGGAGCTGCAGCTAATAAGACAGGATCCGGTGCGTTCCATCTGTGCATTCGAGCGATGAGTCGGCATATACAATACAGATAAAGCAAACTAGACGCACTTGTAATTATACACATTGCTAACCCCTTTTTTTGACATCTGGTTGGCCAAAAACCAATCCCTGGTGCATATTCTTGAGTTTCATAACGTGATTTCTAAAGCCCGGGCAGTCTTACATGCATGTGAAAATGATATCGCCAGCCATAATAGCAGCCCTGTCATATTGAGATGTAAATGGACTACCAGGCGCATCGGGAGATGGATAAAGCTTCAAAGCTTGCTGAATTGTGCTGTTCGTCTAGTTCAGCATCAGCTTGGCTGTTTTTCTAGATTATATGGATACTCGGGAACTTACGACACTAGGCCATCTCATGAACGGAATAGTCGCGACGTCTTCGTCCGTTGTGAACTGTGAAGGTGACCCACCGACAAAGGTCCGTCCGTCATTGGCACAATGTCCCCCGATAAAATCAACGGTGCTAAAATTCCCAGCGGCGATCAAGCGAGAGGGATAATCGGGTAGGAACTTTCCATCAATGACGGGAGAAACTTGGCCAGTAGGTACGTGATTGACGGCACTAACGATAGCACCTTTGAAGAGAGGGAGACATCAGTCAAGTAATTAGACTACAGATCACGATGAGTCTTACCGAGAGAAGCACCGCGGAGGCAAGCTAGTGCAACTTCACCGTCCCCAGGACAGCCGGCGGCAGCCGTGACGTTCTCTGAACGTAGTAGAAACCATGAGGATATTAACTACGCAAAAAGCCGCGACGGCAACGAACCGAAAAGAACTTCAATCTGGCTAGCATTCGCTGTAGGTCCAAACCCAATTGACTGTGCCACAGCACGCTTGAAAGGCGGGGTCTGTGTTCCTGAGCATGGTAGGTGAAAATATGGCAATAAAATCAATGCAGACTACCAACCTCCGTAAGCAACTACCTGCATAACCATGCTAGCCCCACCAGCACTCTCACCGACGATTGTAACCTCTGAAGGATTCCCACCAAATTTACTGATATGCCTTTGGACCCATTCAAATCCGGCTCTTTGATCCAATAGACCAGCATTTTCGTCACCATTCGCCCGAACAGCAGAACCGGTGAGAAAGCCTAAAACATTGAGACGATAAGATACGGACACTGCCACCACACCAGTCGGATGTTGTACCACCCAATCGTAAAGAGGAAAGCCTTGAGTTGTCTAGCGCGAGAATAATTATAGTATAGAAAGGTTGGCGAGAAGATTTAACCTTACTCCAGCGTAAAAACCACCTCCCTGTGTAAAAATGAGTGCTTGGACAATAGACTGTCAAGAGAAGGGTTCACATAGACGTATATAATAACCGGTAGAGAATCGCCTTCTGTGGCATTCGTTGGTTTCCAAACGTTTAAATTCAAACAATCTAGAGGGCGTGCATAAGGATATACCAGGGTAATATTTGTAATGAGGAATGAATCAAACACGGACCTTCAGAACCAACGCCCACAACAGCTGGTTGTTGTATACAAGCCGGACCGAAATTTCTGGCATCAGTAACTTTGATATTTCCCTTGTCGAGTACACGCTCATCAAGCTCCCTGGGCGCTCTGAATCGTAAATCACCTAGTGGAGGCTGAGCGTAGGGAATGCCACCAAAAAAGGTCACGGGACTATCTACTTGACCTGTAGGTGAAGTGGAATTTCCAGCAAAAGCGGCATAACCAAGGTCAACAACAGGTCCCAAGGGTGACCGGAGATCTGAAGACGATACATTGGTTGCGTGTGTCGGAAGAACTTTTACAAAAACCAGCAAGAGGGATGTTAAGATGTACATTCGCAGAGATAACTGGGCCATGATGATGTGAGCAAGTTTTCCGCAGGGGTTACGGATATAGTCATTTTATAAGATTCCTGGATGGGTTTCCCGCCCTCCGTCTTGCTGGGCATGGTAGTCCCGTGGTCGTGCTCGTGGTACATGGTAATGACGAGATGTAGTCCGAGCGGACCGTTGGCGCATAAAGAGTTCTGCACGTTAATACATTGAAATGCGGCCCGACCTTGATAATATGCAAAGACTAATATGTGCCATTCCTCTAGGATATCTCAGGTGAAGTCATGGAGTATTGTTGGACTTGATTATTATTGGACTGTTGGTAGACCGCAATTCAGTCTGAGTGGATTCAGAGGACTCCAAGTTAAGAGGTGGTGCCAGCGGGCTTGCCTATCTGCTTGGTCAGCAAGGACCCAGAAAACTCCTGCTCAGCTCTGAGTCCGATGCGTACTAAGCTTCACTTTGAAAGATCTTGGCGCAATTGGCCTTAGAGCATGTATGCAACCTTCACTCGACTGTATTTTACTGAGCCGTATTCCAACCTTTCCTCGTCCGCAACTTAAAGCTCACTCTCATTTTGCACGTCATTATCGCTCGCACCCCAAAACCATTACTAAAGAGCGGTGGAAGCGACCAGGCAGAGGTGGACAGAATTTATCAGAGCGTTTCCGGAGGCTTGAAAACACTCTTCGAGGGAAAGGTGCTTTCACGAGAAAAGTAGCAGAGCTATCTCAGGTCCCAGACGTTGCACATAGCGCGTCGCAGTATGTTGGATCAAGCGGACTCAAGAACCTCACTCGGACATTCAGAGGGTTTGCGTTGCCTGAACAGCCCAAACCTCCTGCGGAAGATGGTTGGTGCTTCTTTTCATTCGTATTTTGTGCAGTGATTACACATTGTATGATTTAGAATGCTGTATGTCAGGCTGCGCGATATGTGTCTATGACCTATACCAAGATTCTTTGACCGCTTACGATGAGTCCATCAACTCTCTACGCGTGTTACTCTCCTCGTCACACATACCCGAGTCCGAGTGGCCTCCAGATATCCGTAAGTCTTCACAAGGGATTACGGCTGAGAAACGAAAGGATGTTGTTTTGAGTGCATTCGAGGAAATGGAACGAGCATTGAAAGAGAAGCAAGAGCGCCGCGTGAAAGATGAAGCTGGGGGTTAGTTTGGCTTTGGTTATTGGCTGGTGCCTTGTGCTGATTAGAGAATGGTAGCGATTGTGAGAATTCAGCGACTTCAACGCGTACGGAAAACTGACTGGGGTCTCAGCACCATTTACGATGGATTACAATGGGTGTTGTTCAGTAATCGGTGATAAACTAGAAATTTAAACGGACCCCGCACCAAGTCACAAACTAATGACTTGTGGCTTGTTTATTCCAACCTATTCCATGATTTCTCGACGTAAACCAACGCACAAGAGTCTAAGGGACTATATCGTTCTTAGGTATTCGATAGTGTAGCATAAGCATAAGTTATCGTGGATATGTCAAGTTGTTTCGCACAGTCACTGACCTATTTGTAAATTTCTAGGCTCGTCCCCAACCTGCTCGGCTAGCTCGCGTAGGCTGGGATCACTCGTCACTGTTTTGTGAGGAGGACGAATTCCTCACCAAAGATGAGGTGGGGACTTCGTCGTAGGGAGTCGGAAGTCAAAAATGGTGAAAAACTTGGTCTACAAAAAGCATTTTTGGAACCAGTAGATCACTTTTTGTTAATAGGCTTTTTTTTTTGAAAATTTTGAGGTTGTCGTCGCTCACCACCATTTTTTGGCGCAGTTCACTGGTAAGAAAAAACCAAAAGTTTTCTATACATAATGTGTTCTACTAGTTACAAAATTGCTTTTTTGTATACTAACTTGGGGACATATTTTTTATGGCTTTCGAGTCCCTACGAAGAAGTCCCCACCTCATCTTTGGTGAGGATTTTTGCGTCCTTACAAAATGGAGACGAGTGGTGCCAGCCGTTCACCGAAGGCAATTTCGGCTAATAACCGAAATTAAGCTCAGTAATCTGGCTGGGGACGAGCCTAGTATTAGTAGTATGTACCGTGTTCACGTGATATTACTGATTACGTAGATTCTCCAAGTCTTCATTAAGTTTCATTAATCTTCATTATTCACTGCGTTCCTGCTCGAGGTGAACTCTGCTTACGGTTCTGTCAAACTGACCTGATAGCTCTCAGATTCTAAGGCAATTCACGTTATCCCTTAACGAGCTTGCATCGATCATGTCAACGAGCACAGCTTTCCAGACATTTTCTCTTGCCAACGACATCTTCGACGTTTCGACCCAAGACGAGATATACGCCTTCGATGTTGCAGCCGACAAACAACTCAATCGTGAGTCACCTTGGAGCAAAGAGTTGGTACTCCAGCGATGCTTAACGAATTAGATTATCTGATCGAGTTAATTCTGTATTTTGCAGCCCCCACTACTTCAAGTCATGCAAGATATCAGCTGTGGCTTTGATAAAGATGGTACAGCCCCCAAGGATCTGATTAATTTTGCGACCCCAATGACTTATAGACTTTCAAAGGTTATACACGCACGATCAGGGGTTCCGCATGAGATAATGGGCTTGATGCAGGGAAAAGTTATGGGGAACTCCTTAGTTATTATGGACTCTTTCGCCCTGCCGGTACAAGGAACCGAGACACGAGTCAACGCAGCGAACGAGGCTAACGAATACATGGTCACATACATAGAACAAAGTAAATCGGTGGGTATTCCCACGTGAAGTGCATGGATTTCGACTGAAAGACACGTAGGTGCGCAGACTGGAGAACGCGATTGGGTGGTACCACTCCCATCCGGGGTATGGATGTTGGTTGTCAGGCATAGACGTAGACACCCAAATGAATAACCAACAATTTACCGATCCATTTGTGGCTGTGGTTGTATGTTCACTCCTTTCCTGCTCATCGTTCTTTACGTTGACTTTGTCACCTAGATTGATCCAAATCGAACCATCTCGGCTGGTAAGGTGGATATCGGTGCCTTCCGCACATATCCAAAGAACTACACACCACCCAACGTATCATCTTCTGAGTACCAATCCATCCCTCTTAATAAAATCGAAGATTTCGGTGTACACGCCAATCAATACTACTCGTTAGATGTAGAGATCTTCAAATCAAGCTTGGACACAGAACTTCTCGGACTACTGTGGAATAAGTATTGGATCAATACTTTGAGCCAGAGCCCACTTATATCGGTCAGATTATCAACGGTTCTTTCTAAAACATGCTGATCTTATACCACATTTCAACAGAACCGAGCCTATGCTGTCTCGCAGCTTTCCGATCTTGCCCAAAAACTAGCCAAAGCACAAGCCGTGGTAGGAAGCACGCGACCAGTGATGCCTTCTTTGAAAGAGAAAGATGATAAATCTCCGTCTGCTCCCAAGGTCGGTATCTTACACGTGCTGCATCAGTTTTCCCAACTAAAGTTACACTGATTTAGAAGGACGAAAAGAAAAAAGAGGACAATCAGCTCGCCAAAAGTGTCAAAGATAGGTGAGGTCACGTTCTTCTTCTAGGTGTCTGCTTATTGACCATTTTTTTCGTGATAGCACGAAGATCGCCATCGAAGCTCAACATGGGCTCATCGCTCAAGTGTTGAAAGATGTCATTTTCTCGGTACGCCCTGGTCAGGAGCACAAAGGGCTGCAACAGGTATCGGAAGTAGTTGATACGAGCATGTCCATAGGGTGATGACCGTCTGTCTCATAGAGCTAATACTTTACCCATCGGCCCTTCGCATTCAAGTTGATTGCGAGCATCCGTTGTACTTTATCGCGCCTGTATTTCTGTTGCATGTATGAATATATGTAGTTAGACCAGGATCCAGGATCCTGAGCAACGTTACGCGGTAGCCCGATCTCTTGATTTGAAACTCCGATTATTCCTTTGGCGTGCCACAACACTACCAAACATACACCCAAAAATCCACAGGGTAGGCTCATCACACCGTCGACCACGTCAACACCTCAAGATCAAGTTTAACAAAATAAGGTGGGTGTCTGTTATAGTTGTATTGGCGTTAGTCACGTATAAGAGTATTGTTCATGGCGATGGCGTGGATTTTCATGATGGATGTTATCTTGATGTTATGGGTGTGTGTATACTAATTCGATGCGTCCGTCCACAGATGGGTCTTCAAGAATACCAGGTTGTCGGGCGCCATTTGCCCACGGAGTCGGACCCCACTCCCAAGATCTATCGCATGCGCATCTTTGCACCCAATGAAGTCGTCGCGAAGTCGAGGTTTTGGTACTTCCTGAGGTTAGTATCAGTGCATTCGTAAACAAGCTGTTTCCTAAGGAACGCGTTTTCAGACAATTGAAGAAAGTTAAGAAAGCCAATGGTGAAATCATTGGTGTTAACGTTGTGTGTATCCCTTGCAGCCATTCAAGAGGCAGGCGGAACGGGATTGCTAATGGTCGCATGACCTGTATTCATAGATTCACGAGAAGAAGCCCTTGAAGATCAAGAACTTCGGTATCTGGCTCCGTTACGATTCCCGTTCGGGAACGCACAACATGTACAAGGAGTTCCGTGAGCTCTCGCGTGCTGATGCCGTGAAGAGTCTCTACCAGGACATGGCAGCTAGGCATCGTGCTCGTTTCCGCTCCATTCACGTAGGCCTATCTCATCTTTCGCTGACGACCTTAACTCAGCTATCTTGTTTGACAGATCCTTCGTGTTGTTGAGATCGAAAAATCGGAAGATGTCCGCCGACCATACATCAAGCAGCTCCTTGTCCCCAGACTCAAGTTCCCCCTGCCTCATCGTGTGCCGAAGATTACCTCGACCTTCATCGCCAACCGCCCTGCTACCTTCTGATTGTGGGTACATGTGGAAGAGAGGCTAAAATTTACCTGCGATCTTGTCATGTATTCCTTCTAGGTCTTATTATGTGATTCGACCCGCACATGCATTATGGCACTTATGCCTATGATTTCCAAGGTCTCTGCTTTTGCGTACCTAAGATGCAAACGTGATCTCCAGTTCCGGACGAAGTCGTTTATGCAGAGCCATGTCACCTTGTTAACTTGCAGCAGCTTGAAATACAAATGTCACTATGGTGCGTACATGAGGATCGCTGAATAGACTAACTCTATCACACGTTGAATTGCAGAAATCCATAGCACATTTCAACGTGGTGTGTACATGAGGACAAATGCTTGATGAACATCGAACGCTCCATGACAATCCTGGATTTGAGATTGACATAAGTATGCCAATTCACACTCAAAATCTCCCAAGAAAAAAAAAGTCTGATCGATGTTGTTCCCTTATTGTATTGTTTCAGACTTTTATGTCACAGTATCTCTTCAAAGGCGATTGCGCCGGCATCGATTGCATGACATCATTTGGCAGCCACGGCAGCGCTATACCGAGAGAAAATCCATCAGAATTAATGAGTCCTGATGATACCAACCACTTACGAAAAGATAGTGAGGCAAATGCACGTTACAATTTTCGCATCGTCCACCCCCGCGACGATATGTCCATCTTGTATGCGCACATTCGTGGTTCTCCCTCAGATCATCCATGGCTTCTCGTACCAATTCTTGCCTGTAAGCCTCCCAAGGATCAGTCTGAGTTTGCAGACCCGATGTTCGACGAACTGTGCGAGTTGCGGCTCCAGGGGCAGCAGTATGTGGCCTTGCATTGACAGGTGCTGCTACAGGAGCGCGAACCTCTACTCGTGCCGGCACTGCTCGTGGATGTGCTACTGGCAGAGTGCGAAGGGTTTCCAAACGGGCACGTAATTGATCACCATGTTGATTTGCTGGGAGAGGTTGTGGTTGTTGCCTCTGTGCAGCAGTACGAGGGGCTTGACCAACCTGAACATTAGCACGACGTAATTGATCAGCATATTGGTTTACTGGGAGAGCTTGTGGCTGTTGCCTCTGTGCAGCAGCACGAGGAGCTTGACCAAGCTGAATATCAACACGGCGTTCTGCGGCAGCGAGTAACCTGGTCTCATCCCACTGCGGACATCTGCACGATTTCCATCTGGCTGTGCACACATAGCAGAATTCTGTCCTGCATCGACAAGTCATATGGAAGCACCCCATGTTAAGCTCAATCATTTGTGCACAACCTGGACATTGTGCCCAGCCTTGCCTCTTGCTGAGTGTGAGGACTTGTTCGGTGGTCTGATCAGGCTGGCAGGAGTGTAGCCAACCGTCATATTTGCCTCTGCATTTCCCGCAGGTAACCATGGTGCACCCGGGAGCCTTGCACGTGTACGTCTTTCCTCCGAAGCCCTCATGAAGTGGGCCCAAGAAGTGACTGCATGCAGGGGCAGCGCAGTAGACACGCTTCAGAGCTCCGAATTCTACGATCTTTTCTTGGAAGGTGCGCAACAGAGTTGCGCTTAGGTGATGTTGTACCATTGCAAGCGATATATTTTGCCTGCAGCAGCGCGGGGGAAACAAACTTTCGTCACGGGTGGCCGATTCGAACAGGCTGGTTATGCACGCAATATCGTAGTAATGGCCACAAGGTGCACGTATTTCAGAGCCATGGATGGCGTCCTGACAAATGACACAGGTATGTCCTGTTGCACTGTGCTATCCATCAGAATTTGGTATATGCTGTAGTCTGAGTCCAAACGTACCGATTGGAGGGTATGTGCGCAGGAGTCGTTGAAGCACTGGCAGATGGCTTGGAAGGTGATTGGGGATCTGTAAAGATCCACTGTGCCCAAGATGAGAACCAGTCGCCCCAGCTCTGAGTGTCCCTCCGAGGAGTTGTACTACAGTATGTCTTGAGGACAATAATATGGTGTCGCAACCATGCACATACCTGGGGCGTCCATGAGCGTTCAAGTTGCCTGTTATAGGTTGCCTGTTATGCACGTTGTTCAAGTTTTGCGGCGGTTCTGCGGCCCTGGCTCTGGTAGCATTCGCTGGCCTAGCAAAAACATATACCCCAATCAAACTTCCATGCAAATTATGGCCTTTGGGCATTTGACAACGTACTGAATATTGACCCTTGCATTGTTTTGTTGTTCGTTAAACAGCCTTTGAGCGATTGCGCGATCGTTGTTGAAAGTAATAACTTCTCTCGCATTCTCTAGAAACAAGCCGTAGGCTATTTCGCGATCTGTCAGCTGCGTCCGTGACCTTTCCCTTTCTCTTTGAATTCTTTCTAGGCCCTGAATGTCGTCCAACGAGAGCTGTCCGATAAGCTGAGCCAAAACGGTCTCGTAGTTGTCTGCATTTGCCGCACCATGTAGCTGATTAAAGCGTTCAGGAATGGTCTGAAGCTGGCTGGGCTGAATGGGTCTGGTTTGAGTGGACATCTAGATTGAGCTTAGGGGGTAAGTGGACTCGATAGCTTGAGTGGCTTTATAGCGAGTCGTCCTCCCAGACTCTTTGTTCAAGTTGAGCACACGTGCCCGTTATCCAAGCGCTATTTCCCATACCAATTTGAACAGTATTGACGCTCGTACTTTAGCATTGATATTACTGAATACTTTCTTATCACCGCTTTATTCGAATTCGCAGGCTTAAGGTTTTGATTCCATTCGCACAAAATCATAACAACGAATTGTGCTTGCTAAAGCCCAGAGAAGTGTAATTAGATGTGTTGAATTGACTGCACATTCTACGCATTCAAGTACGAGGCTTGGGATAGGTTGATCACTGTGTTGGCACACAAGAGTGAATTCATAGTCTGTGAAAGCTAGGATACCTGTGCATGTGAAACCTTGCTTGCTTTTCAGCCGCGTTAGAAAGCAAAGACTGGCCCATTGTCTCAATGTTGTTTGATTGAAGAAAGATGGTCCATACCTTTGTAGTTACTCAGAATTAGACTCCGCGAATGGTGCATTTCGAAACAACGCTCGCCTCTCCACTCTGGTTTGGGAAGATGTGGCCACGAGTCACAGTCGTGTCCACGCTTTGCCGCTCGGAAGTCCTGTGGTCCTGTACATCCACAAGGCAATAAAAGGCGCTCAGTCTTTTCGATACTGTATTAAATCCTACGTTCTCTAAACCTACTAAGCCAGCCATGATGATATTACCAGAAGACGTCAACTCCGATGAGCAAGGAACCAATTCTGGTCAAGGCTCTGGTTCTTTTAATCACGTAAACCCTCCTCCTCGTCTAAATCGATACAGGTCACGAGTAGAGGAGGACACAGACGACGTAGAGGTATGAGCCATCGCTACACTTCGAAATCGAGGCGTGCTAAATATTCGCAATTCATAGACGGATCCTCCTCATCAATACAGATCACCAGTGGAGGTGGACACAACAGATGCAGAAGTACGGCATCATTACACTTTAGACGAGAGGCATGCTGATCATTCGCAATTTATAGAGGGTTCCTCGTCGTCCAAATCAACACAGATCACCAGTGGAGGACACAGCGGATGCAGAAGTATGAGGCCCATCATTACAGTTTAACTCGAGGCGTGCTAAAGACCCGAAATATATAGATGGACCCTCCTCCTACATATTCAGAAACTGTCAGTAACACAGGAAGTAGCACGACCAGTACTGGAACCTCCACTTCCAACTCAAGCTCCACAACATTGGACGATGAGAGACCGCTTAGGTCTACGCCCACTAATTTTCTATCGCGTTACGGTGCGAATTCTTCGATCAGCGGATGCTTTACTATCGATCCCTCCATGACCCTGCGTGCCTCTGCCCAATCTCCCCTCAATCCTGGTCAATTAAGCTCTAACAGGAAAAACCTCAGCTTCGCTACTCAAAATGGAAGCATCAGTGCAGAGATCTGGCTACTGGGCCCTAGGGCGAATAGTAACACCCAGCCAAAACAGGCTACCCTAAGTTTAGAATCGCTGAACGGCTCTATACGGACATGGATCGTAAGTATCTCATTTACCCATCATGATTTTACCCCTCAATCCCTTTCCATCAGGATAATGTTAATGGTCGAGTACCCGTCCAAGTAGACGCGCGCACACAGAATGGAAATATCACCCTTCATATACCTCGCTCTTTTCATGGTTACATCTTCGCATCAGCACCTAATGGTGACTTTTCACTCTCCACCGCTATAAACGCACACGCCACAGTGCTCGGGCACTCTCACAGGGAGCAGCGATACTTTGTAGGAGATATGTCATCAGTGGACGAGGAAAGATGGACTAGTGACGAGCTGAATGTTCATTCGAACAATGGCAGAATCAAGATTGGCTATGTCGACGAAAATAACTTTGTAAACAACGCTAGCCCTCGCTCCAACACCTACACTTACAGTACTACTACTGGAGGCAACAGCGGTGGCACTCCTCTGCGCCGGAATACTTTCGGTGGACGTGGTTTCTTCTCCAACAGTACCAATACTGTCTTCAGTGGTCAATATAACGTCGTTGTGGGTAACCAGGTCAACATCAACAATCACAGCATTAACTCTTCCAATCATACCACGTATGATCGTAGCAATGCCAACACAAGGAATAATGTCAGAGGGACGCGAACATCCACATATTCGACGCCAGGTAGCTTCAATGCCCGTTTTCCCAATGTCAATGTCAACGTCTCTTCGGATGACGTAAATGAGGCCCAGGACGTTAATGTTTCACTGCCGGGGTTTTCATATTTTAGCCGGTTCTTTGGCCTTGGGTAATGATGTAGCAGATGGAATAAATACTGAAATTGGTTGATGTATGCTATGATACTTTTACTTGTACCCTCCTCCGAACACCATTGTACTATTAGGCAGTCTTGCAACTTGCAATGAATCAATCGCTAGGGCGAAATTATTTGTAATCAAATGATTTATGGTTGTTGTACAACCTAAGAAAGCAGACAACAGAAAAGCCATATTTTCTATCAAGTTAAACACCGAAATCTGGTTTACATGTTGTTTCCTGCCTAGAGTACAATTGAAGTAACCCGTTACAATGATAAAACTACAGGAGATAATCTTGCATGTCTACCCCCCTATTCAACGCTGTTTTAGACCTCTACCCGAACATATATTTCCAATTAAAACATCCACTTTCTTCAGTGTTCAGTCTACACTAGACCATCTGCTATGTCTGCGATAGTTAGACGGTGCAAAACCAATTCACAGCTGATATTACGCACCGACTGCAAGATGCTGACGCTGATCAACAACAAGAGGACCATAAGGTAAATCTTCATCGGAGGGCTGATCAAACAGAGGCTTTCTCGGAAATCTACGACTGTTGGGAGGTAGGGTTCCATTGATGCGAAGTAAAACAGTTTCCCAATTTATGGCTTCTATGGCCCTCTCCTCAGGACTCCTTGTGCCAGAATGATCCCTACAGTACTTCACTACCAGCCTCGGGAAAATGCTCCGCAAGTATGTTGCCACATATTCTGGGGAGCCTATCTTTGATGGTGCAACGATCTCGACCGTCAAGTCGCGCTCTTGGTGGGGAACTACATCACGTGGTGAGTTGACAGACATTTGTAGACCATGGACGGGAGGTGGGGCGACAGTGGCATCTACTGATAGCCTGAGTCGCTTCAATTTTGGGCAATAGACGGACAAGGGGAAAAGACCCTGGAGAGTGGCTTTTGCGGTATTTGACCAAATGCTGACAATACTAAGATCTTCGAGATGTGGCCAAGCCTTCGCGATGTCGCTCAGGTTATCGTCGCCAATTTCTGAAAGTGTGCCAGGAAGACTAAGAACTCTGATGTTGGAAAAGGCGAACAAATGCGGTAAAATTGACGAAGGAGAGGCAGCTTTTTGGGTACACAGAGCAAAGGACTTCAGGGATATGAGCCGTTTTGGATTGGATTTTAGTGCTCGGAAGATATCAGCAAGTGAACCTGGAGGGTGCTCATGGTAGAAACGAATGGCGAACTTTTCCAGATGATCGGAATCCACAGAATTGATGAAGGCGGAGGGGATTCTCGTGGAGTTAGTAGTGGAGATGGTGAGGGTACGTAGTGATAGGAAGGCGCCTCGTATAGCATCAGAAGGAATTTTGAAAAAACCTTCTTCGGCTACTCCAGCGAAGTTCAGATTGAGATGGTTGAGCCGAGGTAAAGCTGCCATGAAAGATAATGTCTTGACAGCAGAAGAGGTCCTGGAGTAGTCTTTGATTAATAAAACGTCAGAGACCTTCTGTAATATCAGAGAAGCAAAAATCACCGTAACGAGGTTGGATGTGGTTCAGGGGGTTACCCGGGTCGCTCGCGAACATATGCGAGTTTATCATTAAATCATAGGGAAAGCTTATCTGTAGAGTAGATAGCTCCTGGCTTAGAGATGTGAGGAGATAAGGATTGTAAAAGTTATCGTCAATCCGACGTCCGATAGCGGAGTATTCCAGCCAACGAAGGTTGGGTAAGAGGAAGGGTGTTGGACAAGCTACTAGTACTAGTAGTTCGTGCAGGATATGAGGGGACAGATCGTAAGCTTCTGAGTGGAGAGGATTGTATTCGATTTTCCTGATCCTCGGAGCATAATAGAGCAGCCTGCTCCAGTTTGCAGGATCTGAATACATATTCAGTCGCTGACGTAGTCGTCAATGAAGCGAGAATGATGAACGCAGGCTCTTCGAAGGGTAAAAAGAACATACCGCAGTCGTAGTATCCCATTCCCTGTTATCTCCATATAACTCCAATAGCTCTATAGGCAAGCACATGATAAGAGGTGCCAGTGAATATTGAGTTCTCCAGAGGACGTCCAAGGCAGGCTCGCTGAAAACGCGACATGTCCGTGCAAGCCCAGCAACATCCGGTAACTCATTCTCCGACGAAAGAACAAACTCAAATATTTCCAAAAGTATCTCCTGGATGCGAAGACAGGGATGCATGTCAATCGAGAATTGCGATGTTTGGCTTGCTACAAATGAGATAGATTCAGCCTCGAGCTCGGAGTGTAGTTAACGTTATAGCATACCGTGACCGACCAACCAGGAACCAATCTCTTGGGCCCTGTTTATACAGGTGGTATCGTATCCGTCAACCGTGGCTTAAGACGATAACAGCGAGTAGAAACAGATTCTGATGAAAAGATGGGATGAGATGTCAACGTGGGGGTAGCCGTTACCCGTCATGAGGGGTTTTGAGTCTCAAGAGCACCTGGCAGGTTGTGGACGAATCCCAAAATAGCTCTAGTGACGCACAATCCATTTACTCGCTCATTTACATTGTATACCGGGGGTATTTATCGTAAAATATTATTTTATTCCTCCCGACTTGTCGCAGACTTTATTCAAGGTAAGCAATGCCACAAAGTGTGGATCCGTTGATGCGACACAATACCCCCACCCGACCAGATCCGCCCTCAGGGGTTAGCTCTTTTGTCGTATTTTAACCGCAGGAATATTCTTGACAAATAAGTTGCTACACTCTAATGCATCCAGGAGATGATTTATAGGGCTGGGAAATGCTCATAAGTGGTCCACGTAACTAGGTCCGATCGGGAAACAGTAGATATTCTTGCTGTGCCACAAGCTTGCATGGGTATAGGGACAGCGGTCGCATCAAGTGAAAGCCTGAGACCCTGGGACAGAACGACTTGTGGGGAATAGACAAAAAACGAAAACAGTCCTTTCAGTGTGCACGAACAGACCAATTTCGTGCTCGATGTCCGGATCTTCAAGACGTGGAAAAGTCTTCGCGATGTCGCACAGATTATCGTCGTCGTCAATTCCGTCAGAACAGTCAGAAAGACAAAGAACTTCGATATTGGAAAAGTTGAAGATAAATGGTAAAATTGACGTAGGGCGGGAGGACAGCTTTGCGGGAGAATACGGCGATGGACTTCAAGGAGACAAGTCAGTTGAATGAATTGGACTTCATTGTTTGCAAGACGTCAACCAAAGTAGGGAGATATGTATAGAAGATGATGGAAAGCTTGATTCAGAGGTTGACAAGCTCTGACTCAGCCGCATGAGCAACCTAGTCTCCCTTGGCCGACCTAATTATTGATCTATATCAATATTTAGCAACAGAAAAGACGCTGGACAAGCTGTCGATAATTCATGCAAAGTGCTCGGACGCAACGCACAACGGACTATATCCCAGGAGAGACTAGTATCTGGTGCGATTTCCATTCCGTGCAGCATAATGCATGAAGAAACGCAGTGACTATCCCAATCTGCAGGGACTAGAGGTCGTTTAGATCTCTAAACAAAAGGATGAATGAGATTTGATGAACAAGATCTGCTCAAGGCAAACGAGATATACCACAATGCCACTATCCATCGCTCGAAGAAAATTTTAACGTGTCCGCCCGCATACACATGATAAGAGACGCTAACGACGTTCAAGTCCTCCAGAGAATATCCTGCGCAGGTACCCTAAAAGCGCGGCACATTCTCGCAATCCTAACAACATATGGAAACCCTTTCTTCGATGAAAGAATGCGCTCGAATACATCCAAAAGTATACCTGGGTTGGAAAGGCAAGAATACGTAAAATGAGCATAATGGAGTGGGTTGGAATGACAAGACCAGATTTGAAGCTAAACCTGTTAAGCTCTGTAGCTTTCTTGTCAGTGATTTTTGCTCGTCCATCCAACGGCTCACGTAGCAGAAGAAAGAACAGACTCTCCAGATTGAGTTGATTGGGAACAAGTCATTATATTTCAGTATCTACACAAGAGAATACACAAGCTATCGAAGAAATGTAGCAACTCTGGTAAGGAACATCACCTCAAATCTTGCGACCGTACAACATCGTACACAGGCGGGCTCCAGCTGAGCAGCTTCTTGAATCTGGGGCTCGCGGTAGACTCCTGTAAGCAAAACCTCGCCCTTAACGGTCGGGGATAGTTACAGGGGGACAATAGTGCGTGCCCGGAATGAGTTGAAGAAAAATTTAACTAACTTCACTACGCTTTATAGTGGGCAAACGCACGTGATCACTTTTGCCTCAGGGCCGGCGTCCTCCCCACGCTTGTTGCGAAGAGTGTGACTTTCGACAATGTTCAGATAAATGACAGTGAGGCTAGTCGAAAGAAACATCAACAGACAAGTTTATGACCCGCAAGACAGTCTTGTACAGCATCTGCGTGCTGTGAATGTTTGTTCTTTTCAAAAGTAACGCTTTTAGTTACAAACGTGACATCGTACAGCAGTATATTCGGTTTAGTCCGTCTCCTGGCTGTCAGCGGGCACCACACACACCATGTTGTGCGGCGCAGCTACATCCGCAGTCGTGTGGCAGTCTATAAGACTGATACGATTGAAACTTGGTCCCCATTCCTTTACGAGATCTTTTTAACGCTCGATAAATATTTCGTGACATTAGCTTGTAAAGATGATAATTCCTGAAGGTAAACAAGATAAACAAGGTATCGACAATAGTTCGAAAAACCAGAGGGAATTTACCCGTGAGGTATGTGGTTAGCCATTCAATTACTCCTAAACTAATCAATACCTGTTACGTATATGAACAGGACGAATCGTTACCACCATCTTACCAGGATGTTGCCTTCTCACAACCTGAGGGTCAGCAACGTGGTGGGGCTGCCTCTGTCCCAGTCCCGAGACCATCACAGCCTCCGATTCTCAAACCCACCAACTTCTTATATCTCAGTAACAATGATAGGTCGATCAAAGGATGTTACACTATCAATCCTTTCATGACAATTCCTTCATCTCTTCTCCCGCCTCTAGCCGAAGGCACGTCGCCAAACGATAGAAAGAATCTTGACCTACAGGTGAAAGATGGCAGTATCGATGTCGATATCTGGCTGGCCCGTCCCGAGGAAAGCGATCTGGCAGGAGTCCCGAAAAACCGAGCTACTCTTTATCTAAAGTCTAAAGATGGCTCAGTTACTGCCAGAGTTGTGAGTCATTCTAGGTCGAGTCGTGGCTATATATTAATAAAACATCTTCTTGAAGCGTAACGTGAACACCCCGGTCCCCTTTCTGTTGAATGTTTATGCTAAAGATGGTTCGGTGACCATCTGCCTACCTCAGGCTTTCCAAGGTCCCATGTCGCTGACAACCAAAAACGGATCGATCTCTTTGTCCAATCCTCTTTTGGAGGCTTCCACGGCGTTGGCTCAAATTGATTCCACGAGACGTTATTTCGTTGGGGATTTATCTGCTATAAGAGATGAGGAATGGAATGGCGATGAGCTGAAAGCGGAGTCGAAGGACGGGAGTATCAAAGTGAAATTTGTGGATGAAGTGACTGTTCGCAAACCAGGCTTATTCAGTCGCATGTTTGGTTTTTAATACCAAACGCGACAATCAATTCTCGAATTATTGTCATTTGTAGGGCTATTCTATGTTGTGAAACCACTTAACGAATGTTTCTCGCTATGCAACCCAAGATTATCTAGGTTCTTCAAAATGTACTTCCTCGCCGATATCTTACGCTATATTTCGCATTTCTTATACCCAGCTGGTTCGCAGTGTCGAAGCCATGCCATTCCAACGATAAATCAGCATTTTTTGCGGGATGTGGGACATTTGGAGATCTCGAATTTCATGAAGCTACATCTGTGATGTGATCACTTTCATTATTCCGGTATTGTCAATTCTGCCCTATGAACTAGCCTCTGCAAGACTAGGAAGGTACGTTTCGATCAGAGGTATAAACGGGTAATAGTGCTACAGCTTTCTCATTATATCTCCTCCAGGACTCGAGGTACTGATTCCTTGTTTATTCAAACATCGTGAGGTGTCGACAAACCGTAAACTCGTCAAGACAGTATCACTCCTTAATGATTCTAGCAACAATACCATCCCAATTTATCACAGATGTGTTATCGAGTCATACGACGTACTCGCTGGTGTGTTTCTTTCCTCATTGGATGCCAAGGGTCCTTTTCCACCCCAGCTTATCGAACGATGCTTTGAAATCCAGGCTCATTTAGCTCGTTTCCATTCCTGTGGATCTGTCGGTCAGACTTCCAAGTGATGGCCAGGGGTTTTTGGCACAATCAAGCGCTCATTAGGCCTAAGGTTCGGCACGACATTTTCGTACGACCCCCGCTAGTCATGGATTAAAATTCGAATGCCGTATGAAAGTCAGATCGATCTGATTTTATCCCATCTTTACACTGCGTAAAAGAGACTTTGCAGTATTGGGCTCGCTAATACAATCAGGCATTGAGCGATGGACGTCATGGGTACAGTAATACGAACGCTTAAGGCCTGCGACATTTTGCATAAATATAAAGCTCGGAAGCTCAGAAACGTTCGAGTTGCATATGCATCCAGAGGTGTGGATAATCCAGGGATAATCAGCTCCGAGTTCCGCAAGTCATCTCCGATCTAGATCGGCATCATCCGAATACGAGCCCCATATCAGACTCCAAGCTGAGAGCGCTATCCATTCCAGCTTTCCCTCTTTCCATCCATCATGTCCAACGTTTTCGTAAGTATTTTATTGCATTCTCCTTGACTACCCCTTGTATAAGTTTCCTCTACGTCAACATACTCATTGATCTCTTACCATCAGTTCGACATCAACATCAACGACAAGCCAGCGGGGCGTATCATCTTCAAGTTGTTCGACGACGTTGTCCCTAAGACAGCGAAGAACTTCCGCGAGTTGGCAACGGGTCAGCATGGATTTGGCTTTGAGGGTTCAGCCTTCCACCGTGTCATTCCCGGGTTTATGCTTCAGGGAGGTGACTTCACCCGTGGCAACGGAACAGGCGGCAAATCTATCTACGGTGAAAAATTCGAAGGTAAAGGGGTTTCATGGCGAATTGAAATGGTTTCTAAATGGGATCTTAGATGAGAACTTCAGCCTGAAGCACACCAAGCCTGGAATTCTTTCCATGGCTAACGCCGGCAAGAACACCAACGGTTCTCAATTCTTCGTCACCACCGTTGTTACGTCTTGGCTTGATGGTGCCCATGTTGTTTTCGGTATGTTCTAGACTTAATCATCGTCAACAATACTGATGCATGTGTGGTACACTTGTAGGCGAGGTCGTACAGAACTTCGAGTTAGTAAAGACGATCGAATCGTACGGTACTGCGTCTGGAAGCACGAAAGCTCGTGTCTCCATCGCCAAAAGTGGCACCGTTTAACTTCAAACAGGGGGAGAAGACTAAGAAAGATAAAAGAAGAGAAGTAGATACTTAAACTGTTGATTGCATAAACTGTGTTTTTATGAGATGATGGTATCATTATTGTGATTTTTAACGTCATCGCTACTACTCGAAACTATGAGGACTATTCCTTTTTGCTGTCTTTCTGGATGAACAATCGGAGTATATGCGTGTCGGCAGACTCAAACCGCACGGCACTCAACCTCGCCTTCCATAATCTCGTCATGGTCGCCCTGCGACTGAGCCGAACTAACTTCGAGGGTGTTCGACATGAAAATTCATACGTACGATGGCAAAGCTACACGCCACAGATCACGCCATTAACAGCGTAGAAGACCATTGGTTTGCTATATCAATGGTCTAGGTGAACCTTATCACATTGGGTATTCACTGCTATCCAGCCTATTACAGTCTTGTATATCGACTGTCATGGTGTTGGAACATGATGTTGTGGAGACACCGTCGTCCGCGAGAGAAACAGATGCCCTTTTGGGCCCTCAATCTCGAACTCGTAATGAATCCAACGCTTCCGTCTATCATGAAGTTGGCGCCTTGCATGGAACTGGCGTTGAGTGTAAGTGGGAGATTCTGCAAGAGTGGTCGCGGTCAGGCTGATGGTGCGAGAGGTAGCAACTGCCTTTGGCGAATCTTTTGACAATGTTCCGAGGTCGAAGAGACAGATAGGTATGTCACAGCACATGGCTGATATAGCAGGAAACCAAACACCAGCTTGATATCTTCAGGGCTCGCTAGTGCCGTATTCTTAATATTCAACAGGATCATAGGGACTGGGTATGTGCAAATCTCTTGGTTCTGGCGCGTTTATTAACTTGCATCTATTTGACAGAGTATATGCATCACCTAGCATAATATTACGAGCTTCTGGTAGTATCGGCGTGACGTTTGTCATGTGGATTCTAGGAGCTTTCATTGCGGCAGCGGGCACTGCGGTGTACGTTGAACTTGGAACGGTACGGGTCTTAGTCGATATCATCATGTTAGATATTGATCTCTACATTTAGGGTCTGCCACGTAGTGGAGGAGATAAAACTTACTTAGAATTTATCTACTCTCGTCCAAAATATCTTGTCACTTGCGTGTATGCGATGTATGGTTTGTTTCTGGTGAGCTTTTATCTGTACTATCTTTTCGGTGGCGTCATAATATGTGATATAGGGCGCGATAGCTGCAGCTAGTGTCGTGTTCGGGGAATGTCAGTTCTAGTCTCCTTCTAGTGAAAGCATATGATCTTAACGCAAACACGATGCACAGATTTCCTTCGTTCGCTATCTATCACTCCAACGCAATTTAACGTTCGCTTTTGTGCTGTACTGTGCATGACTTTCTGTTTCTTCATTCATGGTACATACCTGAAATGGGGTCTCCGTCTTCAAAATGCTCTCGGATTTTTCAACCTTTTTGTCCTCTCGCTGATAGCAGTATGTGGCATGCTTAGCTTGGCAGGTGTTTCAGGTTTTACAGTCCGGGATGGTTATGATATACCCCATAACTATGAGTGGGATTCATTTTGGGAAGGAAGTGTTACTGACACAAATGCATTTGTAATGGGGATGTACAATGTTACTTGGTATGTTGCTATATTCAAAACTACTAAGTACTGGGAACTTTTGACGAAATCCCACCATTTTCATAAAGGTCATTCATTGGTTACTCAAACGCAAATTATGCCCTGTCCGAGGTCCGCAATCCCGTCAGGACGATCAAACGCGCAGCACCCTTGGCTTTAGCTTTAGTAGCTTTGGCTTACATATTTGTCAACATTGCCTATTTTGCCGTCATTTCGAAGGTCGATATTCTTGACAGTGGTACTGTGGCAGCGTGAGTGGTATTAGCTTTTCTTTCGTCCATTGTTGCAGGCCTGAGCAATCTGTTCCATTCAGCGCGTTGTTCTTCAGGAATTTGTTTGGCCCGGCCGCGTCCAAGGTACGATCATCCAACTCTCATCCGGTTCTCCGTCCTCAGCGCTTCAGTATTCTCTAGGCACTTAGTGCAATTATAGCGCTTACTACGCTTGGCAACGTCCTTTCCGTTCTATTTTCTCAAGGCCGAGGTGAGTGTAATACATTTCTGGCGGCGACGTAAGACTGAGCGTCCCGTGGATCAAATTTCAAGTCAACCAAGAGCTTGGCCGGGAGGGAGTAATTCCTTACTCGTCATTCATATCTAGTAACAAACCTTTCGATACACCGCTGGCAGGTTTATTTGTCCAGTGGGCTGTTTCTGTGATCACCGTGATAGCAACACCTTCGGGCGATGCTTATCTTTTCATGGTCAACCGTAAGTTACCCACTATAGAGGTGACTCTTAGATTCTCACTGATAGCGCGTCACAGTTAACACGTTCCCATTGATGATCATCAATGTACTTGTGTCGGGTGGACTCCTTCTCCTTTATACGCGAGCGTACAAATCCTTCAATTGGCAGCCGCCTTTTCAGGCCTCGAGAAGTGTTGTGGTATTCTTCTTTTTGTCACAACTCTTTTTCGCGGTTGTCCCGTTCATTCCTCCTTCTCCCGGGTTTGACATATATGAGAATCTACCGTACTGGGTAAAGTCTCATCATACTTGATGGGGGAAATTCTGACAGGATAATTGTAGTCCCACGTCGCGGTATCCATCGTCATTGCCTCCCTCGGGGCTGTTTATTGGTTTAATGTTTTCATTTGGCTGCCGCGCAGGAAAGGTTACAAGCTAGAACGGGAGATGGTTGTCCAAGAAGATGAAATTTCGAGGGGGGTGTTTACAAAGGTACCAATTGAACAAGGATCAGTGATACGAGGATTTGCAAGTTAGTTCCTTTCTATACTATCATCAGCATCAAAGTTAGCATCAACAAGAGTTGTTGGCTATTTTGTTATCTATACGTGCTGCATAAGTAATGGTTTAATTTTTGGAAGGCATTGATGAGCCTTTCTTGGGCGAGCGAATCACCACAGCCATCAATCCTACACGAGCACACTATCGACGCCGGGTACACGCGGTTCAGCCTTCTTGTCCACGCAATCACCACGAAGTTGGTTGTTCTATCTTACAGTACACTCCGCAGTCACCGTCGTGCAGGAAGGAGCTTAAAAAACAACCAGACTTTGATGATGGTCTCTCGAGAAACGTTCCCAAGCACAATCAAGATCAGAGAATCATATCAGCTTTCTTGGCACACTTCCGGCCTGAGATCAGGCAGTGACCAGGCCTGTTCCTGTCATCATCTGCCACCGCTCACGTCGTGAAAGCGTTGCAGCGCGCTATTTTGAAGCTGAATTTCTTCTAGATCCATAACAGGTCTTTTTTCGGATGAACAAGGGTTACTTCAGCCTAGCTCCTTGGAGGATCATAGCCCCCCCCCCTCTCACTTCAAAACGTCCATGCGAAGAATTGTTGGCTGGAAAACAGACGTGAACGACAGCTAGGATGGGTGACGTTGAAGCCACCCGTGATGTGTGAGTGTGCATCGACCGCGCTCAAAATATATCATGGTGGCAACTCTGAATGGCTTGATCTCCCTTGCATGACAGGTTTCTACATTCGTGTTTTGGATTCATGGCGATTGGTGAGTGGAACGATACTTGATACTTTAGGGTGTTCCCCACATTTCTGACGGGCTGTTGCAGGTGTCTTGCTTTACGATCACGCTATCACGCTTGCAGACGAAATAGTGTATATCTGGAAACGCCCAAAATTTGCATCGTCTTTCCTCTTTCTCCTCAATCGTTATACTGCTTTTTTGGGAAACATCGCTGTCACTGTTGTCAGCTTTCAATCACTTCCAAGCGATGTTCGTGGGTGTGGCCTACTTATCTTAATAATATCTGGCTGACGGCTTCATTTCAGAGGTTTGACTGCATTGAACTTTTCTTCAATATGTATGCTAATAGCTTTTTGATAGCTGTAAACGTTACACTTTCTTCCGCCAGCTATTACTAGTCGTAAACCAGGTCATAGTATGTAGTAAGTCGGCGATATCATCCACACAACTCAAGTCTGTTCTAATTCAGGACCAGTCCTTTTAACTCTCCGTACATATGCATTGTATGGTCGCAACAATCGCCTACTTGCGTTCATGGTGGGATTTGGAGCCGTGTTGGTAGCTGCTGCTTCTGTATGTTCTTCGCGAGTATCAGGCACATTCAAATATCATCTAACAATATTCATATTTCAGTGGGCTCTGGTAGGACAACATTCATACGCTGCCACGAACGTCTCTGGCTGCCATATAGCGTACACAACTAGCACGTATGTCACTTCCACTCCTCAGAACACTTACACGATATTCAACGACATCGAATTGAACCCCTTTGTAGAGGCATACGTGAGATTTTGTAGATCAGTGTTTCGTGGTCACCAGTTCTCATCAAGTCTTATCAGACCTCGCGGTTGCTTGGGAAGCGCTTTTTCTCTACGATACAAGTATGCTTGTCCTCACGCTCTTGAAGACGTACAAGGCTACACGTCAACATGGGTTGTTGTCATTCAATGGAAGGCTAAATATTGTCACCCTTATGTGTCGAGATGGTGAGTTTTTTCAAAAGTTCTACGCTCACTCATATTGAAGAACTTTACAGGTGCAATGTATTTTGCGTAAGGAACTTGGAGTCTTTTCCATTCCAGTCGTAGTCTCATTGCGATAACATGCAGGACCATGGCCATAGCTAATCTCTCCAATATCCTCACGTTCTACGTAAGTCTTTCGTAACGAATCAAATATCGTGATATTGATCGTGTCAACGCAGATTGCCCCCGTATGTTTCTCACTTCAATGGATATCGTTTGTGAGCTCAGCTGCCTTTCAGTCTCTCCTAAAAGGAACTCTTTCCACTTTTGCTAGCTGGTATGTCCCAATCTACTATTTTCACTGCCCAGCTGTCGACGTCTTTACCGTTATAGTATCTCAGTTACTCTTATGACCCGGCTGATGCTAAACCTCCACAAATCCGCGGATACTGGTATACTTACGACTCACGCGAATGTAGATACGGGCGGTATGGTTTTCACTTCCAATATCGCTTCGACGATGGGACCATCTTACGATTCACAACACACCGTCCTGCTTGATCTGTCCCCGCTTGATGCACCACGCCTATCTACTGACATTTATTTGGAGCTGCGCGAAGTTTCCGCTCAAAATCATCTGCAAGTTGGACCCCGTGAAGTCTGACCCATGTCCCTTTTTTTAACGATTTCGCATACAACTCATCGATAACTTATTCCCGACGGTGCTAGTGCACTTGATACACTATTCCTCTACATGTATTTTGAACGACGAACTATACACCACAATCGTGGCCACTATAAAACTGAGACTGTTTTATCGTTTGGGGTCTAATTTTTTTGAGGATAACCTTGTTTGACTGCATCATAGGGATTATCTCTATAGGTCAAGAAAACATCGTACAGCGGAAACAACAGCTCAATAAAATTCGACATTTATTGAACCCAGGAGAGGTATCACAACACAACAGTTACAAACCAACGACTGCCAGTACTGTTACGCCGTAGTAGAGCTAGATGGAATGGGTATTGAAGCGGCAACATGAAGGTCCAAACATGATACCGATGGAGGAGTCCAAAATTGAGGCGAGCCAAGACAATAGAATATATATTATCCTCTACATCACGTCCCGGACAATTAAGCAGCCCAGAAACCCAAGGCCATAGCAGCAGCAACGCTCATCCCAACAGGAGCGTACATGCCCATAGCTCCAGATTTGCCGGTGGTCTGTGCGGTAGATCCTGTGCTACTGCCCGTGCTAGAAGCGGCAGCAGGAGTCGAAGTGGGGTATGTAGAACCTAAAGCTTTGATTTCGAAAGGCTGCGACTCGGCATAAACCTGCGCAAAATGAATATCAGTGAGAGGTCCGTGCATTGATGATGGTACAAAATAGCTCACGTCTGTGCTGTTGAAGGGGTTAGCGAGTTGGACAGTGTAACCAGTTCCGGCAGGCTGGGCAGACTGTTGCTGAGTGATAGTTTTAGAGCAATCGTAGTTATACTCGATGGCGAGGATGGCCAAGGGGGCCTCGAGGATGCTTTTGTCGGGGTTGGCAAGGCTTTGGATAAAAATGTCAGTTGTGAGCGGTAAGTATAGAAATACAATGACCTACAGGACGGTGAAGTTTGTGTACGGGGAAGTGCTGCATGTCCATTCGAGTGTGTTCGACGACTGAGCGACTGGACGAGCGAATGATACCACGCGACGACGAGATAAAATTCAAGTCGAGAGATTGTTAAAAGGAACGAAAGAAAAGACTATAAGTTGGGTGGAACACGCATATTCAACACAGACCACGTACCCCACCACAAGTTTGATCCACCAGGGTTGGTGACGCTCAATTGGGCGGAGGCAACGCCAAAGAGGGCAGTAGCTGCTGAGGCAAGAGCAAGACGGGTGAACAGCATCTTAGAAGAAGAACGAGGACCTGAGTGGGAACGTGTGAGGACAGAGAAAGGACTGTGAGGACTCGAGGAACGAGGGGAAAGGCTTTTCGAAGCACTAAAAATATGAGGCGATCACACTTTGTTCCAATCACACCCGTCCCGAATAGCACGACATTGGTTCTCCGCTTCGTCTCCGATCCAATGTCTCTGCGTTACTTTCTGTCGGAGCTGACACATTTCTGCGTTGCCGCATCGGCATATAGCTTCAAAGCGGTAATTAACGTACTATTTTGCTGATCGAATGAGTTTATCATCCACTGCCATAAAGCTTCAGCTCACCGCTAACATACTGACCATCATTGCCTCGCACTAAATGACATTTCAGCGCTACATTTATCGTAAATCCTTCAGTACAGTAGTCGCCGGCATCAAACATATCACTGTCTCAAAGTAGTTTCACAATCATTTCAGGCAGAACCTTCTAGCGAGAAGGCCAGAACAGATAAAATAGAAAATATAATAAGGAATAAATACAGTCGCTATCATGACCTATGTTATACATGGTGATCTTTATGATCATGACGTTTGTTCTAAACGGATACAAATTGCAAGAAAACCGATCAAGAGAGGTAAATGGAGAATTAGAGCCCAGCTGTGTGAGTAAAGTACGAAGAGAGACGAAAAAGGACTGTGTGATTGATTGTGTTCAACAAATGCGAGAGATGGTGCAATGAATGCGAGGATACTTTTAGGATGAGAGGTTGGCGCTGTGCATATTGCGCCAGTACAATCCGAAGTGGTGGTGAGTAGACGCGGGATATTGAGAAGGCGATTAGCTTTTCATGACACCAACGGCGATGCCCACGATAACAGCGACGGCGAGTAATAGAATGACCAAAGCCCATGCACATCTCTTTGCCCACTTCAACTCTGTAGCCCTCATCTTCTGCACTAGCTCTTGCCGCTCGCCCTCCGTTTTTGATGGCTCAAAGTCAGCCGGAGCGGAGAGCGGCGACACGAGAATAATGGCTCCAAGTAGCCAGAAAAGTGGGAATACTAGAGTAGAAACAGTATATTTAGTAAAAAGGTCATGCTGAAAAAATGAAAAAATTCGAAAACTTACCGAATCCAAATTTGAAAAGATACATGGCGAGCGTCACTGGCTCAGCAGTGGAAGCGTATGCTGGAGGCTCAACACCATAAGCATATGGAGGAGGCTCGTCTGCGTCCGCAGTAGAAAAGCGAGACGTAAGAGAGTGCGAGTCGTGTCTGCTTTCGCAGGTAGCACGAGAGCGCGTAACCCCAAAGAAGTCGTCGATTGGATCAGAAGAAGTGTTGTTTGATTCAGGTGTGCGGGTGGGGGCTGCAGCGGAGTGCACAGGTGAGGGTACAGAAGGTAAGTCAAGGGGAACGCGAGTCCCGGTTATGATTTGTGCTTCGAGGTCGACATCGGTCGACGAGTTGGAAACGCGGTGCCACTTGCCCAAGACAGTGGTGATGGGAGAGGAGGTAGCACTGATAGAGGACATTTTTTAACAGGAGGAAGCTATTCAAAATGTAAAGGGTAGCGATGAACTTGATGAGGGTGATGAACTTGTTGTCCATAACCGCTTCATCGTGTGTCTGATATATACCCTGAGGTTGGTGGGATACAGAAGCGCAATCACGCCGTACATTTTCCTGTGGACCCACGAAAGAAGCATGAAATTGCACTTGATGCTTTTGGCGAATAGCGTTAGACATTTAAGGAAATACTTATAATTGCTTACGCCCACAGCTACAAACAAACAAACTCATCGCCACCACCAACGAAGATTATGATGCTGGTAACTTGAGATGTGTCTGTACATAGTACGATGGGGATGGGGGTTCCTTTTATTTTTGCAGATAAAATTTACTTTCTAGATAAGACCACAGACAAAATATTTGCAAATGATCCCCCAGTATATACTTACGACGAAGGAATGAATGAGCGGGGGAAGTTACCTAATAAGGAAAGTATTGTGTTTTACCTTACTTTGGTAATTCCACCTTGCCGTCAAGAATCAACGGATTCCTAGCCCGAATGCGATCCAAACAATCACTTTTATTTCTGATTGAGCCACTGACTACATTCGATCTACAATACCAATTGAGACTCTGCTGCTTGCTTTAGGTCGAAAGCGCGCTAGGTGTCCGAGTGCTTGTGTTCTCTCTACTGTGTACCTGCTCTAACTTTAAGCTTCTTTTCACAATGCTCCCCATCCTCAGACATAGTTTCAAATACCTCCTGGCCATTTCCGAAAGAACCGAAGAATGGTGTAGCGGGACTGAGTGTTGATGGTGTGCGTGAAGAAAACGTTAGCGCAGGTGATATGGCTGTCGGGGACATTGATTCATCAAGCGTATATGCTGAATTGTGGTGATCGGAGGAAGGTGGGGCTTGTGAAAACGAGAGCATTTGAATATTGGTTTCCTTGTATATTTGGCTGTTTGCTCTATCATCTTCGCGAATATGACCAGTGTCACGGGAAAGAGTCTGGCTTTGGTAGTTACTGGTCGTGTTGGCGCTGTTATTGCTGTTGCTAGTGGTGCTGTTATTCTTTGTACGAGTGCTGGCGGTGGCGTATTGGTCACGTTCCAGAGGTTTAGAGATAGGAAGAATATTGGAGCGTGAATGCACAGGCAATGCTGTTCGTGTGGAGGGTTGCTTCGGGAGATTAATGACTGGATACGAAGAGATTGAATCACCCTGTTGACGAGATTGGCAGTATTGAGGGTGGTCAGGTTCAAGAGTGCGGAAAACATTTTCACGAGATGAAGGCCGTAAAGAGGGTTCAAAATTCGCAGCATAGTCATGAGATGGTACTGTATTCATATCCTTGGCATCGCTTTGCATTGCTTGATATGAAGAAGTGTAGAGTTGATGGCGCGCCGAAACATGGAATTCATCTTCGGATATAACGGGAAGTGCGCTTTTCAAACCCTTCGAACTGCCGGACCTAGCATAACCGTGTAAATTGTGCGATACGGATTGTTGGACGTGAGGGCGGGCAGTGAACGGTTGTCCGCGATTTCTTGATCCTATGTCCGCCTTTATCTTCGAATCGTACAAACAACCTGCCGACGTACGCAGTTCGGTTTGTCCGAACGACGAAGGCTGTGGGTGTTGCTGTTGCTGCGCTCGCTGCTGCTGAATGCGCGTATGGGTTTGCAAAATGAGTTCTTCTGCTGGTGTAAACCCATTGCGAGCTTGTGCCTGTCCTCCGGAGAGAGAAAATGGAAACATCGAAGAGGCATTTTGGGCCTGCGCCTGCCGTGCAAGGGCCCTCACACACAGCTCATCTTCAAGCGCACCCATCCCTATACCGTCGTTAACACAGGGCACCCCATCATTGAATCCCATGGTGTTCTGTAACGAGTCGATGAGTGTAGCCATTTCGTGGTTGATATTCGAGTGTTGCATGCGGCGGACTGGAGTTTGATAAGGCAGAGCACCTGAACTTGATAACATGGCCGCGTTTGACATCATTCCGGCTAAATCTCCTGCGGGGTAATCCTGGCATGGCAGCCATCCTGTGGTAGTGGGACAGTGAGCTGGAGCAGGCAAACCACGGCTGTGGACTGCAGGAGCTTTACGTATTTGATTTTGAAATTCTTGTCCACGGAGATTTAATAGGGCGGCCTGGGCGATAGTAAGGCGCGCAGGGGACTGATCACCATTACGTGCAGCTCGTTCAGCACGCTAATGTTATGAATTGAATAATATGTTGGAGTTGATGCCAGATAAGCCAAGGAATATATCACTGACCCGTAGTTCCCTTTGTTCAGCGCTATCCGCAAATCGTACTGAAATCCTGCACCCGGGATCATTCCACCCCCGTACCATCCTCCCATGTAAACGTTCGATGATCTCATCCGCCGCTGTTCGAGTTTCAAGGCTACCGAAATAGGTAAAAGAGCTGATGTAGACAATATGGCTTTGCGCTCACCGAACAAATGCAATGATTCTGGGTGGATCACTTAGTTTTGTCTTAAAGAAGCGACTGCTCTTGATATGATATGGTGATACAAGGGCAGCAAGAGTCTGGATGGACACATTAAACACTATGACATGTACGAGGTTTTCATCAATCTTACATCATCGTCGATCGTTAGGGGAAGACTAAAAGGGTTCGAAGTCAACAAGGCACGCAATAACATGGTCGCATATGGCTCGACTTACCCTTCAATATACAAATTCGTTGAAGCCTCATCCTTTAGTTTTTCCATCCGCGCCTTGAATGTCTCTTCGTCTTGTGCTTCAGAAGAATGAATACTGTGTGAAGCGTACGATGTCCCTGGAATCCTGTGGACTTGCTAAAATAAGATATTAAAATTTGATCTGAGTAAATAGAGTTGCTTATTTCTCATGACAACAAACCTTGGAGAAGGAGGGATGTAAATTGCGGTACTTCCTCAGTCCTTCGATACATAGGGCGGCTGATTGCACTTTATCAAATCTAGACGACCATTAAGTCATGTGACGAGATAGAGCGAGAGATCGGCGTACAAGACGAATCCATATCCTCTGCAACAACCAGTATTGATAAGTGTGCACTCCAAAGGTGAAGAAAAGTACAAACGTCGGTTTTTCACTAACATGCCTTGTAAAAGACCTTACACTCTTTACTTCCCCAAACGGACGAGTGAGCGCATATAGCTCTTGTTCAGGAAAGTGTGGAGGAAGACCATTGATATAAACGTTGGGGGTCTGATGAGACGTACAATCGGAGCCATCATGCCCTTGGCAAGAGGTTGCCGAGCTGAGAGAACCACAAGATGATTCGGGAAGCATATGGTCGTTAAAGTCTACGACGGAAGAGTTTGAAGCATAATGGGATACTGCATCTGCTGAGCTTGAGCATATTGTTACATTGAAGTCTTTGAACATAATCACTTACGTAAGTTAGCTTCAGTTAAATGTGTGTTTTTAGCAGGATTCAAGAGGTTCACATTGATATGGTCTTGCTGTGCTGGAGATGCGACGGGTTCCTTTGTAAGACCAGCGACTGTGCGAATGTTTACATTATTAGAAGGAAAAGGAGGACTATTTGTAGGACTGGAGTGTCTAGAGACTATACTTTGCGAATTGAACAGCGAGCGAGCTGGAGAACTGGACTGCGACAAGAGTAAAGCATTACCGATGTTTACACTGTTATTACGAGAAGAAGAATCAGGAGGGGTGGGTGGCGCAGGAGGTTGACGTGATGAGATTGGTGTGTTGGGACCATGGGTCGGGCTAGTATCAACTGTTGTGATATCATCGTGTTCTTGAAACATTTTACTAGAGTGCGTAGGCGATTTTAATGAAATCTGGATAGGCGTTTGAGGCCGGGAAGAGCAAGAACTCATGGCAATAACAAGACAGCTGGAGAGGAAGTCGAATAGCAGGAGAAAATGTAACGCAAGGACTGCAAACGTGGAAAGATAGCTGTATAAGGATGACGGATCGTATAGAATTTGATGTTTGGAACGATTGACGAAGAGGGTGGGGGGAAGACGCAAACGGGGAAGGTTATAAAAGAAGGAGGGCACCGTTATATACCCAGCAAAAGAAATGACGCACGGACCCTTCTTGATACGCTGTAAGGCAGCTGAAAGATCGTCGTTTAGGCACTGATTAACAACTTGCTTTGAGATTTCTTCCTTTCCATGCCTGCTTATGGTCAGTCGCTACCCAAATCAGGCATCCGACAAGCTCCCTTGAAATTCAGCGAGCGACTTCCTGTGAATGGCAACTCCGCCGACGCCGATAGGGCCAGATTTCCTTCGACCTATGACCCAAGACCATGAGTGCATTCGTGGAAGCTTGATTGGAAGATGCTATCTCTTGCCTCAGTCACGATGTCCGCGGGGTATCTTACAGTTCACTTAGTGCAGCTTCATGTAGTTTTATTAAGCAACTGACTGCGAATCTTCCCCCACGTCCATCGAAATTGATAAAATACATGCAGAATTAAGCATGAGCAACATGGCAGTCACTGTGTCGACATCGTAAAAGTAAGCTGGACATTGCATGATCGCAGGTAACCTTGGTGCAGCGAACAAGTCACCGACGCTGAGCGCTGAGGATTGGTCAATAAATGGTCGTACATTGTAAAGACACTCAAAGGACCTTTAATGAAACATTGTGACTTGGAGGAAGTCATCCCAGTGTTCTACCCCCTAACTTGAGATAGCGCGAGCTGCAGCTTAGGCATATTAGTTGGCGCTGTGTTCCTCGCTAGCGGCGACCATTACTGTCAAGCAAGTCGATAGCTATCGTTAATCGATTTTGGTGATCCAGTCCATTTCACTAGAGACTTGGTTGGACTGGAAATTTTTGGCGAGTTGGCGGAACCAAAAGTAGCCCGGCCGGGCAGAAGTATAAGCGAGTCACGCCCTGTCACGCCGTATCCGCTAAAACTGTCAGTCTGTCAGTAATCATCTGAACCGCCTTTTGACAAGTTTAAATTTGCATGCTTAAAATTGACCATTCTGTCCGTAAGGTCTATCCAGTACCGGGCGTTAATATTCTCAGACTGCGACTCCAATCCACTCATCAAAACAATATTCGAGATGCTGTGAAAGCGCTATCGTCAATTACTGCTAAGAGACTGTTGCCATCAACACCGTTCCTTTTAAATCATGTTAACCTTTCACTGGCCCATCACAGGGTCAGACTCTGTAATTTGCATCTCAGGTCTCACATGATGCACAGTGTGGAGACACGGCGGCTCTCCTCCTGTACGCCATGATCTTCGGTTCAAAGTAGCATCTATAGTGGTTATAACCACCATGCATTTTGACTAGACACTATCCTAAGGGCCCGGGAGTAAGAAGAATACCGACAATATACTGGCTTATTTTCTGTCTTCTCCACAATCAAAGGATAATCAGTTCAAATCCTGGTTTAGGGTTCGCCTACTGTTCGCCTCTTTGTCATCTCTTCACTTCAATAAGTACTCATCCAGCACCGTGATTGAAGAGGCGGCGATCGCGACATAAGATCACATTAAACTTCAAACTTCCTTTCCTTTACACTTCACCTCACAGTCTTTACCATCATGTCTTCAGAGTCAGTATCTTCAGCATCTTTGTAAGTATCTCTATTACGATGGCAGCTCAGGCACTCAATATAATCTCTATCACAGAAACATGGACTTGATGATGATCCTGATACCATTTTGTGCGTGCAAATTTTCCTATCGCCTTGGTCGCATCTGAACTTCTGTCGTACTACAGCAATTATAGTTTATGACTACGCCTTGACTTTCACTATGGAAGTCGAACGATTTTGGTTACGACCTAGCCGTACATGGCCCACCCAATTATTTTTCGTCAACCGCTACTTGCTGATTGGTGGACGCATTCCTATGATGGTCCAGGCAACTCTCCCAACTATTTCACCCCATAGTTCAGTAAGCGTTATCCATTTTCACAATTGACCACTGGTTCATCTCAGTAAATAGATGTTCGCGATTGTTTTAGTATACCCTGCATATGCTTGCAAGCTGACGAAAAATTAGATGTCGTGGCTTTCAACTTTGCAGCCAGGCGACCTTGATACTGAGTCAATTAATCACCGGAGGTAGGACGTGCTTTCTAATGTGTGCTAGGTTAGCGTTAACTTTCAAGTCAGCCTTGATGATAATGCGAGTATACGCACTGTATGACCAAAGCCGCCGACTACTCTACGCACTTCTAGTAATTGCAGTAGCGATTGTCGCAGAAGCCTGCGTGGGTGATTTTGCTTGCCCATCTAGCTAGCTAGGCTGACATTGTACTTCAGTGGGCTATTTTTTCCCCAGTGACTAATGCCAATCTCCCTATTACATCTATAGGTTGTGGGGATCCTCTTTCGTCAGCGGAGTATGTTTCCCCGTGATCAATAATGACTAAAACTTATTTCTGCGAATTTTTATTAGAGCTTTGCGTACGTAGTAGGGAAGGCTTTCACGACATGTAGCGATATCTCTCATCCCGATTCCATTTCTTCTTAGGTCAAGCGGCGGCTTGGTGCGGTCAACTCGCGTTCGACGTCATAGTCTTTGTTCTCACTCTCTGGAAGACTTGGCGTGTTGGCTCAGTTGGTGGACGCCCCTTAATTAACATTTTACTACGCGATGGTGAGTGGTGCTGTGTTATCTCTTGAGTAAACGAATTATGGATGCATTTTTGTTATCTGGCCCGGCTTACTTATCAGGAGTCCTGTATTTTGCGTAAGAGTCATCTACTTTAGGCCCACGTAAACGCTGAGGGCTCCCCCAGAGTCATGTCTATCGCTAACGTTATAAACGTGTCGACATTTCTGGTACGAGTCTCACGCCTTGTACCTGTCAGGAACAGCTTATGACATTTATTTGATCTCGACAGCTTGCTTCTGTGAGCACGTTTGATATCTCTGAATTATCTGATCTGATATTTTTCTTTTGTTACAGCCTGAGCGCAGAGGTTCTGCAACAGGATTCGCAAATGCGCAAGTCTAATACTTGTATATCCTCCAATGCTTGGTGCTAAGCTTGATTTTCTTAGGATATCAGCCATTTTGATCTCTCGAATGATGCTCAACCTTCATGGTCCTCGTTTAACTTCTAACATAAGCTCGAGGTCGAAAACAAGCAGCTTACAAGTGGACACCTCACTGTTTCCCATGGAACCTCTCCCATCGATAGTTGTGTCGTCTCCACCGTTTACTGAGATGGCTGTGCATGGCATTATTGGAGACTTTGGTAATTTTTTATACCTGTTGTATAGCATTATCTGACTGGTCATCATAGGGACTCATGACGACATTGCAGAAGTTCCTTGACATCGTTTGCATTGAAACTTGTGGCCGTTTGGCATATTGCTTTCAAATTGTATACTCGAGTGATGATACCAGTAACATGTATATTTAGATTTCGGGATATTGATAACTCAAAGCTTCTAGATTTAGATCTGTGCTGAATGGACGATTCCTAGAAGAAACAACTGTGTGTCAATTCATCAAGGAAGGGCAACAGGTTATGACCAAAGCACAGGTGTACCGCCATGCCATCTATCATTTCATCTGATATCTGGTCGTGATTCGAGCGTGAATTACAGTGTTCACTGGGTTCACTGGCACTTTACCACACTCACCGATTAGGTAAGCGACTTTCAAGCCCACAAAGTCAAGATACTACTAGGTCGCATCGCCGCACGGCTGTTGGTTACATTCAACTTGAGTATTCAGATATTTGTCACGCCGTCAAGATGCAATGGAGCTCTTGCTGGGCCTGGTAAGTTTTACTGTCATTGTCAATTCAGAGCTTTGCTCAAACCAGCTATCATGATCCAGTACGATCCTGGCGACGGCAATGATGTATATCTGGAACCAGATCCTTTGATGCTATCCTCAACGCAGAAGAAAGGATGCAACGATGGCCTCCTCCATTGTTGTGGTTACCGATGAAATATCATCTGTTCATGAATAACTATAAACAGCGCAAGGTTACTTTAAGGTGTTGCTCATACGCCCACCCTCTAACTTCCACCGTCCCCTTTTCAGACAAAAGTACGCATCTAGCATCTGATAGCCCAGAGGTTGCCCCATATCACGCCTAGGAATACTCAAAGCACATCACTGGAGCTGTTTTTCTAGCAATGGAGACAATGGTAGCATCATGGGCTTCTTTGTAAGTAGATCGTTATCCGAGCAGCGTGGAATCCGAACACAAAACTCACACTTTATGACAGAACTATACATTCCGCCTTGTCCATCATATCTATCAGTGAGTGTCGACTCATCCCACACGACAATCGTTTCGGGCTTATTATTTTGCAGCCATCACTATTTATGATTATATCTTGACCTTTACCCAGGAAGTAGAGCGCTTTTGGTTAAGGCCCAGTCGCACATGGCCTGCTATATTTTTCTTCGTCGGCCGCTACTTCCTAGTCTTTGGCCGAACTACTAGCACGATTCTGGTGAGTTCCTGGGACGTTTTAGGTCCCTCGCCTCAAAGTCCTGTAAGTTATTCCATTCATATCTATAACGCGATAATCACCGTATCGAACAGACGTTTGTATTTTATTTTACCTGCCCCACTCATGCTGATACTCGGTGGTGCTAAGCTGTCACGGCTTTCAACTTCTGTCCCAGACTACTATAGTGCTGAGTCAATTAGTTACTGGAGGTAGGTCTTCTTATCTAACACCCAATGCCAATGCTTGCGTTGACATTTTCGTCCAGTCCTGATGATGGCGCGAGTCTACGCATTATACAACCAAAGCCGCCGGGTAATGTGCATGTTTATAGTGATCGGGGTTATGGTTGTTGCAGTCGCCTGCGTGCGTGGCCACGCTAGCCTGGGGGTCACCTTACTGACACTTACTCAAGTGGGCCATCTTTTCAGTGACCCATGTCACTCTCAATATCCCAGTAATAGGGTGTGGTGATCCTCTTCCGTCAGAGACGTAAGCTGTCTGAGAACCACCAGTAGATAAGACTCGCTTATCAGCATTGTTTTAGAGCTACACGTGCGTGAGGATAGCTTTACGACTTGAAGACATGGTGTTCTCACTGCGGTTTCTTCCTGTGCTGTGTAGGTCAAGCGATAGCATGGTGTGGTCAGCTGGCGTATGACGTTATAGTCTTTGTTCTCACTATATGGAAGACATGGCATATTGGCTCGGTTGGTGGACGTCATGTGATCCACATTCTGCTATGGGATGGTAGGTGCTTCGACTGATATATCAGTGACATGTCTGACGTCGGACCTCATCAGGAGCGATGTATTTTGGGTAAGGGTGGTCACCTTCTCCAAACCACGTGAACGCTGAGATGCACCCAGGATTATAACTGCGGCCAACCTTGGCAACATCTTGACCTTTCTCGTAAGATTATTGGTCGTGTATGTGTATGTTTCAAAAGCTCACCTTACTTACCTGATTACAGCTTGCTCAGGTGAGTACCTTTGGTGTTTAGAACACACTATACCCACAACTTTGTTGTGTACATCCAGCCAGAACTGAACGCTTCTGCATCGGTATTCGCAAATACGTAAGTCATACTGGCCACCCCTAGATGCTTGCATGTTCTCCGACGCATTGGTGTTAGCTCATGTCTCTCAGGCTATCGGCGACAATGATCTCCCGCATGATGCTCAACCTTCGTGACCCTCGCTTGACTGATAATGCAAGGTCGAAGGACGATAGCCTGCCGGTAGTTGTCACATCTTTTTTTCCTATGGAGGCCCCTTTGTCGATGATTGTGTCATCTCCGCCATCTACTAGGATGACTGCAGATGATCATATCCTAGAAGAGCTTGGTAAGTTTTCATCCTTATTGTTTAACTTCAATAGACTGACCTTGACTTCTGAAAAGACACTGGTGGTGGTATTTCAGAAATCCCTCGTCAACGTCAATATTAGAACTTGCGATTGTATTGCACGTCGTTTCACGTTCTCAAAAGCTATAATCCCAGCAACGTGTATACAAACTTAGAAACACCCACCAATCTGTATGCAATTCGAATCGAAGTCTTTCCCTGCTGCGCCTATCAGGTTACGATGGAAGCTTGTCTGTACATGATTTCGGGCGTTGACACAGGGTTAGAAGTTAGAATAAACTTATACTCAAGTTTGATCGGCCCCATGTCAACTCGATCGTAGAACCTTGCAAATACAGCGAGCTGCAATCTGAAAAACATTGTCTTCCAATGCTTCATCATGATTCTTCAATGATGAACTAGAAAAAATTGGTTATTGTTAATAAAAAGTTCAGATCGAGGCCTTCTAAATTCAGAATGACATTACCCAGTACACCGATATCTCCAGGGGGTTATGACGTACCATAGCAAAAACGTTTGGCAACCGAAATGAAGGTTATATTGCATGTACATCCTTTTGATTACTGGAGATAATAATGATACAGAACTCACATATACAAATAAAGGATAAAGAGGATACATATCATCTATTCAACATAGGACAAACACTCCACTAGACTTTCACGTCATGTCCATACATTGATCGTCAAAGACATCGCCATTGGCTCCTTTTAAATTCGGGGGCTCTAGTGACCCATCTTCAACGTCACTGAGGAAAAAGTCTTCAACATTGGCATCTAAATCTGCGAAATCCGCGAGCGCCGCATATTCTTCAGCATACACCGCCAATTCCTCGCTTTCCAAGTCCTCAGGTGTGACTTCATCCACAATGTCAGGTGGACATTCTGTAATAAAATTAGGACGACAACAAAATAAAAGCCTATGTTAACCTACCTCTCAACTCATCTTCCCAGTGGCTAACATCTTCCATGTCAGGATCAAATGAGGAGCCAACATCATGGGAGTAAGAAAGACGATATGAGTGTCGCCGTTTGTGGTTCGCATTCGACATAATCCGTCTAAATAGCTGTTTCCAAAAGCGAAGGTTTTTATGAACATAGGCGTAACGTATGAGGAGTGGATGAAACGGACCTCGTCTTGCATAACCATGTCATCTTCCTCTTCTTCTTCGCAGTCCATTCCACCCTCATCCAGCAGGTCACTACTAGCATCGCTGCTTCTCCGCTTCCCTTGAACGACTCGTTCTCTCTGTCTCTGTGCACGCTCAAAACACCTCACTTTGAACCGTTCTCTCAAGAAAGATCTTTGCGGATCTTCCTGGCCCAATTCACAAGGAGGTAGTGGGTTTGATCCCCTTGATGTATTTGAAGATGTATTGCGGAAACGGGGGGTCGTGGGCTTATATTGCGAACGTCGCCGGGCCTGAGCCGAGACTAGAGAAGATTTTAGGGACGGTGAAGCCAGAGGCGAAGAGTTTATAGGCTGATAACTCAGGGAAGAGTAATATGAGGATCTGCTAGGCGTTGAAGGATAATTGGAGACTGGACTTGAGCTCTGCATGAGTGTAGCCATGGTATAAGACAATGACCGTCACAGTAGTGGCGTCGCGTTTAATAACCGCGTTAAACGTAGCAATGACTTTGTTGTGGTGTATTGACGCGTTGCTTACTAATCCAAACTTTCTAGGCTTCATTTGCTTTCTGTTCCTCAGAATAACTTGGAAAGTGTTCAATAACTTTTCACCGGAGTTTCGTCTTTCTTATCTTTATCATAAATATCTCTGTCAAGTCTTAGCTTCAAGGCTTATGAAGGTTCCTCGGTGCACCGATCTTGCTCACGCTCATCAATATCATCACAAACTAGCCGGCCAGCGATCAGTTACTGTGTTGATATCACGCCCTTGTCAGCCATGGTCCTGTGGACCAGCGCAGCTGTAACTTGAATGATTGCATAGGGTTATGCTACAGGAATCACTGGTTCAGCGTTATATGATAATATCTCGACACTACCAATTTCCAAGTCAGTTCTTATTGTTTCTAATATTAACGATCTTTGTCCAGCGCCTACTGGTTGACCGGTACAGCCCCCATCAAATACAATGCTACATCTGGGGGCGGAATTCCGCGTATTTCGATCCTATGGTCAATTATATCTCATATTACCTGTCTTGCAGATTTCAAAGCATCCACACTCATCGTATCAGGGTCGCGAGGACGTGCCAGTGTCAAGTGGGTTATCGTGGGCGCCGGATACTTTCAGCAAGTTCATTCCACGTACTTGGCCTCATACTGCTTGCGCTTAGGCCAGGGATTTTGCCGAAGAAGTTATCTATTTCTGAAGGTAAGTCACTGCCTACAGTCAGTAAGCCTATCGGGAAAATTAGCTAAGGCTAACCTACAAGGCGAAACATGCGTCTTCGCACGTGTGTGTTCATGCTAAGCATTCCTTCCAAAGGGAAAACAGCTTCCTATTGAAGTATCAGAGTTCTTATGCGAATAAGGGATATCATCCTGATTCAAGAGTTCCGTGCGATGTTCATATGTTCTGATGGCGGCCGAACCGAACTCGCGGACCTACGCTATTAGCAGCACCACATCATACCACCATCGAAGGTGCCAGTGACTGTCACGTACAGCGAATGGCATGTTCCGCATAGATCGAATCCAGGACTCATGTTGCGAGACCTCACAAATCTTTATGTTTTATATTTCTCTTCCTAGCCGTGTCGCGTTTATGAGCAGCCTGGCAACCTATCAAGGGGCGATGTAATGTTATCAGAACCAAAGGAGATGGCAATCCTCTCAATGCCCGCTTTTGTTCCTTTTTCATTATACTTATCTTCAAGATTCAAGAAGCGCTGGAATGTTTGCCTGTATTGTTGATAAGTAGGTTCCTCTTTTGCTTAGGTTTGTAGCCGTATGCGGTCTCGTGCGCAAGTCCAGTTACGGCACGTTTACTTGGGTTTTGCTGTCACAACGCCACGACTTCTAGCTCAATAATATCATGATGAGCCACAACCCTTTCCGCTAGAGTATTTAAATGTCCTCTTAAATGGACGTATCCTTTTACTCTTTCTTGGCTTCATAAGATGTTTTTTACTATGTCTGCCCATCATCGCGACTGGTGAGCCCATTTGTGATATTTCTGCTTACTCTGTATTCTAACTCAACTCAGCATTGCGAAGCAGGAAGAGCGTCAAGCAAAGATAAACTCCCTTCCTTCGAATTACTTCAGTGACTGTACAGAAGATGATAGAAAGCTCCTTGACCTGTCTTTAACCCAGCTTGTTTCGCAGAACAAAGCAGGTTCCATCACTCCATCCCAAATCCTCCAAGCTTATGGCAAAAAAGTCGTTCTTGCTCAGAAAGCAACCAATTGCTTGACAACGGTGATGATACAAGAGGCAATTTCGAACAACGTCGAGAAACCATCTAGAGCCAGTACCCCTGAAAGAAGTTATACAGGTCCGGCTAAGGGCATACTTCCCCTTGCGGGTGTTCCTGTCAGTTTAAAAGATTGTATCGATATCGAGGGGTATGACACTACACTGGGCTTCTCAAGTAGAGCAAATCATCCAGTTACAACTTCTTCCGCCATAGTCCGACTTCTTCGTGATGCCGGGGCTCTTATGCATGTCAAGACCACAACACCGACCGGTGTACTTGGGCTCGACACCTCTTCAGACCTCTTTGGCCGTACAACTAACCCTTACAACGACAAGTACGTTGCGGGGGCCTCTACAGGCGGTGGCGGCGCTCTCCTAGCTTATGGGGGAAGTGTTATCGAGATTGGCACGGATATTGGAGGCAGTGTCAGAATGCCCGCCCATTTTTGTGGGGTGTACGGCATGAAAGCTTCCTTTGGAAGGTTTCCCAACTTCGGAACGGTACCTCCGCTTCCTGGCCTTGAGGGAGTGCCAACCACATGTTCGCCCATGTCCAGGCGTTTGGATGATCTTGAGGAGTTTTGGAAGAGGGTGATCGGAATGCAACCATGGGAGTATGATCATTCAGTAAGTACAGCCTGCTGTTGTAAATGTCGACCAGTTTCTGACATCATATTACATTGTGAAGTGCGTTCCCATACCTTGGCGAGCAATAGATCTTCATGGTAGAAAACTGAGATGGGGTATCGTTTGGGATGACGGTGAGTCCGGAACATTCAACTTCCAGGCACATGATCATTATTAATCTACCCGTATCTCCTTACGAGCAGGTATCATATCACCTTCCCCCGCTTGTCGCCGAGCGTTGGAGTGGGTTTCAGATGCGTTGGTAAAGCAGGGACACGAAGTCGTCGATTTGTGAGCGATCAGTGACATCGTGCGCCACTCATAGCATGCTAATCCTACTTCAATAGTGTCGCTCCAGATATCCCGTACGGCTTGAACGTTGGTTTCCAGCTTGCTTTTGCCGAAGGAGGTAATGATACGTGTACCCTAAGATGGGATCTCGAGAGTGCTCATGTCTTTGTTCAGGGACCCAGGTCTTCGGAGCCGTACGGCGAACAGAGAAACTTGATCCTGTGATGCTGGGTATCAAAACCCTTTTAGGCCTGCCTTTGTTGGTGAAGAAGTTCCTGGCTAGTTTGACACGTCGGTTCAGCAATGACGAAGTATGGGCATCGATGCTCGAGAACTTACACAAGAAATCAGCCTTAGAGGAACGTGCTTTGGTTGTAGCTCGCGATGACTATAGGGCGAAGTGGCATGAAGCTTGGGACGCGGAGGGTTTAGACTTCGTCTTGACCGTACCCCATTCTCTCCCTGCTATCCCGAACGGTAGCGCTGAGAAAGTGTCTTTGGTGTCAGCAAGTTATATGATGCTTTTCAACATTGTTCGTATCTTCTGGTACTTGCGCCCGGACCTCAGTTGATCGCTGAAATGTCTATTTTTATATAGCTCGACTATGCCGCTGGTGTCTTGCCCGTGTCGTTCGTCGACAAAACGACAGATTCTCTCCCTTCAGATTTCACCAGCAGCGCTGAGTACAAACAAATGGGAGCTATCGCGAAAGGCGCGTATTCGGTTTATGATGCTGATGCTATGCATGGACTACCAGTTGGGATTCAAGTCGTGGGACGAAGATTTGAGGAGGAAAAGGTGTTGAAAGGTATGAAAGTGATCGAAGAAGCACTCGGAGAGTGTGGAAGAAAGTTCATACCTAAAGAATTCTGAGAGGTTTGCGGAGATGCTGTTACCTGTGGTCACTCGTATGCACGTACTAATATTTGTATTTTACCTATAATGTGTATTGTTGTCAATATAAGCATGCTTCGTGTACAATTAGCACATCATTCTTTTTTGTTCTTCACCTGTTATGTAAATTAAAAGGTTTATAATCAATAAACACATTCGACGAATGAAAGTTACTCGGATTCGTAGACAGAGACACAAAAAATGATAGCGACGAAATGGTTTCTCTTGGCCGCTCGGTACGTTGATAATTAACATTTTCCACACCCGCCTATCCAGACAGGAAGTGAAGGCTTCCCGTCTGCACTGCCAACCGAATCAAGCCGAGCTAAAACATCCCAGCCATCTTTCAACTTCCCAAAAGCTACATACTTGCCGCTCATCTTGGCCAATTGTTTTTCGTCTTCCGTTAGTACCACAAAAAACTGAGAAGTGTTACTGTTTTTGCCAGAGTTTGCCATGGCCAGAGATCCTTGAGAAAGTTTCGCCTTTAACCCCTCTTTCTCGTCGTTGAATTTACCTCCATAAATTGACTAAAATTCCGAGTTTAATGAAAACCTAAAAACATCAATCAAAGGATTAAAGCTGACCTCTCCACCACTCCCGTCGCCTCTAGTGACATCGCCTCCCTGCGCCGCAAAGCCTTTTACGACACGATGGATGGGACATCCCATGTAATGCAATTTCTTGTTCGGTGCATTCTTGCACATCCCGCATTCGCCAGTACATAGTGCCAAGAAGTTTGTCGTCGTTTTAGAGAGACCCGAAGAAGCGTATAACTGGAAGATAAGTCGGCCAGCCTTCAAAGACGGCGGTGCAACGAAACGCAAATCTATTTTCTGGATCAAGAGAGAGTCAAAGACTGCAACATCTAAGCGAGCCCCACTCGAGTACTGTAGAGCGGTTATAGAAGGATATGCACATCTAGATCTTTCAGGATATCCTTTTGCTCTTCAGACAGATCCTCAGGATGCGAAGGTAGCCCGTATATGGTTGCATTCTTGGAAAGCAACTCGCACGTCGCATTGTATAACGCTTCCTCTCGAGCATGTTCCTCTGAGATTCCTATGTAGATGTCGATAAATATTAAATGCGCCATGAATGTTATCTCCAAGTGTCAAGCTGAAAGAATTGAGGCCAAAAGTTTCAACTCCGTCAGAGGAGTTGGCCCAAGGGCACGTGATTTCTTCTTACTCATCCACTTTCTGCCACTCCCTGAGCTTGCGTCTCTTGCAAGCTGCAGCGTTGTAGCCACTTGACAAGATCCAGGTCTAAAGCTCTCATCACGTTTCGAACATGGCAGCCGCATATTACGAGTTTTACCGTGGATCTTCGTATGTTGAAACGCTTGTCAATGCTCATTAAAAGTCAAAATGAGTCTTCCTCAGGATTGGTATGGCCCTCACAGATTCGCTGGACGAACTCATCACCAGTGGTGCAATTACACCGCAGCTAGCTATGAAGGTTCTTCAGCAGGTTGCATCTACCGTTAGCGTTCACCCTTGCAAGGTCTAACATTTGTGGATGGCAGTTTGACAAGTCCCTTGCGGATACGATGATTAAGCAGGTGAAGACTAAGACTACACTAAAGGTACGCTTGCACGCTTCAGCCTGTTTCTCGCTGCACCACAATCAACTCGTAATCAGGGCCACCTGCATACGTATCGATTATGTGACGACGTATGGACGTTCATTGTCAAGAACCCGTCCTTTAAAATGGAATCGAATGAAATGGTGTCAGCGCCCAGGATTAAAATAATCGCTTGCAAGAATGGAGATGCCGTCGAGGCCGGGAAGAAATAGTAGTACTGGCAGAGAACAGATGAAAGGTCCGGGAATTGGATTTCCTTGTATTCTCTCTTGTCCTCTCCCTTTTCGTGTTATCTTCTTGGATCGGACTGGCTGTGACCATAGATTACATTGTATAGATATGTATTGCTCCTTTTGTTCTTGGGGTTGTTAGCGTTACCTGAGATTCTCTGTTGGCATAGGGTAATTTATGAGGCTTATATGAAGAGTCCCCTCACTTTGCAGTGCACACTGATGGCTTTTCTAGTTACAACAAAAAGGACTATACTCAGGTGGTCGTTGTGCCGTTCGGGAATTTGACCAAGTCGGACCTATAAAGCCACGTGTTTAGCACAAATGCGTGGGCGGAATTTATTTGGCTTCCTCTCAGTCCCAAAGCCTCCTTATTTGCTGTAACATACTCTTGTACTCATCCTTACGACCATGCAACCCAAACACTCTCTCCTGGATTTCCCTGAACCACCGACAAGGAATACCATTGCAGAGGCACGCAGAGAACTCGAATCCCGACGTGAACAGCTCGCACAGCTGACCGACAAAATTGACGCTGCTGAAGCTGCACTCGCTCAGATCGTGGCCGAGTCGAGATGCACTATCGGCGAGATGCAACTCGAGCGGGAACTGCTGGAGGAGAAGGTATTTCACACAATGGCTTACATTTCCCCCATTCGCAGGCTTCCCAACGAGCTGCTTCGACAAATATTCTTGTTCAATTTTGACGACTATCCTTGTTGTGCCTGGGTGCTCGCGGCTGTATCCTCGTTGTGGCGGCGTCTGGCCTTGTCAATGCCCAAGTTGTGGTCCAAGGTGCGTGATACTACATACTTTGGTGTACAGCGTCTAGGAGTGCCTGGGAGGGGGAACGCGTTAAACGTGTGTTTTTATGCCTGGTCAACACACGTGACCCGACGTCTCTACGCGATGTCGAGGAATCCGTTGTGCAATCATACTAGACTATTGGGGGTATTCGCGAAATGTTCAGTTGCGAATTGAAGTGGTGTCCTGCGCTTCTAAACCACCAATTTCTCTCGGTACATTGTAAATACTGGCATCATACCCCAGATATTCACGTCGTATATAGACGCTGTATCTACACCTGGTGCCTGGTCCTGTCACTTGCTTGTTTATTGTTCCATCTTATCTCCTTGCTGACACTTGCCATAGATTCGTCTTATCACGACTCAGAGTTCATCTGCCGATACAATACGGCTGTGGCTGGAACGTTCGGGCGATAAAGTGCCGCTGGACATCGAAATATTTCTCCAGGTTAATGGGTCATCTCCTGAACCTTCTACTCGCACGCGGCCGGTGTCGCCCACTCCATGGCCAGGTGGATCGTTTCCTCACACAGGAAGCCCTCCAGCACATTATGTGATATCCCATACTCCAGGCACCGCGATCATTCTTCCCCCCGCGCATACACCCATCATAGTCCCACCATCACCATCGCATCCTGATTGGTCCCCTCCTCCACCTTCAGCTATGCAGATTAGTCCACAGCCTCAACGAAGCATGCATTGGGGCCACATCGCGATTTTCTACTTGGTTGAGCAGATGCCCCGCTGGCAGCGTTTTGTCTTCAGGTTTGACAAACAGTTCTCTTCCATGTCAGCTTTAAAATCTATCTCGGGTGAAAATTATTCCACATTGTGCGCTATTGATGGAACTTGCTGACCAATTGCGAACACCTAGGTGATGCCCCTGTCCTCAGTGAATTTGAAATTTCATGCGCAGAGCCCACTTACTACACAGATTGGCCTTGGCTTCCGAGCGCAAGTGTCAATACTCAGATCGCGCTACCCAAGCTTGAGTCACTTACACTCCAATTTACTCCTTTCAAATGGTCTTCCCCTATCTTCAAGACCAACTTGCGTTCTCTCACTCTCCGAGCCCTGCCAGCTAGCCATCTTCCACTGGATAGGATCTTACATATTGTTTCCAGTAATCCTGGTTTGGAATCCCTTTCGTTGCACTTCACCATTGTCCTCCCTGCGATTCTTCCCCTATCCCCGACTACCCTTCCTGAGCTCCGCGAGCTTACTTTCGGTGGTCATTACCATATGTCACAATTGGTGGACTCTCTGATTCTCCCTTCACTGGACATGCTCAATCTTGATATTGAAGCCCGAGAGCCTGTTGAGGACACCATCTCCAACATGCTTACGCGTTCTAACAATCCACCTTTGAGGCATCTTTCTGTAGCTTACGGAAACACCTCGTCGACTTCGATTTACTATGGACCAGGTGGTGTGGTCATCTCTTGGACTTTCCTATCTGAACTGAACCATCTACAAACTCTCAATGTCGGCGGAACACCTTTCGAGCCACTTCTTACGGCGCTCGGTGCGCCGGATGAGGACCAGACGCAATGGTCACTTCCGAATCTGACTGCACTAGCCATGAAAAATTGTCATGCTCATGGTGACGGGGTTGCTAAACTTGTGCAGATGGTCGAGTCGCGCAATCCAGATACGGGAAATGCGGCCATTGTGAACGGGGTATCACCTACTAGGCTGACACAGCTGGAGTTGTACGATTGCGCTTCCCTTGGACAAGACGTGATCAACTGGTTGAAGAAAAGAGTCGAAGAAGTTGTTTGTACGGAGCCTTCGTATGTAAGGTCTCTTTGACTGAAGTGAAGGTGGCGTTGAAACTCAGTTTGACATTTGGGTTTGCTCTAGGCCACGGACTTTTAAGCGTTATTATAACGCAGCCTATTTTTAAGTTGTGTGTATTTTATATCTTATCGCTGGAGTGCTAAGAATAGGGGATAATGGTAAGAAGCTCGTTATTCAGTATGATATAAGAGCTGACGCTTTGTAGTATATGTCGTGCTGTGCATAGGATTTGGAGATTTCAACACGGCTTGTTCTCTAGATATCATACAACGGGCTGTTGTAGTAGTTGAATCGAGTGTCGACGCTCGAAAGGATGGTGCCCGCTTTATTGCCGCTTATCCTTTCAAGATGGATTTCGAAGAAATAACTGATGGCGACTGAAAGCCAGGTGACAGAGCTGTACGACCGGGGTTCAGTTGTTGACGTCGAAGCATATCCGTGAGACCATCAACTGTGCTCGTTTCTCGCATCACACGCGTTTTTTCGGGCAGTGCCTCCACCATGGATTCCTCGTTGACACCTTTTGGAAAATGTGATGTTGATAGTATGGTCGTAATATTTGTAGTTATTTCTATGTAAGTACTAGTATGTTTGTTACCCCAAAGGACTGGGGTGAGCGGTAGACACGTATCACCGCCTATCCCGATCAAAAGCAATGCTGCGGCTACGATCCCATGAGGTTTCCTGGCTAGTTCAAAAACTGTAGCTCCAATTATGAAACTGGAAGAACAGGAGGATATCACATTGACCGGTGCCCGTGCTAGTGTATGAATGTTATGAACACTGCCGATGATGTGCCAAGAGGTGACAGAGCGAAGAAGCAACGAGTAGCGTTAGTGTAACCGTCGGCCATTAAAGCGCCCAGAGTGCCCAGGACGGAGGGTAATTAAGAATGAATGGTTAATTTAGAGATAAGGGAGCCAAGAGACATAAATAACAACCATAACGTTAATCCGTGGGCCCAGGAACAAGCCAAAGCACGGAAAAGAGGACAAGCCCAGTGTGATAGAGCAATGCGGGGCCAAGGTGGAGATTCGAAAGCAGACATTGGGAAAGTATATAAGCAAAGTCATTGTAGACATTGTAGACATTAATATTGACCCATTTGTTGTCTCACTTACGATGCCTGTAGCTGTGCCCATTACGGAAAAACGTATCAATAGACCAAACAAATCCAAATATGGATTAGAGCCATATGAGATTGTTATGACCAACTCCGGGTACGTTGATGCAGACATCCCCTCCCTTCGTTCCTCACCAACACAACAAAGGTTCTCGCTTGCGACAGCGACAGACCCGTACACCAATACAGCCCGCTCGTTTACACCCTCATCTCACACCGAGAAACACAGGCCATCTGCTCACGGCCTGGATTACCTGCATCAAGCAACTATGCATCGTAATGGCCATGTTGCCATGATGGATGGCCTCCCAAATCAGCACCGTGCTGCGATCTCTCCACCATTTTCACCCGCACCAGCTTCCACTTCAAAGATCGCGGTCGTATGGGACTGGGACGTAGAGCACGATGACCGCAAACGCGAGGCTAGAGCAGACGCGGCTCTACACGGTGCCCAACCCTTCCAAGTTGATAGAAGACTGCTCAAAGACGTGGTCAGGGAAAAGATGGGCACCGATGTGGGCAGAATCACGTTCTTGAGCGCAGGTACGTGTCATCTCTCGTCATTACTGGGCGATAGCTGACCGAAGGGCTCCCGGGCTCCTTTAGGGACTTTCCACAAGGTATGTATTTCATCTTCACGAAGTCACCCCACATTCACAATACTCATGTACACAACGCTCCTATTCTACAGGCTTATCTCGTCACCCTCGTTGATACCCGGGAGTTAGTGGCCCGGGTCGCTCGGCGATTTATGCCGCGCCTCAAGACTGAATCAGAAGTCGCTACCTTGAAGTACCTCCGCGAGAAGACATCCATTCCTGTGCCATTTGTATATCACTATGACGCTAATCCATATAACCGTTTGGGAGGCGAATATATCCTAATGTCCAAGGTAAGCCATCGCGCGTCCTCACTGCACGTGCAACTAATAAGTCACATGTTTTCGTGCAGGCGCCTGGTATTCCCCTGTCAAGAGTGTATCATACTATGTCTAATGATGAACTGAGAAGGTTGTTTTCAAGTGTAGCATCGCTGATCATACCACTATTTTCCCACCGATTTACTCACCTCGGGTCTCTGTATCAAGACTCCTCTCCTTCAACATCTACATTGTCTTCAGGAGCGCCCACTCCAACCGCAACGCATTCGACTACCATCAAGGGCTTCTCATTTATGCCTCTACTGAGCATGACGAGTTCGTCGAGTATCCCAACGCCTAAGCCAGCCGCAAAGCCTCCATCCCAGATTCCTGCCGCTCCCGGTTTTAACGTTGGATCCATAATATCTTGGCCATTCTTTGGCTCGAACAGAGGCGACCTCTCACACCCAAGTGAAATCAATCGTGGTCCTTGGTCCAGCACACGTGCATATCTTGAATCATGCGTCGAGCGTGAAATTTCCGGTGTCATTCGCGAGAACGAAGGTAAATCCGCACCGCATCGTCTACATCTTGATCCAGACGACATTCACTCCTCGAGGCATCATCACCTAAGAGCTGTTCCCGACGACAAGAGTGATGACAGCGACGAGTGGGACCTTGAAGAGAGCGAGGAGGAGTGGGAAGGGCCTGGTGATGCGATGTACAGGGATTACCGACGAATGCAGCGGAGTACTTTCCTAGTATCGCACATGATGAGGCGCGAAGAATGTGTACGGCAAGAGATGGGACGATGGATGAAGATGATGCAGCGTCTCGGATCGAGCACCGACCCAGCGGCCACGGAGGAGTTTGGACTGGACTGTCATGACCTGAGTCTCGAAAATGTGTTTGTCGACGAACATGACCACACAAAAATAGTAGGTGTCTATTTTTTCGGATCGGTCTAAATATGGCTCAATGGCTTCTTTCCGATTTCACCCTATAGACGTGTGTGATCGACTGGGAGTCTACGACGACGCGGCCGCTCTGGGCTTGTGCCCATCTTCCCGCCTTCCTGCAGTCCAGTCCATTCACAGCCCGATTGTTCCGCGAGGCCGTCGTGCAGCTCGCTGAGAGCCCTGCGTCGTCTTCGCAACATCCTGTGAAGAAAAGCATACACGCCGATCTTGCTGTGATAGCGAAAGAGTGGTTACACTATGAGGCTATTGGTGCGCGACTACGGCTGGCTCACCGATGTGCGGAGTGGGACGGCTGGGAGGAGGGTTTGGTCGATAGTATTCTAGGCCCAGAGGACACGGAGGAAGATTGGTTCAAAGACGCAGATACGACAGTCGAAGAGTCGGGGCTGCTAAGCCCATCCATGCGTGGTGACTTTGCGAGTGAGAGCGAGGCGAGCCATTCCGGCTCCGGGTCAGGCTCATTGCTAGTCTCTTCTCTGAAGAAACGGAAACAGGCGGGACGTATACCGTTAAAGAAGGAGGGAGAACGGGAGCAGATGTTGGACATGACTGGCGACATATGTGGTGGCCGAGGGGGTGAACTGGGGCGTCGACTCGAAGCGTGGCTCAGCGTAGATGGTAATGGCGAGAGGAGAGGGGGCAGCGGCAGCGAAGACGAGTACGACGCCGAAGCAGAGTGATTACAGAACCATGCTTGCATTACTGGGACAGTGGGGAATCTACACTTATGGATATCCGGTTCATGATCAGTAGATAGACGTATATTATTTACGACGTTCACGCTCTTAATCGTGCATAAAGATACGAGGAAGTTATTATCATTGTACTACTTTTGCTAGTCTTGCTCTCATATTACAGACAGCGTTGATAACATGTTGCCATACAAAAATAATTGTTATTAAAAAAAGTGATTAAACTGTAGTTACAATTGGTTTTCGAGGTTCTAATCTAAACCTCTGTTTGGCTCTGACTTGGTACTTCTTGATACGTGCACGACAGCGCTCACAGAGACTTCCCACGGAGGATGTGGAGAGAGTACGGCGACATGATTTCTTCGTACACTGGCGCTGCATAGCAGTGATGGGTTTAAGCAATCTGGGGGGATCAATTAGAAGACTTACTATTGCCAAAGGAGATGAACGAATATTCTCATCATCTGGCGTATCATTTGTTCCCTGATGGAGGAGCGAAGTTGAGACGCCGCCCTCTTCATCATCGGGCTCACTTGATGTCCGCGAACCCTGAGATCTACTACGACTGTGGCTCCCCTCGGGCACGGCACCGTCATTTGCCGCAGAGATAACTGATGCACTCGCACTCGCAGATTCTGTGTTTGTCGTATCTGCTCTGATCGGTAACTTGCCCCGTTTCCGACGCTGAGGCACACCTACACCTGTCGTGGGCGTCTGATGTGATGCAAAACAAGGTGGAAAACGTAAGATCTAAACGCAACACTGGGTCAATTTAAAAAGGATGCATACCTGGAACTGAAGATCTCGAGATTTCGTCGAGGGATGCTGAGTTTGAGGTGGCGCATTGTAGGCCGATTGTCCCTGATACAATGGGGCACCGTACGGTGGAGGATAAGGTGGAGGTGGAACGTTGTAGGGTGATGGCATGAACGATCGCGACAAGTACGGATAAGGTTGCTGTGGATAGGGCGAGGAGTATGGATAGGGCGGGTATGATCCGTATGGTTGAGAAGGATAGGGTCCATGTTGGGGCTGAGGTGGAGGCGGCTGCGGTGGATGACTCGGATATCCTTGCGCTGGTGGTGGTCCGTGGGAAGGCGAGGGGTATGGCTGGTGATGGGGCATATTGTATGGAGGCATGTTGTAAGGAGGAGGCATATAGTATGGGACTTGATACTGTGGCGGGATGACATAGGGATGGGCGTCTGGAGGAAGATTATGAGGCGTACTGGTTGTGGAGGCGCCTGTCACAGCAGTTGCAGGGCCCGGAGGCTGCGGGGCATCTGTGGTTTGTGTGCTAGGTGCTTCCTGGGCGGGATTGACCGCGGTCGTCTCGACAGACTGGACAACTTGTCTTTTCCTCCTGCGCCGAACAGTTGCTACAGGTGGTGCGGCAGGCGTGCTGCTAGTATTAGATGGGGCTGCAGACGAGTCGCTGGGAGGGACATTGGCTACAGATTGTTCCGGGTGATTCAGCCCATCTCCGGTGGTGGAAGATGGACCTTCGTCAGGTTGGACAGGTATGGTTGCCTGCGCTGAAGCCGAGTCGTGCTCGCTACCCTGCCCCTAATCAGTGAATAGTAAATACACAACTTGATATAGAAAGCGGAGAAAAAGGTACCTGGGACAAATGGTCATCTTTGACGCTATCCATTACATGGCCCTCTACCTCAGGAAGTTCATTACTGGCAGATATCACAGCAGACGTGGATGGTTCTTCATTTACCTCCGCAGTAGGAACTTCAGTACCTTCTGCATTAGATGGCGCTTCAGAGACATTCTTAGCTTTCTTCTGCTTCGGTACACGAGGTGTCTTCGCCTTGGACTTCTTGGGTTCTTTGGGTTCACGAAGAGGCAGTGGAGGCAATTTTCCCATATCACGCATCCTCTTACTGTTTCGCACTCTGCGATCATGGGCACGACATGTATCACACATTTTCCAGGGTACATGGGGCGCCAGAAGGTTATAACACGACTTCACTGAACACACGTGGTTGGTCCGTCGGATCCCTCGAGCAGCTGGAGGGATGCCGGCCATCTGTAGGAGGAATTGCTAGGAGATTGAGGGCGGGTTAATGAGGCGGATATACATAAAGCGATAAGTTGACTGACCATTCCCTCTTCTCCGTCAAAATCTTCATCCCGTGTCCCACGAACTACGTCGATCGGCGCATTGGTGAAGAGCGGCTCAAGAACTTTGATTTTTCTGGGTCGACCATCAAGATTTTGTTCTTCATCCTGTTCTTCGTCATCTTCCGAGTCACCAGGAGGCCCATATGACTTTGTCTCTTTTTCCCTCACGCGTTTCAGTCTACTATGATATCGATTTTGCAAGCGATGCTGTTCGCAACGGCGATATTTGTAGTGACCAGAGAGAATTTTATGGCAATGAGACACTGTACACATTCGAGCAGGAAGAATTGGGCCGTCCGTGGAGTCATCTTCAGCGTAAGAGGGCGGTCCACCATCGATACGCTCAATTGTCGTCTTCTCCCATTCGAGAAACTCTTCGATACATTCTTCCAAGGGCTAAGACAGATGACGTTAATATAATTTCCGAAAGGTTGGCATAGACTCCAACTTTAAGACCCATATCAACTCTCCGCTTATCTTCTTCCTCTCTTAGTGCATCTAGTTCTGCATTCGCTGCAGACCTCGATTGTTTCCACTTGGCACGCTTGGTAATGCCGTAGCCACGGTACCTGTTTCGGCAGGGTTCGCACATTTTGAAAAAGTAATCGCCTGGAATGACGGCCTTGCATCCTTTGACAGAACAATAGCGAGGAGACGAAGAGCCCTGTGCCGATGCAGAAGATGAGGGGTCATCCGCAGGTTCATCTGGGTCAACCAAAGATTCAGCAGCCTCATGATCATCAAGAGAACCATTGCCAGCTGCGACAGAGGAAGGCTCAGAAGACGTGTTTGAATGATGGCTTGGTTGGGTTCTCTGATTGCTCGTGTTGGGTAAAGTTAACGCTCCTGCGAGCTCGGAACTTTGAGGCATGAATAGGCGGGGATCAAGAGCTGGATCGTAATCCCAACCGCGGGAAGCCGACGAAGGGGATACAAAGATTGGGACCTGGGGTGTAGTCTACGACATCATCAGTACCTGCGCTGATGCCTGATTGATTATAACATGCTTGGTTACTCACGTCAATATCCACGCTGGGAGGGGTGGGCTGAGAAGGCTCGTGGTGGTATACAGGACTCTCCTGGGCTGCTTCCTGAGGTTCGAGGGAAGATTCAGGCATCCAGATTGGAGGACGTTGCTCTGGGGGAATGTGGACGAGGTTCTGTGACACGATAGCTGCTTTTTCCATTTTGCGCTTTGCTCTCTTCGTGGTTGCATATATGCGATGGCGACCGCGGCAAACGTCGCACATCTTGTTATTGGAGTCGTATGAAAGCGGTTTGTTGCATCCCCTCACTGAGCAATATCTAGATGCATTTGATGATGTTGGCTGGGTGAGGAGGATGTCTGAGTCCTGGTCAGCTGGGGGTGGTTCTGGAGTGGAAGAAAGGATGTTCCCCGCCAAAGAGGAGGAAGTGGATGTCGGTGGGCCATATTCTGTGCCGTATACGGCCTGTTGCTGGTAGTTCTCCACCGGGATCCTCATCGTACAGGCTCGTATAACCACACAGTCGTCGTCACCAGTCGCTTTTCACTTAAGGTTCGTCCTCCTCCCGCCGTCACTCGGCATCATGGCGGACATCGAATGCGTCTGAATTTGACATTGGCCTGCAAACATCTTGAGCTGCAGTATCTATGAGCTGCTAATCACTCATCCCTGCATTATCTCTAACACAGGTCACACTCGCCATCAATCACAAGCACACGCCCCTAGAGTCGCTGTCCAGCTCTCTCCGTATCTTGCAGCGTCTTCAAGCAATGCGCAACCGCATTAATACCCTCGACAACACCTTCCATATCATCGCACTTCACTCTGCTCACCACACCAGCAAGCTTATCCGGATGCCATCGCAAGAGCGAGTTCCGGATTCTTTCTCTCCTTGTTACGACGTTCGCACGAACCGAGAGCGATTCGAACACGAATTCCGAGATTGGCGTTATAGCTAGTCCCTTGGCAGCGGATGGAGGGGTATGTAGAGGCCACGGGATATCTGAGAAACCAAGCGGATCATTCGAAGTGAGCAGAAGACGCCATCGCCGTTCGTACGCTTCCCATTTCTCCATCACGCGCTTCTCCTGCTCTTGCAATTTTATTTCCTTTCGGATACCCTCTGTCCGTACCCAATCTCTCCGCCCAAACGCGTCTCGTAGAACGCCTCCTGACCGTACCCATTCCATCTCTCCAGCGTCTGCTACTTCTTTTGCCTTCTCCCTTCGTCTTCTTCTTGCTTCTTCGTCCTGCCTCTGTTGTTCTCGATTCCGAACATCGTCCACATTTGGCTTCTCCGTCTCCATCCTCTCGAAACGTGGATCTGCTCCACTTTGCACATCTACCTTGTCCACCCTAGGCACATCCCCTACTTTCTCTGACTGTGGTAAAGTATGAACGGCTTGAGCTGGAGGGAACGCAAAGTATCCTCTCATCATCGTGTTAATTGTCTACGGGTGAAACAGCTAGTCTTGTGCTGTGTTGATAAGCGAGTCTTATGTAGCGTACGATGTCGACTTGAAAGAGCAGTATTTTGAATGCAGTTGACGTCAAATCAAATGAGTAGCAGCCATGAAGGGCAGAGGGAAGAGTGTGGATCCTGGTAGGACCCATCGTGTTCGTTTACAGCACTTGCCTAAAAAGGAAGGTCTATACTGAAACAAGAACAACCTAAAGCTTCAAGGAATAAAAAAATCCTCTTCTCCAAGGACACCAGGTTTCACCGTTGCATGAATGTTATTGATGGCTTGCGACAAAGTTGCAGTTGAAACAATGGACTGTAGAATTTTACTCCGAACGCAGCAACTTGAGAGTGGAAATAAAAACTCAAAACAGGGGTGGTACGACCCTCGCGTTTTGCTCCTTGAATCATTTGGAATGCGCTGAAAAAGCCAGACCACGCTCCTGTAATGATCGAAATCGTCGATGCGGGTTAGAACGCAAGTACATTCGTCTGGGGTTGCACGAGAAAAACATGGACACTTGATCATGTTACCATACAGACTTGCACCATTAACCTGGTAGAAACTGCCCCATACTTTATACGGCGTCATTCGACATCTACCAATAATTCAAATTGCCAATTAATTTAATACAGCAACAACCAGACTACACATCATCTTCCCAGCTTTCTGGAACATCCACATTCTCCACCGGTAAAGAAACCACAGCTTGAGAAGACTGTGGCGCAGCAGCGACATGAGTAGCAGGAGGCGGCTTCCGCCAGGCGGAACCAACACTCCCAGATGATGAAGACGCAGCTGTATTGGTATTGACACTGGGGCCTGCACCAGAAATCACAGAAGTCCACCTTCCAACCGGGGCATGCGGCGTACGAGAACTTGAGCCGGAAGTGGTATGTGGCGTCGGAGTACGAACGACTGGTGAACCACCACGCAAATTAGCCAGTTTGCCTAGGGTAGACGTCAGTGACTCGGAGAGAAGGGGCGTAGGGATGCGAGTGTCAATGCGCCTGATGAGCTGTACGCTATAGAATGGTAAGTGAGTAAAATATCTAGATACAGCAAAAACAGTAAATCGCATGCTTACCTGCGATTTGGCTCTTGATCCACCATTTGTGTATCCATGCGATACAGCATTGCAAGCTTTACGACACAGTTTAGATAGGCATGACTTGAAGATAAAACAATTCGAATGCTCACATTATGGACAAAACTCCGCCGCTCGGGAGGCATGTGCGGTAACACTTGAGTTTTCTTCTCTGACATGATGAAACTGGGGAAGGAAAAGGTAATAAGCGCCGGCGTCGACCCTAATCCCAAAAAAGACATACGTGGAAAAAGTGTTCTCTACCAAGGTCAGAAACTTGAAATTTGTCCTTGCGAAAGCGACAAGGTTATCAGTGTACACCACTTCTTGCTTTCGTTCCTTCTTCTCAGGGTCGATGCCCAACGCCTCCGCCAATCTTGCGTTCCGCTTCGCGATATGACATTCATTCGAACATTTCAACTGGTCGCGGGCCTCCCGTCCTGCAGGGCTGGACGTGCTACGTCCACACGCTACGGATGAGCGTATGCGTCCGCAAGGGCAGGTTAAAGTAATGAGGGCTAAGCAGGGGTCCATCTCAGAGCAGGAAGCTGGTGCATGACAAGTCAGGGTGCACGGATGATGTACTGGAAGACTGTATATGTATAGTGCAAGTTTCATCGTTAGCATACCTCTTAATTGCCATCATACCATTAAGCCAAATGTAACCCACCATAATTTACGAGGCTTGCCACAGGCAATATTGCATGGGCCGCAATCGTCCCCGTGACAAAGTTTGTCGCAGTGATGGAATCCACATCCTAGGAGTCTGTATTGTACAAAAATTCCATAAGTGATCCATCCAAAACACTATTATGCATGATATAACACTTACTTCCCACATGTCTGTCCGCAAGACACGCGCTTCTGGGAGCATTTAACGTTGTCTACCGTCTTCTTACCACAAGCACACTGCTTCTTGGTTAAAAATGGGCATGGCGGACACGGTGAAGGATCCTCGTGGCAGGAATGCAGGGTATGCGGATGACCACACGCGGGAGGCGGGCGCGAACACGGATATCTGCAATCGATACGCGTACCACATGGAATAGGAGGTTCGACTACAGTACGGCCACAATGACATACCGCCTGAACAAGTGATAAGCGTTAATATACGAGAACTGGATATTGCGATGCTTATGCTTACCTCTTCGAACGAACTCATGAAACAAGGTGGACACGGACCTTTATGGTCACGATGCTCACACGGATGATTCCCGCACCCTAGCATCTTCCCACATACGAGATCACACTCGTGCAAGCCTCCCTCATCCATTGCGTCTAACACGTCCGCCTCTCTACCAGCTCTTTTCTTTGCTTTGCCTTTACCAGTAATCGCAAGAGGAGCCAACGGACAGCATATCCTGTTACACTGATGTCGTCCGCATGATCGTAAAGCCACACAGGCTCTATCGCACAATATCTCGTTATCACCGCCGACGTGAGCCCGTAAATCGGAGCATATTACATCCTTCGTTGTAGACCCGCATCTACACGGTCTCACTATCCTCATCGTGCAAGGGGGACAGGGTCCGGTATGGCATGGAGAAGCGCAGACGTGGTTGCAACCTGAGAGGGCCTTCGTGCAGCTCGACGTGCACGTAGGGATTGGATCTGAACACGAACATCGAGATAACTTGCTGGAAGCAGGAAAGAAGTTTGCGGATGATTTGGAAAGGGCATGTTTCCCGCACGGGCAATGAGTCACCAGAGAAGGAGATTGGGGACAAGGAGGGGGACTGGATGAAGGTGGATGGCATGTCTTTGAACACTTATGCACACCGCAATCAAAAAACCTGCACGGATCAATTTAGTTACTTAGAGAATATTGCACTAGAGCACCCACCTTTCGCAATCCTTCGTGCATTCAAACCTGCCTTTCCAAGATTGCCCTTGCTCACCGTCCACAAAACACTCTTGCTCCTGTCCCTCTCCACATCCCATTTCCTGTTCTACTTTGCCACAATAACACTTCGCCATATCGGTAATCTTACATGGGGCGCAGTCCCCCTCATGACAAAGCTCAGCGCACGTATGATTTCCACAGCCAAGCTTCTTGCCACAGACGTTACCACAACATCTATCTTCATCGCGGCGTGAATCTGGGCCCAGCTTGCTTGCTACGGTGCGTGAACACCGGAATGATTGAACTTGCTTTCCACAGTAACATGGCTGGTGGATGATCGCAGTGCACGGCGGACATGGGCCCGGATGGCATTGAAGGGCACATGGATGTCCACAAAGGCGAGCGCGTGAACATGAGTTTGCGCAGGAGTGTGGAGTGGCTAGCCGAGGAGGTTTGGGATCAGGTGTGAATCCACAAAAACATCTAGATGGGTAGATGAACGATATTAAGAATAATGTTTCTCATGAGGGTATATATGACTCACTTGTACACAGTTGGCACCGCTTCTCTCTTGAACTGACAGCCGGGACATCTCCATTCCCCCTTGCGCGTCTCCCCCCGCGCACGCCAGGCATCCTCTAGATCTTTCACACTCTTGGCAGCCCATGAGCGTATACACTTCAAATGGAATGTCGTCCAACAGCACTGCGCGGTTCCATTGTCTGGTGTATTCTGTTGGGGACTATCTGTGCCCTGAGGTAAAATAAGAGACGGAGAGCACGACCACGTTGGCTGGGCAGGATGTATACCGCTGAAGCAGATTGCACAGTCCGGATAAGGTGGTGTACGCATGGCGTGTATTAGGTTAGACGTGAGGTCATCCGGCCTCGCCGAGGGGGGGCTGGGCTTCCTTTTGGGATGGTTTTTCTTTGTAATCGACGATGATGGTGAATCGGTTGTCTTTTCAGAAGGCTCTGTCAGGCCCGCACCAAACTTGGCACCACGTCTACCTGTACGTGGTCTCGTAGGTGGGTAGGATTGCGTTTCTCCAGTTGCGGGTGAAGTCGTTTCGCCTGCATTGTTAGATGTAGGTAGCTTTCCTCGGTTTTGTGTGTGTCTAGGGGCCCCAGATTCGATGGATTGTTCTCTAGAGACGTCCTGCTGGTTTGAGCTGGATGCGTGAGGTGCGATTACGGGTCTAGATGGTAGGTCATGGCTCCTAGGAGGCCGCCTAGGTCTTTGAGACTCTCCTGTTTTCCTCGGTGGTCTATTATTGTCAGACGTGGAGGAGTCCTGAGGTTGACCTGCAGAGTCACCAGGCTGATTAGTTTGATTTCTAGCTCGATTTGCGTAGCGATTTCTGGTGTTGCGACGGGGATGAGGGTTTTGCTGTCCGGTAGGTGTCACTGTGTTTTGCGAGGACGTATTTGCAGTTGTCGTCGCTGCCTCCATACAATGTGGGTCTGTCTAAGGTAGAAATACAGAAGAAAGAGAGAAAGGAATGTGGGATCTTAAGTGTGCTTGGTCTGGTTATAAGTAGAGGGAGCACACATGAAGGGCATTTGCGGTGGCTGAGTCAACTCTGCCGAGTGCGGCTCCGTTTTTGACTCCGATTCCTGTCATGCACACTCACTGTAATCTGATAACTCGACTGCTCAAATCACTCTCATGGCCAGTGTCTGTTTTGTGCTGATTCTATATGCTGCACCATCATAGCATCCTTGTTAATTTGCACATAATGCTATCCGATTCAGAACAACAGTGCCACAGTTACCTTTACCTTTCTGTCGGTCAGCACTCCAGATGGGCTAATAAATAACCCAACCTTCTTCTGAAGGCCCGCGCCATATTCTAATTCAAAGCTTGTGCGTACATTTTATTCCTTTCCCCTTGTTTAGCATCATAACACCCTTAGTCTGTTATACAGTTACACAGGCAGTAGCAACGGTGATAAGCCTAATATTACACAGTAGAGATTGGAAATCCAGAGTCAATCCTTCAAGTGTCGTATCTATAACATGATGCCTTCCCTTCTCATTCTACCACATTCGCGCTTATAACATGTCCAATTTGAAGAACCGTTCGCGAGGATTCCACATTAGCGCGGAACGTTTGTACGGAAAATCGAAGAGCTGAATATCTCATTAGAAGAAGTACTTTACGATACTGTGGTATGGTATCTCACCGTTTGCACGTGCATCGACGTACCCATTGATACTTCGACCATTCCCGTATTACTAGACTTGGGCTCGGCGACTACCGTTTCCGTCCTTGGATCCGCAAGAAAGCAGTATTGATGCAGCGAACGATACCAGGATTGCGCTGAACGCAGACCTTGGAGCATTAGAGAAAAGTCAAGAGAGTGACGGGCAGACGCACCCCTCTCGTAGCCACGGAACTTGTCTTCTCCGACTAACACATGGATACCCCTGTCCCAGTCCTTGGTTCCCCCAGGTATGTACTGTGACACATGGTTCTCCTTCAAGTGTGTAGTAACTGTCAATATTTTGACGTATCAAGCAAGATACCACACAACCCACCTTTATCCATACGATCTCCAAGTATCCCATCAGCTCACCATCCCAGCTCATCATCACCGGCAAGACAGATGGGTCGTTCATCACTTCTCGTACATATTTACGATGCTTCTCCATTGATCCTTTCTCGCCCCATCCGCGGTTGACTCGCTCGTCATTATGCCACCTATGAAAAGCGTCCAGGTGGGCACCCACATAATCATTACCGTTCTCCTTCTCCTCCAAATTGAAGTGAGTAAACTCTAGCATTTGGCCCACCATTGGACAGAATCGCCTATATAACACTTCTCCCTCCTGTGGTTTGGGTGGCCGAAGTGGATGTGCGGCGATCACGAGTGAATTTCGCGTGAATGACTGGACGGTGGGAAACACTGCATACGAATAGATGGTCGTGCTGGACTTTGGAGGAAGCCATCCACGCATGTGGTACCCATTAGTGCCACCGCCTTGCCAGAAAGCCGTTCTGGACAGAAAAAGCTCTGGCCCTACAGGCTGCGCGTGTTGTCTACGCCCAATGCCCGAGCCGATGACATATGACTCGAGCTGGGCACGGTTCGTCAAATCGTCAGTGATGAGGATAGGAATTGTTTCCTGCATATGATAACGATTGAAGAGACTGTAGATAACTGCCCAAAAGTCGGCAATCGAGATATCCTTCGGTTGATCAGCCGGGAGCAGCTCGAGGACGGGATACTTTGGAATATGGTGTGCGGAGTTCTCAAACGGTGTCCCGACGGCAGAAATTACCAAGGCGACCGTCCGCGCAAGAGATTTGTAGGCACATAGTGGGACGTCGTTTATGACGACGTGCGTGCCATCTTCTGGATTTGATGGCAGCGAAAGGGTGAGCCGTGCATCATCGGGCAAGATCAGAGCTTGTGTCAAGGAAGCGGGGAGTGGGTCGCGCTCGATGGTGCGGTGGACAGCTCGCAGGCGACGATTTGCTTTGTTCATGGCTGTATGACAGAGAAAAAGGGAATGGGTGCCTGCTGTTGAGGGGCTGTCTGTCTTGACTGTATAAGTGGGTCTCTGTGTGTGCGGCCTCCGCTATTATCTGATAAGATAATGAAATGCAAGAGTTGAGATTGGACGGTTGAAAAGACTGATGAAATTGGAACAAGCTGAATGACCAGGTTAGCAATATAACAGATCGATGACCTTAGTTCCAACTGCACGGGATGGCCAGACCCGCACCGTGACCTGTGCAGTCAGGACCAGTAAGGATTCAACCTTGTCTTGACCGATGGAGTATTCCGGATGGTGTTCTCACGCCCAAAAATGATGGTGGCGGTAGACAGATCGTGGTAATACTATTTTCTGAAAGCGGAATCATCGTCCAAGGTCGTCCCTGCTATCGAGAGCAGAAAAAAAAACACAATGGTGGCCTCTGCAACGCTCTCTCATGAGCAGGTCGCCTCAGCACAGCTCAATGGCGAGTACTCCATAAAATCTGAAGCAGCCCAACCAAAACTGGATACTTCCCAATGGCCTTTACTTCTCAAACACTACGACAAACTGCTCGTTCGCTCAAGCCATTTTACCCCAATTCCTTCCGGCAGTAGCCCTTTAAAACGCGACATCACCTCTTATATCAAGTAGGTCCTTGCTGTTAATAAAGTACAGCCCACTATTGACCCATCTTATACAGGTCTGGTGTTATCAACTTGGACAAACCTTCTAATCCATCATCGCATGAAGTCGTCGCATGGCTTAGGCGGATACTGCGAGTAGAAAAGACTGGTCACAGCGGCACTCTCGACCCAAAAGTAACTGGATGCTTGATCGTTTGCATTGATCGTGCTACCCGTCTCGTCAAGTCCCAACAGGGTGCAGGTATGCATTAGAGCTCTCACTCCCATTTCATCCCTTATCCCTTCCCTCAGGTAAGGAGTACGTCTGTGTACTACGATTGCACTCGGGCCTACCAGATCCAACGGCCTTGCCCCGAGCACTACAGACCCTGAGCGGTGCCTTATTCCAACGCCCACCTCTGATCTCAGCCGTAAAGCGTCAACTGCGTATACGTACCATCTATGAATCAAAACTTCTCGAATTCGACGAAAAGCGCAATCTGGGCGTGTTCTGGGTGTCATGTGAGGCCGGGACGTATATTCGGACGCTGTGTGTACACTTGGGGTTGATTTTGGGCGTCGGAGGACATATGCAGGAGTTACGGAGAGTACGTAGCGGTGCAATGTCGGAAAATGACGACATCGTCACGATGCACGATGTTTTGGATGCTCAGTGGATGTACGATAATACTCGTGATGGTAAGCCTTCTCTCTTTCTCTCTAAACATTTTAAATGATCATTTCTGACTTTTTGCCTCACTTTTCTCAGAATCGTACTTGCGTCGTACCATCAGGCCTTTGGAGAGTTTACTTGTTGGGTACAAGCGCATCGTCGTCAAAGACAGCGCCGTCAACGCTGTTTGCTATGGTGCCAAGCTCATGATACCTGGCTTGCTCCGTTATGAGGCGGATATCGCACTTAACGAAGAGGTCGTGCTCATGACTACCAAAGGTTCGTCCGTCGAGTATCCCTTCCCCGTCCGTCGTTTCTTACGTTTCTTAAACAGGAGAAGCCATCGCTCTTGCTATCTCTCAAATGACCACCGTCGAACTCGCAACCTGCGACCACGGTGTCGTTGCTAAAGTCAAGCGCTGCATCATGGAACGCGACACCTATCCTCGACGATGGGGACTCGGGCCTATGGCCGTTCAAAAGAAGAAAATGGTCAAAGACGGAAAGCTAGGTAAACATGGCGAAAAGATCGAAGGAGTCACTCCTGCCGAATGGTCCCGTGATTACGTTGACTACAATCGAGAGGTACGTTTGACAAGAGATGTGCTGTAAGTATGATGGACGTGCTGATTGTGTGCTAGCAACCTACCCCTGGCACGTCTGCGGCTGCACCTGCTGTGACCGCTCCTCCCCCCACGGAAGTACCTGCGGCCCGGGAACCTAGCCCGGCAAAGAAAGCGGAAAAGGAGAAAAAGCGGAAGCGCCTGTCAGAGGCAGCAGATATTTCCATGGCGGATATATCAATGGCAGAAACCAAGGGAGACGAAGATGACGCTGAACGGGAAGAGCGTAAGAGACGTAAGAAGGAGAAAAAAGCTGCGAAAGAGGCCGAGGCAGCCGGGGGAGAGGAGGAGGAGGAGGATGAAGAGGCACGCCGAGAGAGAAAACGGTTGAAAAAGGAGAAGAAGGCGAGACAGTCGATAGGTGGCGAATCATAGTGTTGGTTATATATTGTTCTTCATCTTATGGCGACGACCGCCTTTTTCTTGGAGATGTTCTGCAAGTACGATATCAGGGGCCAACGATAGTTGATAGTCGAGACGAACGACGAGAAATTATTTAAGCTGCTTTCGGCTCAGTTCCTGGAGCTTTACAAAAAATGATTATATATGTACCGTATATGAAGATCCCTCTGAAATATCGTGATCTTGCACTATTGTAAAATATTTGTGCTCACTAGCATCGACCGTGACACATTCTAAGGCTTGCAAATTCATTTATTCATCCGTATTCGCGAACAACTAATAACTTATGGATGTAAAGTTTTTGAGCACTGACCCACATCAACTTAAATGCTGCTTTTTCACCACAAATCACCGTCCTACTCTATACTAGTGCAGAACAACACTAGCCTTGAAAAGCATTTGCGTCGAAACAAGCGTTGATAAATATATCTGATTGACGCTGGAGATAGAATGCTAATGATGTCTACGCAGATGCGATCGCCATTATGCTTCTGCACAATTTAGGCCCCTGTCTATGCCACTTCCTTTCCAGTCGCATACGTTAGGCATGGCCTGCATCAGTCTATGAATAACATTTAGACGTTGATATATGTGCGGTAGAATATAAGTTAGCTGAGAAACTGCTGATAGTCTAACCTGGTTGTGCATAGATTACTCTCCGAGTCATATCACCGTGTCACCATCCGCTCTAGAATACGAAATGGAACACCCAACACCATCCTACTCATCCTCGCACCACTCTCTATCCGCCGGCGCATCACAGTAAGGCGATCGTTACTGATGGCTTGCACGGTGATTTCTCTCCCATTCTCCACTTCTATCAGGTACGCCACGGTGTACATAATGACTTCTGGCCGAGTTAGGGTCCAGCTTGTTATGGCTGTCAACTCTGAGAAAATAGACACAAAGGGCAAAGGGAGGTACGAACTGGTCGATTCCTTCTAATGTTCCCAAGTGCGTACCCCAAGTTGCACTTTCGACCGTTACAAGCATATCACCAGGCCCATGACGTTGTAGCCTTCCAATCCGAACTGAGCATATATTTGAGCAGACGGGTCATAGCGGTATAAACTTACGCGGATGGGAGAGTCACTTGGCCAGCCCAACTGAAATATTTCACATTTGGATTATCGGGTGTAGAAGGATTGAATGCGTTGACAACGTATTCGTGCGTTAGGTTTACCATAGCCCCCAAGTCAGACTTCCCCATTCTGCCTATCGTCTTTCGAAAGACTGTTATTTCGAAACGTCAGCACTACAAGATATGTAAGGGAATAAAAGAGGCATGCATGGTGTCAATTTTTTGAAAACCCTTCCAGTTCGGCCAGAAATGATTTTGTCGAGAGGTCGATATCCCCTATGAGGAGTGCCCTACCAGTATAACATTAGTAGGTCTCAAGTTCTGATTTGGCGAGGTGTACTGACTATGGTAGTTACAGATAAAATTCTTAAACCATGCTCTTTTGTCGTTGACGCAATATCACGAGCATTCAAGCCACCCTATGCTGAGTTCATTCCAACTGTCTCTCGGGTGAAAAATGCTGCAGAGTACGTGCCATTGAGTGACCAATAAGATGCAATCGTGTACCTTGTGGGTATTTAGCCTTGATCTTTCGAACGAGCTCTTCAGTACGCTGGCTGATGCTTGCGGTAGCTGACAGGGTGGGAACTAGAACATCTATGCCTCTTCTCCGAAGTGTACGTTTTGCTGCCTTCCATACACCAGTATATTTCGGGCGATCGCAGAAACCGTGAATGAGCACGACAGGATACTTGAGCGCAGGACCTGCATTCAGCTTGAGATTCTACGACATTTCGATTGGCGAATAATGTCTTAACTGTGACTAGACATGGTCACTGCTAATGACCTGCTTACTAGGAGAAGGTGCAGCTCTGATCAACCTGTTGCTGGAGCTTGGAAGGAACAGGCTCAAACTCACTTGCCCACTTTCAATGGCTTTAGCCTCGAGTAAACTGCATGCCCAACGGCGTGCAATGGGTTCGTCGACCACACCTCGAAAGCGCCTATTTGGCGCCCATTCAGACTCCATGGGCATCAACAGGCTTGCTGTAAACGGCAGTTGCGCCGTATACTTGTGCCAGCGCGCTCCGATATCTAACACGGTCACATCGAGTTAATTTGAAGCTTGGAAGCGCGGTAATTTCGTGCCTGTGGCATCTATTAGAGTTCACCGTCGTCGACAAGTTTAGCATATATTGACGTAAGCTCAGAGCTGTGATCGTACTTCAGTTTGCAAAAACCTGAGACAGATGCGCAGGCGCGTGCGATAGTTTTGGCCATCAAGCTTCAAGCACCCCACCAGCACGCTGGACTTTGCATTATAGGTATATCATAACACCCTCGCACTTTCCACGCCAGTAGCCCTTCCTCGTGGTACGATCGTTGTTCCAGTTTGAACGCCTGATGCTGGTAATTCCATCGTCTCACAACTTGTCAAAAATTGACGGTCTGCACGCTGGGACCGTGACGAAATGACATAGGACCATGCGTATTTTACCAAGAGATGCTTCTAGTGCTCCAGAAGAACATTAGTGCGGCATAGCGTCATGACCTGATGGGTTTTGAAAATCTTGCAAGAACTTCTCACTGTATTTGAAACGGCGAGAACTTGACAGAAAGTCCATGCGCGTTGCAAGAAAACGCATGATCTAGAATGTTGGCCGCTAATTGTTGAGTGTTGAACATCTGCATGGACTTTTACAGGCTTATCTCTCGGACCGTGTACTGCCACTAATCCATCTGACAAAATTGAGTTTCGACTCCGCGTTCTATCTATGCTCGGATAATAGTGGTAAGTGGTGCTTCGCCGAATGCTAGCGCCGGAGTAGCAATTATTCTAGGTTCCTCGACAGCCACGAGGCAAAAGTCTATAACCCATCTAAAGATAAGGGTTGACTTTGGCCGTTAAAAACCTACCACAAACGATGCATTATGACCCACGACGACCTATTCATGTCACGCGAGACAGAATTAATGAGTTTCAACGATATAAATGATTAGACTGAACAGGCACTACACCGAAAAGGATACCAACTTAGAAAGCTCAACTAATCACTAGCGCAGATCACCGTGACCGAGCACGACTAAGAAGTCGGAACCACCTCCGGGGAGAGCATGGTGGGTTCATCCTTTTCCTTATCTTCCTCTGCCTCCAACGGCTGCTCTTCCGACGTGATTACTTCCGGACCACTGGACTCAACTTTCTCGTCCGCAATGTCGCCCTCACTTTCAGGAAGGATGACTTCTTCCGGGTGTGGGGGATCGTAATGCTCTTCGGCAACAACAACAACCGCTGGCTCTTCTTTGATGGACACCTCCTGTGAATCTACTGGTGACACTTCGCTCTCAGCAGGGGTAAATGGTGTGATCTCGTCAGGTGGAGTATCATTACTCGCATCCACCACCTCAACGGGAACCTCGCTCTTGTCACTGATGTCTATGATTACGGGTTGTTCCGTCACTTCCGGCTGCGGCAATTCCTCCAGCGTTGGTTCCTCTATCGAGACAGGGGGTTCCTCCTTTACTTCTGGTTCGGGTTCTGGTTGTGGTTCCGGTTCTTGTTCTTGTTCTGGTGGCGGCCCCGCAGAAGTTGTAGGTATGTTTGTTTCATTTTCTTGTTCGACTTCGTCAGTTTCAGTATTATCGGCAGACAACGTTTCCGTAGTAGTGCCTTCGATCACTTCACTAATTTCAGGATTTTGTGCGGCAACAGATTCTTGAATAGCAGGGATTTCGGGAACGGATATTTCGGGGAGTTCTGGTAAGGAAGTATATGGGGGTACAGCCTCTGTTACGTGTTCGGATGGTTCGGGTGCGGGTGCAGGTTCGGGTTCAATCAGAGGCTCTTCTATGTCGACCGTCTTCGTGGGTTCCGCAAGGGCAATCAAAGGGACATCTTCGAAAGACGGCAAATCAGATGCTCTATCTGTTAACTCAGAGAGCGTGCCACTATCATCCGATGCCTCGGGGGCTGGGACGTCAATTATTTCCGGACTCTCTTCGAGTACCGCGTGTGGGGTAGACGTAGGCTGTGTTGTGGCGTCCTGTGACGCAAGGTCTGGTACAGATGCTGTTTCACTATTGAGGAGAATACTATTGGTCTGTGTCGAATTCGACTCCGAATCGCTGGTATCATTCATGGAATGATACGCGGCAAGTTCCTCTGCGGCACTGAAACCTTCACTGAGGACCATCGTATCTGTACGGCTACGTCCCATTTTACGTGGGCTGTCTGTTCCGACCACGTTGCCCAAATTGACGGCTCCAGGGGAATTTCTCTGCTGATTCGATGACACTTCCGATATCTGACTAGCTCCTGTAGCCATATGGCTGTCAGGACCCGTATCTTGTGGTGGGCTTATAGCAGCAGCTAAAAGGCGAGGAGGTTCTACTCCATCATCACGTGCCTCGCCATTGTGCTGTACAGCGCGTTGAGGTATCACCAAAAATTCATTTGGAACGAGGTCAAATTCGATCGTGAGCTTGAGAAAGCGCGCATATAACGAGGACTCGGCTTCCGCCTGCTCAAATGCTTCGCGGTGGTGGAAGTATGCATGAGCAAAAATTCTGCCGAGGCGCCGCGCGAGCGAAGAGAAGTGCCGGTAGGAAGACTGCTGTATCGATAACCTATGGCCATAAGATGAGCACGAGTACAAAGAAGACGTAAAAAAAACACAAGGTTCGTACCGTGATGGAAAGGCTCTCGGCGAGTTTAGAAGTGCAGTTGCACTGTCTAGTGTGTGGAGAATATAATCTATCGCACAGCATTGCTGGAAGATCAGATGTATACGTGAGGTGAGGCCTTGTGGGGATGAAATCGATAGGCACAGACCTCCATGGCCCCGTCATTACCGTGTGCCACACACAAGTATAGCCACTCTCCCGCCTTCATTTCGGGACAGGACGTGCGGGTACATTCTTGTTGAAGGGTTGTAATGAGTGGGTAGGAGAGATCCTGAGCCAGACGGCTTTATTCCGTATTATGTTTAACAAAGGGCTGGGCAGTTCTGCAAAACAGCCACGTACCGTAATTGTTCGTAAATCCAGCAAGCACGGTCTACCTGAATTTCGCTCTTGCGCTCTACTTCCTTTTCTTCTGTTTTTGGAGAGTCGGATTCCTGAGGTTCAGGTGACTTTTCGCCTTCCTTTTCCTTGGCGTTAGCTTTTCCGGGAAGTGAAACTATAGTATCCACGTCATGCATGTCGAGACGAATAAGGAGTGAAATATATTCCTGCAGCTGGAACGCGCTGTCGAGTGAGGAAAGAGCAGGTAGAGACTTTACAGGGTAGAAAGAAGAGACGCGAGAGCCTCGCAAGGGACGCTGAATAACTGCAGCCATCGTCGTTGTCTGTGTCGTGGTCGTTGTCGTCGGCGTTGTGGACGAAGGTGCACTCGCTCGGTGTTGAGAAATGGAGCGGAGCTTGAAAGGATGGAGGGATGTATCACGTGCTCGAGATCGGCAAGTGTGATCTGAAGCTAAACATAGATGCGATAAGCAAAAGTTGGCGAGGTGATTTTTCATCCGAGATGATTTTTGGGAAGTCGTTACCACTTGTGCCTCATCCGGATTTGCCCAGATAAATGGAATTGGGTACTTATATCCCACTTCCACCCATCAACATTTCCGTTCCCCTTCCCCCCTCCGTCCAAGATGTCTGACCAGCACCACGACAAGCGCTCCGTCGACATCGAGAAGGATTCGGCGTTGCGCTCAGACTCCCCGGCCCATGAAGTCCCAACTATAGCTTCGCCAACCGTCGGTCACTCGTGGGCATCATTTCCACTGGCCAAAAAGCTCTTGAGCTGGGGTGTGGAAGCGCGAGGTAGGCCCTTTCGTCCCCCCTTTCCCCCACGTTCTGATATGTTTATCTCTTATGTCAGGAACCGTACCGGTACCACTTGAGGAACGGACAGAGACACATTTCTCCAAGATCTTTTTCGTTTGGTTCTCCATGAACTTCAACATCCTCTCGTCAGTATCCTCATCGACTCAACCACAGATCCCGCTGACATGTTCCAATCAGGTTTTCTACCGGCACATTGGGTCCTGCCGCCTTCGGATTGGACCTCACTGCATCGTGTCTCGTTATATTATTCTTTAATATGTTGTGTTGCGCGCTCCCAGCTTACCTGTACGAGCGACGTTTTGATATCTATTTATACCCTCTATTCATCTCTTTTCATTTCCCCCTCTTTACAGCAGCACATGGGGACCGAGAACGGGAATGCGGCAGATGATCCACTCGCGCTACAGCTTCGGGTGCGTGTTTCGACGCGTTTCAACATCACTTTACATACTGATATCTTTCAAGTTATTATGGCATTATCATACCTGCCATTCTTAACTTGATCGGGTTGTGTGGTTTCAACATCTTGAATTGCATACTCGGAGGACAGGCACTTTCCAGCGTTTCTCCCAATGGTGATATGAGCTGGAGGTATGTGAACTGATACCTGCTTATAAACATGATTAACGCCTATTTTGACAGCGTCGGTATCGTAATTATTGGTGTAATATCGCTCTTGGTAAGCAACTACCGCGCGTTCATGTTCAACATCTGATCCCCCTCACATCAGATTTCCTTCTGTGGCTTCAAAGTTCTCACTTGGTACATTGATTTCATTTGTGGTCATGAACTGTGTTAAACCCCTATTACTAGGTATGAACGGGTGGCCTGGTTTCCAGTGCTTGTCACTTTTATCATCGCACTTGGTGTGGGTGGAAAACACCTCGGCAATCCTCCCGCTGCGGTACCTGCCACGGCCGTAACTGTTTTGGGCTTTGCGTCCACCATAGCCGGTTTCGTTATCACCTATTCCGCAATGGCGTCCGATTTTTCAAACTATTTCGAGCCAGATGTATCAAGGTTATTTTATTGCGCCTGTCAATCACATGACGTGCAGTGTTCCTGACAGCATTCACATTCACAGGACAAAAATATTCTTCTACTCTTACCTTGGCTATCTTATTCCCATCGTAAGGATATATCTCTATTCTGATTTCTGATCTGGGCTCAACGCATTATCTAGATCCCTCTTGAATGTCTCGGTGCTGCCTGTGCGATCGCAGCACCGTCGGTACCTTCATGGAATGCCGGGTATGCCAACGGCAATGTCGGCGGCCTACTTGAAGCTATACTGAGCCCCCTTGGCAACTTCGGGAAATTCCTCACCGTGTTACTCAGTCTCAGTGTCACGGGAAACATTGCAGCCACGCTCTATTCCATCTGCTTCAATTTCCAGGTATGCCTCCCTGTACTGGCACGGGTTCCAAGATATGTATTCTCGATCGTCGGGACTGCAATGTGCGTTGGTTTCGCTATCAGCTTTCCGGTTGAAGTTGATTTCTCACGATTTACTGAAAACTTGTAGTGCACTCCCACTCTCTATCGTCGGAGCACATAGGTTCTACTCTGCATTGACTGATTTCCTCAGTCTCATTGGCTACTGGGCCAGTGCATACGGTGCCGTTCTCCTCATAGAGCACCATTATTTCCGCCGTGGCGATTTTTCAACTTATAATATCAACGATTGGAACGTTCCGCGGCGTCTACCATGGGGCGCTGGGCTCCTTGCAGGCGTTCTGGCTTTCGGTCTGATCATACCCTCGATGAACCAGGTGTGGTTCATCGGTCCTATTGGTGCATTGACCGGTGACATCGGGTTCGAGATTGCTTTCCCTCTGGCGGCGGTGCTGTACGTACCGCTGAGGCACCTTGAGCTCAAATATCAGAAGATCGAATGACTCAACACCTGAACGTGGGCCTTCTATACTTATTCTATCTAGCTCTCTCCGCTATCTGTACCTGGATATATTGTACACCTGATCCGCTATTGGGTCGAAACTCGGATCTTTCGGTATGTAAAAGTGTGCTCACTTGGAAGGGATCTTGGACTTTTGATTATATAACTTTTCTTGGATACCTTTTTTGCACCACTCAGGCTCCATGACTTTCCTAGTCCCATTCGTTCATACTATTCACATCTATTCACGTCGCTTCAATTAACTGCAATACTCGTAGCTAGAGATACGATATAATGTACGAGAGAAGTTTGTACTGACATAGAGTTTGCGTCTTAATGACGAATTTTACTGTAGCCGATCATTCGGTCGTTGTGTTTGATTGACATGTTGTTTCGAAGTTGGTTACCGCATGCTTGGTGGATGCTGATACGGCAGGGACAACAACTGCTATGTCCATTCTCATGCGAACCGTCGGAAGTAAACCCAGGCTAGTTTGGGCGGTGATGTGAAAGAACCGTGGAACTGTTGGACTTCTTACAGGTCAATGATGGATATAATTCTGATCTTGAGAGGCGAATCATAGATTATACGTACATTATAATTATGAGAGTGTGATGCAACTGCACACTAACCGCACTAACTTGCTGATATGAGGGGTATTTGCACAATCTCGATTAGCCTCGATTTACATACAGTCGGTCTTACATCTAGTCACCGTTCGAGACAATTCGTGATTCATTTCCTAGGAGCGAATAACTTGACAACAGCTTCTTCCAATATTTGCTTGCGCCTAACCGGATCCCTCAAAATGCTCTTGTCCCATATCATTTCTACTAGTTCTTCGAGTCGTAATGATACCCTTAGGTAGTCGTGATCCATAAAACATGACAAAATCTAGAACGATCTGGTCAGCATTGTATCGTATTAGAAGTAATGGCTTAGAATATACCTGGGTCCTAGTAGTCAAAAATACAGATGAACTCATAGAGCTCCCAACAGCCATATTTATATTCGTCCGGGGTACTGGCACCATGTTCGATGGGTATGCGATCGCATCTGTGTGGCCTTGAGAGCTTGAGATCGATTATGTATGGCTCTCCGTTCTTGACGGTTACGTTCCGCTCAGAGATCGCATTGTGTTGTAGACCAGCGTCATGGAACAACTTGAATTTGTCGAGGAGCTTTGAACTGCGCCATTTCAGTTAGCCATTTGAAACGAAATATTTTGAACGAGTTTACATAAGGTCATTGTCGGAATCTGGGAAAGAACTCCTCATGTGATCTCCACAGTCCTCCAGGACCATGCAGGTTGATGGCAGATATCCAGGAGACACTTGACCTTGGAAGAGCCCGTAAAAGCGAGGGACAACGTTTCCTTGAAGGCTTTTCGCTTGGTTTTCATAAACACTAGCTTCGGTCAGGAGAGAGCGAGGATGCTGGTCAAACAGATCTACTTTCAATATGCAAGGAATGAGCTCCTGGCCATCAATACTCATTTTCCCCCGAAGTATTGTACAGCTCGTAGCGTCTCCAGCATACATATGAACCCACTCCTTCACGTGAAAGAGGGAATCGGAAGGTGCGCCAGGTGTGCCAGGTACGGGTAGACGGGGTAGGACGGCGGGTGCGTCTTCTTCTCCTAGTATGAGATAGGGTTCGATGATGAGCTGAGACATTGTAGGGGAATGTGGCTGGCTTCAGGCTTGAAATAAAGCGAAGTGAGGTTTATGCATGTTGTACTAAGAGCTTTTCCATTAAAATTAAAATTGAGGGATGACATTCTGCCGATTATTAGGTGAATTGCGGTGGCCGCACTAATGAGCCACCAACCATGAAAGTGGACCCACCTTGACAAACTTTTGGCTTCTAGGTCAACGCTGGTCAGCCTTTTAGCTGTAACGAGTAGCAAATCATACGATCACATGATCTTGTATGATGGACAGCTTCTCAGAGCCGACTCGGACTGCCATTGGACTATTGTTAAGGAGGAACAACCGTCTCCCTTTGAATCTTTTGGACTGTCTACGGGAGACTACCATTGTGTGGGCATGCAGTAGTAAGTACTACTTAGTAGCATTAGACTTACATTCCCATCAAGGCGTTATGTCGCCTCTTTGTATCAAGGGAAGGTCCCATGAGATACTATCAAATATTTTGTTCATCGCAAGGGTGTCATGCTACGTTTCTCTTGAGTATGTCGTGATACCGTATACCACAGTCATGAAGCACCATCAATTTGCCGAAAAATTGCACTTTATGTCGATTGGGTCATTTGCATAAGAGAATGAGACCAGCTTAGAAACACTCACTTGAAATCGTAATCAAAGTCCTCGAAGAACAAATGTATGGGATCTTTGCAATCCTCTACAGTCATGCAAGACATTGGAGGTATTACAGGTTGCTTGGAAGAACCCATGAAAGTGAGATATAACTTGACGATTATTAACTTGGTTATCGTAGATGTCAGCTTCAGTCAGAGTGGGGAGAGGATGTCGATTGAATAAATCTACTTTGAGCATGGCACAAGTTCTTCACCGTCGATACTCAGCTGACTATGAGATATTGTGCAACATCCCTAATCCCCAGATTGCATGTGAACCAGTCCATTCACACGACACAGGAAACTTGAGGATATTCAAGTTCATGGTGCCTGGTCATCGGTAGACAAGCTGGTAGCACAGTCGGTTTGCTGTCTTCTCCTCTCCCATCTGATATGAGATACGTCTCGATGATGGTTTGGACATTAAACTCCAAATTTGGGTGGAGAAGGTATGAATAAATTACGACCCGCCATACTACAACTACTGCTGAACTCACCTTACAACAAATATCATGTGTTGTGTTAGTGGCGCATAATGAAAACTCATAATCAACAAATTGGCAGCACGACTCAGATGCAGGGTCTGGCAGGGAGAAAGCATATTCGATTTCTTGGCTCAAGATTTTTCGATTTTTTCTAAAGCATCATCAACTCTGTCGAGACTAACCCTGAGGGCTATTAGCTGAACCACAGTTCGTTCGTTCTCTGAATATACTATGAATAGCTGCTTTTAGAGGAGAAGCATGACTTACGCTCCAAAAAGAGGCTGAGTGGTTTCAGTAATGACGATTTGACGCTAGAGATTTGATCGCGATCTCGCACGCCCGTCTTGAAAATACAATCAGTCAATATTTTCAATGAAATCGAGTAGAGAGTGAACCTTGTTTTCTGTATCTCTTTGCAGCAGCACATAATACAGTGAAAGACATTCAACCAAACGGGCCGGTTCCAAGGACTCTCGGATGTCATCAAGTGAGTGAATACTTGAGAAGAAGTAAGGAGGGCTGGTTCTAAAAAGGATGGGACCGAAGGCCTGTAAGAGAAGAGGAGAAGCAAAAATGTTTGCGCCCTTCGCAGCAGGTGATCCTAAGGCCTCCATCATCGCTTCTTTCACCAAGCCGATAGCAGAGGCACGCATCTGAGGTGGACTGAGCTCCGAAGTCAGCTCCCGAAGAATCTGAAGGCGTAATGGAGGAGAGGACAGTGCAAGAACCAGTGAGAGGAGGCGGAACGTAATGTGTCTAATGAAGGCATCTGGATGACCACTGGCCAACGCTGGGAGTGTATCGCAAAGCGGTATCACAACCTCGTCTGGGAGATCCACAGCGGCCGACATCCGTGTTAGGCAATCTAGGAGAAGGTAAAGACATTCGTCCAATGCCACATTCATTTGTAGGGATGATATGAGAACAGGCAAGATTTTATTCAAAAGCTGGAGTGGATCCGCTAACGGATGTGGGGAGTGCGCGAGATAAACGAGGTTGCTGATAGTAGGTGGGTTCCAAATAATTTCAGGCTCGATTCCCAGGATAACCAAAATTTTCTGTAGTACTATGATGAAAAGCGACTTTCGTACATCAAAACGAAAACCGCATACCATTGCAGAAAAAATAACTGCTTGTCCATTATTCCAATCTGGACTTACATAGGAAGTCACAACAAGTCGAGGGAAATGAGCCTCGAAAGACCTAGCAGCAAGTGATGATTGGATACATGATGCACATGATTGGATAGATGTATCAATTAGCTTTCCAAGAAGGTCCTGCTTTTACTTTAACTTACATCGAGAGGAATAAACCGAAAGATAGCTCACATTGGTATTCTGGATATCTTCAGGATGTTTGTTAGAACTCCGAACTACCCATCTGTGCGTGGAAGATGCTAGGTTACTTATCTCCCTTATCAAATTCCGGCCATCAACTTTGGCAGCACGTCCGCCCACTAGATTGACTACCGATGTGAGCTCAGACAATAATGGGAATATAGTTTCGTATGGTGATTTCTTCTTCAACACTAATCGAAATATAGCTTTATGGGATTTCATATATAAGACGCATATACTGTGCACATCGTAGAGACACGTACAAACATTATACACAAGAGCCACGTTGGCGAGTTGCGCTGCTGGTGCTAACTGGTTTTCTTCGGCATTATCTTCGTGAAAGCCGATTTTCATGCGCTCAACGTATTCTTGCATCGCCAGTATAACTTCCTTTGGGCTAAAGTGCGCACCTAGAAAGTACATAAAATCATCTGCCCCTTGCCGAGGACAGGCGATTAGATGGCCTAAAACATCAAGCGGGTCCTGGATAGTGATTAGGGTAGCAAGAAAGAAACGCTAATATGCCAAAACTAACCAAGTACGTATGGCCATCGTTATCTTCTACAGCTATCCATATTTTATCAAGGGATAACACTGGATTGTCGTCGTAAATTGCCGACAAAATCATTGGCATGAGTATACCACGGACATCCTATGCAATGCCATTTAGATAAGCTGGAACTTCGATGGTAATGAAGGCAAGTATGCCTTATCATGGATGTCGGGAGACAAGTGCAGAGCTTGAAGAAATTCCGTGTTCTGTGAATTGAGTTAGGACGATAGTCAGCCATGTTTGAGACATCCTACTTACCGGCCCTAGCTCGAGAGGTTCCTCCTCCATGTCCATTGTTTTTCCACTTAGAATGATCTCCAAGCGAACCTAAGATATTCTAGTTCACGGCAAAAACTAGTGTATTGAAGTTCCTGCAGTTTGCCAGGGTAGTGATCCTCGACGTCACGACTTGTAATGTGAATGTGTATGAGACTTGCTTTTCGCACGCAAGAGCTGGGAGATAAAAAAAAGATCGTATCTGCTGAGAATGGTGTATAGTGTGACAGTACTCAGTGCGCTGGCTGACTCGGATTCTGTGGTGGTCACAACAGTGTTGGGTGAGCCGTGCCTTCAAGAACAGTGCCTAGTATCAGAGTGCCCAAGGTGCCTCCGTGGCACTCTGGGGCACTGGATCACGTGTATGGTACTTGAGACGGCACTATGTCTGAGTAATCACATATGTGTAAGGTGCTCATGCAGCCTGATCGGAGATCAATGAGATTGTCATCAACACGTTCACCATTGCTGTGACTTAACTGCATGGCTTTCATACCGCAAAAAGCTTGTATTGTGTTTGCTGCCCCTTCTCCTCATGCATTCTTTGTATATAATCTCGAGTCTGACAGAAGAGCTGGCACGAACTTACTTCCTTTTGGATTTTCACCACTTGGTTTACCTAGCCTCGCTGTCATGCACCAAAGTTGATTGGTAGCATGGACAGGTGTCAATAACGAAGCGAATATTCAAAAAGACTCGCCTTTGCGCCACACAGGCACAGTGCCACGTGGAATAGTAATTAATATTGCCCTTTTCGAACTTGTGGTTGATCAGCACCACCTCTATTAGGCAATCCAGTCACGCTCACCTTTGCTTTTCCATCCGGTACTTTCCGCATTTCGGCAAATTTTCGCGTCGCCACTGGCTACACATTGCATTGCGCCCTCGCTTTTGTTGTTTCCCTTACTCTCCTTCCTTTGCCTAGCCCCACCATGGGCCCCTTCCTCTCCTTTTTATTCTCACCTGACGGTCGTTTCTGGATTCCCATTCTAATCCACTTTTTTGTCACCTCCACCCTCCTCCTCCTCATCTTATTTGCACCCCCACCATTTCTGATGTCACCACTTCCTATCCGCTTCCATCGCCGATCTGTAGACTACCACGTGCCACTGCTGATATCAGCAAAGCCCCGGCGGCCGGTTCAAATAGGGCAACAGGTCCATCTTTATGACATCGATCTACCATCATATACTATCAAAACATCGGTCGCTCGTCTTGCCTGGTTGGAGCGTGGGTGGGTAGTTTTTGAGCTGGAGAAGGTTCATCCCCTTGCGTCGCCCATGTTCATCACTGTCCCATTCACTTGGGTACACTTATCTTTTGTCCATCGTCTTCGCTACAGCTACACCTACCACACGCTGCCTGGGACTCACTTATTCCAAATTGGAACTACTCCTCTCCCTCCCTTGTTTGATCAGGTGGTCCAACACAACCAGTCTATTGGTAAGGCCATGGAACTGTCGGATTTGGACTAGGTGGTGGACCGGTGGCTCCAGTTTCTTTTTCTTCAGCAGAACATTCATTTACAGTGCGATTATTATTGATTTTTGAATCATTTTTATGGACACATATTTTTTTAGAATGCCTGACTGACAATAAAGGAACTGTGTTGATACTGATAGTGTTTTGCCTTGCCCTTTTTTTACTGCATCTTCCCATGACATCATGATTTTCCTGCTCTCTTTTTGCTATTGGACTTTACTCTATGGCTGTACAAACCTGTGACATTACTCACAGCATTTATTGTTCTATCCCTTTCTTTTCCTTTTTTTGACAATCTTATCCTGTACTACCTACGCAGGATTCGTCAGTGTACATTCCTTCCTTCATATTCTTTCTCATTCTTTTTGCACAGCTATACTGTGCATAGCCTACTTTTCTTTTACTATATAAACCCCTGTATTTTACCTTGTAAAAAAAACAAGAACTCCAATCCAGACTTCTTCTCTAATCTCAAGTTCACTACTCTCTGCTACTTGTGATCCAGTGTGGTCACAACACTTCCCACTGCTACCACTGTTAATTGCTGTCATCGTCACTTCCCACTTTTGAAGTCATTGTTATCCCTTTCGATTAGAGTCCTTCTGAGCACTACAGTTTGTGCGTCAGGAGCCTGCTATCACTGGGAACTTTGTCACCTCTTCATCCTCGTCGTTCTCAAACCTACCTTGTGCTACCATTAGCAAGGTAGTGCTCATCTATACTTGTCACTAAGCCCCTATCTTCTATAAATTCAACTATCCCTCCTCCTCAAAACCCACACTCATACACCTCTGGGTTTTACTTTGAAGGATCTTTATACATACCACCCCACGAACAACCAGACCACTCCACTGTTCTAGGAGGCAAAGCCCATAAACAAGTTCCGTGGAATCTGGGAGGATTGTGTGTTAGTTTGTTTTTGTGTGTGGTTTTCTAACAGCAGTTCTCATCATAGACAACGCTTACTACTGCACCCACCCTTGCTATACCAAACGACGACGACCCGTTCAAACTAGAAACCGACGCCTCTGACTTTGCTGTAGGAGCCGTCCTATCCCAGAAACAAAACGATAAATTCAGACCCATAGCATTCCTCTCGAAAGCCCTTACCCCTGCAGAACAAAACTATGAAATTTACGATAAAGAGATGCTCGCAGTTATGACGGCGCTAGATGAATGGCAACATCACCTTGTAGGATCGAAACACCCCTTCACTATCTTCACAGACCACCAAAACCTCCTTTACTTCCGTCAACCTCAGAAATACAATCGACGCCAAGCTCGATGGTCGTCTCAGCTTGCAGATTATAATTTCAAAATGGAACACGTCAAAGGAAATCAAAATACAAAAGCTGACCTGTTAAGCAGACGAATCAATCATCCTAAAGGCGCAAACGATAACGAAAATCAGACACTTCTCCCAGACGTACATTTTGAAGTACTTGACACCAACGAAGGATACCTACCAGATATACATCAAAACTTCCAGAAACAAGACAACGTAGTAAAGAAGAACTTGAAAGAGAAGTCGGATACCTGGAAGATAAAAGATAGGATCGTTTGGATTAAGAGAGAATCCGCGACAAGTTCCTACCCGATCCCATTAGCTGACCGCGTATACATTCCCCAAAACCACAAATTACGGGCGCAAATATTGAAAGATCATCATGACGAAGTCCTGGCTGGACATCCAGGAGAAAGAACAATGTTTGAACGAGTAAACCGAGAGCTCTGGTGGCCGAGTCTCCGTACAGATATCAGACGATATGTACGAGGGTGCGAGGGTTGTCAACGCACCAAGGCACATCGGACGAAGCCTAACGCCCCTCTACACCCAAACCCGATACCAGATCGGCCTTGGCAGATTATCACCACCGATCTCATAGGCGCATTACCGGAGTCCAAGGGCTACACCACCGTTCAGGTCTTTGTTGACCAATTTAGTAAAATGGCCCATTTCGTCCCCACCTTTGTTACTCTCGACTCTGCCGGTTATGCACGTCAACTCCGAGATAATGTAATACGACTCCACGGAATCCCTGAAAAGATCATCTCCGATCGAGGTCCTCAATTCATGTCTCGATTCACGAAAGACTTTTACGACCTAATGGGGATAACACCAGGCCTCTCTACAGGCTATAACCCTCAAACAGACGGACAGTCCGAACGGATCAACCAGGATCTAGAGCACTACCTCCGCGTTTTTGTAAATCATCAACAAAATGATTGGGCAGACTGGCTTTCCATTGCTGAGTTTACATACAACAACCATCTCCACACCGCAATGAATCAAACACCTTTCTTTTTGAACTATGGGTTACACCCAAGAACGAATATTACCACCACACCATCCCCTCAATCCGCTTCTGCAGCAGAATTTGGCGAACAAATGAAAAAACTCCACGACATCACGAAATCCTCCCTTCTTGTAGCAAACGAGAATCTGAAGAAGTATTACGACCGTAAGAAATCCCCCTCCCGGGAATATCAAACTGGCGATAAAGTCTGGTTAGAAGGACATAACATCACAACGGATAGACCAATGAAGAAATTAGACGATAAATGTTTCGGGCCTTTCAAAATCATCCAAAAGGTCGGACCCTCAGCCTATCAACTCGATATCCCTAAGAGCTGGAAGTCTATTCATCCCGTGTTCAACGAAGCCATCCTCTCACCATACCACGCTCCCAAATTCCTCAATCAATCAATTTCCTCACGACCACCACCCGAGATTGTGGAGGGAATAGACAAATACGAAGTAGAGAGTATAATCGCTTCCAGACCTACTAAATTGAAAGGTAGTAAGCTCGACTACCTAATTCACTGGCATGGTTATCCAGTCTCCGAACGCACTTGGGAACCCGACACCAATCTTACACATGTCGCTAATTTACTCGCCACTTTCCACAAAACAAATCCAGCCGCCCCTCGGATTATTACCGCTTCTCTTCACTTCCGTCCTTACAAAAACTACACCGCCACTTCTAAACCTCCGATGCTTTTTGATTGGATTAGTAACAAGTTCCAGAGTGCCGCATCCGGACTCATGAGGACACGAGTCTTATAAAAGGGGAGCTAATGTGAGGAATCGATTTTTCTTATCGCATTCCCGTCATGTCGTGGTTAGCAGACTCGATCCCCGTCACTCCTCTTGCCCTTGGACTAGAGATTACAGCAGGTGTCTTATTACTTTTATCCTTTTTCTTCTTATTCTCTCTTCACACTCACGTTCTATCGTACCTACGACTGTGAGGCAACGATAAACTATAACAAGAACTAAACCTATCTCCTTCTGCGCTTGCAGGGAGTAAGGGTCCAATGAGCTTGAGGTCAACAGACGCTAGAAATATAGCGAGTCGAGGACTTTGAGAGGTAAGCTTCAACGGTTCTTGTTGAGGAGTAAAGCGGGTAAATTCAGTAATAGAAAGCTAAGGAGCTATACATGAATAGGTACGTCTTTATATAGAGAACTGTCCATTCCTCAGACCGAAAGGAGAATATACGAAAAGTGGTCTGAGGAATTAATCAACCAATAGGAAAAAGGGAGAGTAACTATCGTACGACTTCTGACTTGATTAATCAGCAGGTGAGAGACTTGTACTAATAGAAGATTGTTACGCGTGGTCAGGAACCATATCCTCATGATGAGGTACGATTCTAGATAAGGCGTTATTAGTATTACCAGGCTTTACTGGGGCTTGGAGCTGGTTGGCGAGATGCCTACTACCAGTCCCTACCCAGTGTGCTGGCTAGCTGGGAGCGATGCCCAGTCTCTGATCTGTGATATAAAGTGGTAGCGATGGTTAAGAAAGCCTGTGAGGGCTATGAGAAGTAAGATGGCAAAGGATACCTCTAGCCCTAGAGCCAGAGGTGTAACGGGAAAAGCGTTCGAAAACCAAGACATAACAAAGATAAGAAAATAGTAAAACGGTCCTTACATTACCCCCCCCTTTTATATTCTTGTCCCAAGAATCTTAGCGCCGCAATCCGTGAAGCGGTTTGTGATCCAGTCGAAAAGGCGGGGTTTTTCGGTTGTTGTAGTGAAATTTTCGTATGGACGAAATCGTAAAGCGGCAGAGGCGATGACACGTGGGGCGGCAGGGTGTTTGCGGTGGAAGGTGGCAATAAGTGAAGGGGAATTTTTCAAATGGTGGTCGGGTTCCCACGTCCTCTCCGTGATCGGGTATCCCTTCCAATGGACGAAGTAATCGAGCTTAGCCCCTTTGAGTTTAGTGGGCCGAGAAGCGATGATTTCTTCGGCTTCGTATTCGACTGCGCCATCAACTTGGATCGGCGGAGGTTTCGAGGTACGAGGTTGATTGGGGAACTCCGGCGTGTGATATGGTGATAAGAGGATTTCGTTGAATACGGGATGGATCGCCTTCCAGGATCTAGGAACGTCAAGGAGATAAGCGGATGGGCCGACCTTTGCCTTTACCGTAAATGGGCCAAATTGCTTGTCATCTAACTTCTTCATCGGACGATCGGTGGAGATATGAGTTCCTTCTAACCACACCTTATCCCCTTTGTGATATTCCCGTGCTTCCGTGCGTTTTCGGTCATAGTACTTTTTGAGGTTTTGATTAGCGAGTAATAATGATTGCCTAGTTTGCTCGTGTAGTTTCGCCATAGAGGTTGCGAAATCTTCGGCGGCTTGCGAGCGCCCTGAAGGCTTCTGACCGGTCCCTTTACGAGGGTGAGAACCATAATTTACAAAGAAGGGGGTCTGATTGGTCGCGGAGTGAAGATGATTGTTGTACGTGAACTCGGCAATGGCTAGCCAATCAGCCCAGTCGTCTTGTCGGTGATTAATGAACGTGCGTAGGTAATGTTCCAGGTCTTGATTGATTCGTTCGGACTGCCCATCAGTTTGGGGATGGTAACCTGTTGACAGACCGGGTTCGATCCCAAGGGTTTGATAGAAGTCCTTGGTGAAGTTTGACATGAATTGAGGTCCTCTATCCGATATAATTTTTTCCGGGATGCCGTGTAGTCGTATGACCGAATCTCGTAGTTGTTTGGCGTAGCCTAACGAATCGAGAGTAACGTGCGTTGGTACGAAGTGAGCCATTTTCGAGAATCTGTCAACAAAAACCTGGATAGCGTTGTATCCGTTTGACTCTGGTAACGCTCCGATGAGATCCGTCGTGATTATCTGCCAAGGACGGTCAGGGATCGGATTTGGATGGAGGGGAGCATGCGGTTTTTGACGATGCGACTTTGTTCTCTGACATATCTCGCATCCTGTGACATATTTCCTGATATCTCTCCTGAGGCTAGGCCACCAGAATGATCGGTTTACTCCTTCGTGCGTCTTTCTTTCTCCTGGGTGTCCGCTGAGGCTCGTGTCATGTTCTTCTTCGATAATACGTGCCCTCAACTTTGGGTCCTGAGGTACGTAGATCTTGTTTTTGAAGGATCCTAACGTCAACTCGTCTTCTTTCTCATTTCCTATCCAGACGATTCCGTCTCGTTTCTTCCAAACCTCTGGATCTTCTTTCAACTTCCTTACTACATAATCGTCTAGTTTGTGCTGCGAAGCTAGCAGTTCGTCCAGGTAGTGTTCTTCTAACACGTCCTCCATAGTATAAATATTTGCTTCCGCGAGCTGAGGTAGAAGGACCTGTCCTTCGTTGTCTCTCTCGCCTCTCGGATGGTCTACTCTTCGACTAAGTAGGTCCGCTTTCGTGTTCGCCGAGCCTTTCACATGCTCTAACTTGAAATCGTATCTCGCTAGTGTGTCCATCCACCTAGCTTGTCGTCTGTTTACTTTCTGGGGATCTCTGAAGTAGGTGAGGTTCTGATGGTCGGTGAATATGGTGAACTGGTGTTTAGCTCCCATGAGGAGGTGTCGCCATTCTTCCAACGCATGCATTACCGCTAGCATCTCTTTATCCCAGATAGCGTAATTTCTCTCTGCAGGGTTCATCGACTTTGATAGGAATGCGACCGGTCTCCATTTCCCTTCTTGCTGCTGGGATAACACCGCTCCTGTGGCATAGTTAGAGGCGTCGCATTCAACTTTGAATGGATCTTCGTCGTTAGGGATTGCGAGTGTGGGCGAAGTGGTGATTGTCTTTTTGAGAACGTCGAACGCTCGTTGTTGGTCTTCAGCCCACTCCCAATCTACCTTTCCGGTGAGGATCGTCAGTGGTTTGGCAATCTTTCCATAGTCCCTGATGAATCGTCTGTAAAAGTTTGAAAACCCTAGGAATGACTGTAACTCCTTCTTTGTTCGTGGTATCGGCCATTCTGCAACTGCCTGTACTTTTAGCGGGTCCATACGAATCGTATCATGGGAGATGATCATTCCCAGATATTCGACTTCTTTCTTCTCAAACTCGCATTTCTCTGGCTTGAGATATAATTGATTGTCTGCGAGTATCTGAAGAACTTTGGATACGATCTTCCTGTGTTCTTCTAACGAGTCGGTGAATATCATGATGTCGTCGAGGTATACGATAACTGATCCTTCGTTGATTAGGTCTCTGAGAAGTCGGTCCATCATTGTTTGAAAGGTGGCTGGGGAGTTCGTGAGTCCGAAGAACATAACCAGAGGTTCGAACAGTCCTCTGTTAGTTCTGAAGGCGGCCTTGTGCTCATCTCCTTCTTTGATCCGAACATTATTATATCCCCAACGGACATCCAGCTTGGTGAAGAATCTTGCTCCTTTGAGTCGGTTTATCAATTCTGAAATGAGGGGTAACGTATATCGGTTTTTAATCGTAAGTGCGTTGAGTTTCCGATAGTCTTGTACCGGTCTGAGAGATCCGTCTTTTTTCTTGATAAAGAAGAACGGGGATGCGTAAGGGGATTTCGATACTCTGATCCTCCCTGTCTCCAGGTTTTCTTTCAAGAATTCGTCAAGATGAATTTGTTCGTCTCGGTTAAGTGGATACGTTTTACAGTCTAGACCTTTGGCTTCTGGTAGGAGTTCAATTGCGTGGTCCCAGACTCGTCGTGGGGGTAGTTTGTCAAATGACGCTTTTGTGAATACTGGCTCAAAATGATGATAAAACGGGGGAACGACGTCTCTGAACGTGAGTGTTGACTTTGCTCGTTCTGATTCTTCCGCAATCTGTTGGCTTTTGGTCTGAGATACGTTGCTTTCGACGGAAATTTTGTCAATCCTGCTCTGTAAGTCTACAGCGATGACTCTATCTCCGTCTTCAGGGTGATACTCCGTATCATCAGAAGGGTACGTGATGGTGTTGGTTTGCCAGTTGATATTGGGATTCGTGCGTCGTAGCCAGTCGTGTCCTAATAAAATTCTGGCCTCTCTTTGTCCAGTGACCAGGAAGTCCATTAATTCCGTGCGACCTGCCACAGTTAGGCGAAGTGTCACATATTCCGTTAAAGGTCCAGTGCGATTCTTGGTTCCATCGGCGTTTGAGACAATAACACGAGTTGGCAGTGGTTTTGTGGAAATGTTGTGTTGCCGAACAAAGGCTTCGTCAATGATAGAATCTGTGCATCCTGAATCTATCAAAACTGGAATGACATGCGTCTGGTGATCGTCGATAGTGGATAATTGACATTGTAGCGAGAGTTTGCGTTGATGAGATGGGGGGAGGGATGCGAAGTCTTTGATCACATTCAATTGCTCTACGATATACTCTTCATCGTGTTGCTTGAGTAGATTGATTGTATCCGTCGTGATGTGTGGGTAACACTGGGGTGAGGCCCAGTTCCGAACCAATGCTTTGGCTCTTTCTTCTTTCTGGTCTTTAATTCGTTGAGCCAACCATTCCGCTGAATGTGGCTTAGCGTATTTCTTGGCACGTGGGTTTTGGGAAACATGTTTTGATTTATCAGTTACAAATACATTTTCCGAACCGTGCTTACTGGTCAGAGAGTCCGTGCTTACTCCTGACCTTCGAGAAAATCCTTCGTCTTCGTCTCCTCCTGGGTTGTGGTTGCTTCTCTAGCTGCAACTTTCTTCAGAGGGCAGTTCCTTGCGATATGACCCGGCTGGCCACATCCGTAACATAATCTGAACCGACTCTGTCGGTCTGTATCCATGGGTACGCCTTGTCCGGGGAATACACCTCTCTGAGGTTGATCCTCGAACCTTCTTGCATACTGATTCGTCTGGGGTCTCGCCATCTGCTGTGGCTGCGGCTGTTGCACATGCTGGTGCGTATACGTCTGTTGTTTATAGATAGGTCGCGACGGCTGCGTGACTTCTCTCTTTCGTCTTTCGTCTAGCTGAAACTCTTCTCTCCGTGCCTCCCATGCGTAGGCTTGCGTCTTCCACTCAGCAAATGTTTTCGGTAGGTCTCTCTGGATGATGACGAAATCACAGATTCGAGAGTGAAGATTCTTTTTGAGAATACGGTTGATCACGTCAAAGTGAGTGGTAGCGTCATATCCGGCCTTGTCCATGAGCGTTGTGAAATGGCTAAAGAATTCATCGCAATGCTTGTTCTCCTGTCTGTATGTTTCGATCTCGTTTACCGCCTGTGATCTTTCGTTTGGATTCCCGAATACTTGGGCTAGATCGGTTAGGACGGTCGAGAGAGTCGGCCATACGGGGGTAGTTGCGTCGAGAGCTTTGGTAAGCACGTTCTCTTTCCAAGCTTTTACTGTCGACGTTCCTTGGTCGCTGATTTTGGATAGGAGGTAAATGAGCTTCGTCTTCTCGTCTGGAAAGTAGGAGGCGTAGGCGGTTAAGTACAACTGTAGTGCTTGGCGCCATGCTATGAATCGTTCCTTCTCTCCTTTGAATTCGAAGGGTTCTGCTGCGAGAGTTACTTTGCCGTGTAACTGTGTGGGGTTAGACATGGATGAGGGTTTTGGAGGAATTGGAGGTGGAGGTGGGCGTGTAGGTGGTAGCGGTAGGGTTTGTCTGGGCGGAGTCTCCGGTTCTATGGACGGTCTCGGGTTTCGATATTCGGAAAACACTTTGAAGGATTGAAACGAGTTTTATTTAGTTCGAATCATAATCAAACTCGTCACTCCAATCGTTAGAAGTAAATCCAAAAATATTTTCTTCTTCTTCCAAATCTCTTTCTACCTGTGAGCTAGTGGTAGAATTACTGTCCAAGTTCGAGGTTGTTTCGTCTGGTGAGGGGGTTCTTTCTATAAGAACGTTTCCTTGGATTAACGAGGAGACGGGAGGAATATAAGAGAAATTTCCGTGGGTCAGATGGTACTCTGGTTTGTACTGCGAGTAGACTCTGTTGTTTTCTCGAATAAGTACTCCCCAGAACTCGGTGTTGATCTCGGTAACGATGAAACGATCTGTGGGGTGGCGGATGACTAAATCAAAAACTTCTTTTCCGTAGTTTTGGTATTCTCTGAACAATCGACAGACGTTCCTGATCTGTCTTTGTTCTCTTTCCCAATTCCTTCCTTCGAGGATCTCGTGTCCAATTTTAAACACTAATTTGCGAAATTGCGATATGCAGGCTACTATCCTTCGTATTGCGTCGCGGCAGAAAGGGGTGACAACTAATACGTGGACTCCTGCTTTAAGATAATCTCGTGTGTTGAAGGCGTCGTTCTGTTCGGGAGTGAGGGGGACGTCGAAGAAGAATGGTATTTCCCGATAGAATTTGATGAGATCGGTTTCGTAAATTCCAATTCTTGTAAAAAGAAGTTCGAGAGGGGTAGGATTAAATGACGCTGTAACGTATACGTCAATTTTGGATGGTTCGAGATAGGGCGTAAGGAATTCTAGGTAAGGTGCGGAGTAGGGTCGTCGGTGGATGATGATTCCGCAGGGAAGTAGGTAGTGGATTTCTCTCCCGTCTTGTTCTGGTGAGAACCCAAGTTGGGGAGTTTCAACGTAGTTCGGGAGGTGATAGATGCGTGGGGAGATTCCGTCGGATAGTATGAGAAGAGCTGTCTTATGTTCCGCCACTCGTCGTCTGAGGGCTCGTCTTTCTTCACTGTCGTTCCGACGAGGGGGTTCTAGGATCCTCTGTTCGTAGACTTCGATTGATAGGTGCTCTAGGTGTATCGAATTGAACCTGTACAATTCTCTGGATGCTTGATCGGATTCCCAAAAGCAGGTTTGAGCAGCTGCTGATGCGTACTCGAGTAAGCGCGACGTATTGACGGAGTTGGGAGATTTCGAATGCTAAATCGTCGACGGCTAGAACTAGTCCTTCTAGTTCAGAAACGGGGGAAGAGGCGGCTGATGAGTCTTCGTAGTACTCAGTTTCTGTGTCGCTGTGGGCAGGCTGGGGGTTCGTGGCAACGTTGACAGGTACTGCAACGTGGAGGTCTCGGTTGTTGAGGGCGCGGTGGAATTCCTCGAGGGAACGTCGTTCTTCGTCCGTTACTAGGCTCTCTCTGATGCTCGACAGTTTGACGATTGTAGAAGTGATCAAAGACGACAGCTAGGGTGAGGACTTGAGCTAGAACAAGTAAGAGTATTACTTCGAGGTGGGTAGGAATGTTGGAGAAGACAACTAGCTAGCTTAGCTAGAAGGCAAGTGGTTGTTTTGGATGGGGAGGAGGACGGTGAATGACAACACGTCCGAGGGATGAAGGAAAAGGTGGGTTAGGGCTATAATGGGTTCAAGCGAGATGGTGCGCTGTGAACGGATTGTAGAGTGAGCTTTCTATTTTGTGAGGCAACGATAAACTATAACAAGAACTAAACCTATCTCCTTCTGCACTTGCAGGGAGTAAGGGTCCAATGAGCTTGAGGTCAACAGACGCTAGAAATATAGCGAGTCGAGGACTTTGAGAGGTAAGCTTCAACGGTTCTTGTTGAGGAGTAAAGCGGGTAAATTCAGTAATAGAAAGCTAAGGAGCTATACATGAATAGGTACGTCTTTATATAGAGAACTGTCCATTCCTCAGACCGAAAGGAGAATATACGAAAAGTGGTCTGAGGAATTAATCAACCAATAGGAAAAAGGGAGAGTAACTATCGTACGACTTCTGACTTGATTAATCAGCAGGTGAGAGACTTGTACTAATAATAGAAGATTGTTACGCGTGGTCAGGAACCATATCCTCATGATGAGGTACGATTCTAGATAAGGCGTTATTAGTATTACCAGGCTTTACTGGGGCTTGGAGCTGGTTGGCGAGATGCCTACTACCAGTCCCTACCCAGTGTGCTGGCTAGCTGGGAGCGATGCCCAGTCTCTGATCTGTGATATAAAGTGGTAGCGATGGTTAAGAAAGCCTGTGAGGGCTATGAGAAGTAAGATGGCAAAGGATACCTCTAGCCCTAGAGCCAGAGGTGTAACGGGAAAAGCGTTCGAGAACCAAGACATAACAAAGATAAGAAAATAGTAAAACGGTCCTTACATCCATAGGATTAAAAAACACCTTGAACCACTTGCACTTGCAGCAAATATCACTCAGGCAACATATTGTCGACTTGACCAAGTCCTGATTACCTTTGGAATATTATTTTCCAAATTTTCATCTATTTTGAACACTCCCAACGACCCAACTGATGTCACTGCGGGCCTTGTATGCTCCCCTCGACTTTACTGGCGCCAGTCCTGAATTTTGCCGAATAATATACTTGTCTCTTGGTTTTCCCATTTCATCCATACCCCATTTATTTTCCCG